GATCGAGTCAAGTGATCTACTTACTCAACAATCATATATACATATGTTTCCCAGAGTTCACTGTTCCATATATGTCATATCTAAGGTCTCTTGGGAAATGTCGATTTCATGAACTGCGCCTCAACGAAGATTGCATTTCAATAGCAAAGCAGAAAAAACTTAATACTAAATGGAAATCTACTTTACATATACAGCCAAGAGGCTGACGGCGCGTTGGGCACTTGTCCTGAATAAATAATAAAATATTTCCGCATGAGTGTGTGTCAACGTGGCGTGGTATAGAGACGACATAAATATACGTTTATACATTTGGCTAATGAGCATCAGCCTCAAGCCAAAATATAGATATTATACACATATAGTTGGATGGATAAAAGCCAAGAGCATTTGATATTATAAACAGTTGGGCGCATCGTAAAATTGTTTTCCTACATGCTCCGCCCACGAGAAGTGTAATAAAAGCAGACGCCCCGAAAAATGTTAGAAAATCTACGCAAATCCAAATGCCAGATACTCTCAGCACTTCAATTTCCTTAGCACATTAAGCATTTAGCGAGCAAGTTTAGCAAATTTAATGTGTATATATTTTAATTAGGCAAACAGCGACGGCAGACAGCAGAGACAGAGATGCCTCAATATCAAGTCCCAGGCGTGCAACAAATTGAATTACATAAGCCCCTGTTGACAGACTGTCCGATTTACATACGGCAAGAGATAAATGTACTCTGCGGCTCGGTGGCACGCGTTGACCCTGCCAGCTCTCGGTATCCAACTGCCAGCAGGCAAAATGTTGGCAGCACATTTATTTATACGCACGCTGTAAATTAGCAAACGCAGAGAAATCAAATCAAAACAAATGAAAAAATGAATCAACAACAATCGCAAATGCAGCAAACATTCGCACAGTTGCTGTGAATTTCATTTCAATTTGATGAGAAACGAGGCCAAGTTTTTAGCCGCAGCAACATTTCGCGCACGCATTTTGGCATTCAACTCGTAAATATGCCGCTAATTGCTGAAGGAATAAAAATAAAGACAGGCGGCGATCCGATATTTCAGCCCTGAGGTTGTTTCTTCTGTGTTTTATGTGTATGTGTGTTTAGGCAGCGCCTAATTGAATTGAGAATCAAAAGAGCATGCAGTACATGCAGGCCATAAAAAGCATTTGGGCAAAAACATTTCCGCATATCTAATTTGTGGTCGCTCCGCTAATTGCAGATCAGGGCACCCAAACGGAGAGTCTGCTCATAACCGAGGATGAGGAACAACTCCAACAGCAGCAGCAGCAGCAGCAGCAGCAGCAGCAGTCAGCGAGTCAGCAGGAAGCCAATAAAACGCCACTACGCAAATCCGCGTCGTTCTCATCCTCGACCACGGCCTCAACCCAATCGCCGGGCAGCTCGTCGCTGGGCTCGGCCACATCGACCATGTCGTTGCGCTCCACAACGCCGCAGCGCGTCAGCTCGACGCGTGCACTGCGCAGCGATACCATCAACACGTTCCAGAAATGGGAAACAACAATTGAGTCCATCAGCTATGTGAGCACTAAAACTGTTTCCATCTCTGACTTTAGCCAGGAGCCGCAGCTGCAGACAAATGGCCAGCAGGTGCAAGCAGGTAAATCCAGCTAAATCAACTCACTAACTGGGCTAAGATCGGTTTAATGGCTTTTTGCACTCGCTTCTTTGTTTTCTAAACTCAAACTCGTAACTCATAAACTCAATGAAAACAATTTTCACCAAACGATCTGGAAAATCGCTAGCTACAAATTTGGGGCTGGGCTCACATACACACACACACACAAACACATTAGCCACAATAAATATATGTATCTGTGTGCATATTTCGAATATCTTTTGAGGCACCGCATGTAAAATCACTAAATATAGATTACAACCACACGCACCGCATCGCAGCACATTGCAACTTTCATTTGCTCAACGCGAGAGACAGAGACGGCACGAGAGAGGGGGGAAAGAGAGAGAGAGAGAGTGAACTACGCCCAACTCTAACTATGCCCTGTCTCTCTCTCTCTCTTTCTCTCTCTCGCTGGTTCCCTCGCTCGCTCACTCTATATCTTAATTGTATAAACAATTGATATGAAAAACGAACGCATTTGGACATTTTATACCTAAATTGCCGCTTGGCATGCAGCTTGCTTGAGGCACAGCTCGTTGCAGCAAGCAACAGCAACAACACTAGCAACAACAACAACAACATTTCATTTCGTTTCGGTTTTCTGGGTTTGCTGAATGAGTGCGGCGGTCGCAGTAATTTGATGCTTAATACTTATGCTGACTGGCAAACCGAATTAAAACGCGTCGCAGCATCTGTGTGGCAATAAGATACAAAAGTATCTACAAAGAGCATGTGGCGCTTTGCTTGGGGTCGCTCATTCGCCCATTTGCATTATGCATTCATTTCATTTTCTTGTCCCTCCTTTGGGTCTGCATGCGCCATACATACGACATTTCAGCATGTGTTTTGTGTGTATGTCTTATTAAACTGAACTTAATTGATATGCGACTATTCTTCTTCTTGTTTGCAGTAAATTGAATGCAGTGTTGGTCCTACTCCAATGAGCTGGGCACCGCCTCTCCCCAACACCTTACCCAACACAAACCAACTAACTAAGAGAAACTAAACAACCAGAGCAACGTTAAACTAAGCAATTGCCTTAATTATCTACTTATTATTACTAAAAGTAAAATCAACAACAACAACAACAACAAAATGCTATTAATAATACTAATTAAAGTGAAAGATTTATCTGAAGATTTGCAGTTGTCTTCTTTTGTGTGCCAAGCAACATTCTACTGCCATGACATAATTGGGCGAATATTATTTTTTGCAACTCTTGATAAGATAATATCTGACTGCCTGCCTGAGTGACTGACTGACTGACTGGCTTCCTAGCTGCCTAGCTGCCTAGCTGATAGGCTGCTGCTAATCTACAGCTACAGCTGACAAGAGCCAGCGAACTACGTGATACGTTTTGTAGCGCATCACTGCAATCTGCTGTACTGTTGCTGCTCATCTTGCAGAACCGGCTAACTGATTGTTATTTTCTAGACACTTAGGCAGTGGACATGCTGCGTGCGCTTACTTATCTGCCGATGTTCTTAAGACAAACTTACATGGCTATAAAGATACATATATGTAATGAGACATGCATACACCGATGCATAGATTTATAGATACACACATAGATTTATATAAAGATACACAGATACATAGATACATAGATATATAGATATATAGATATATAGATATATAGATACATAGACATATAGATATATAGATATATAGATGTATAGATATATAGATATATAGATATATAGATATATAGATATATAGATATATAGATATATAGATATATAGATATATAGATATATAGATACATAGATACATAGATACATAGATGCATAGATACATTTATACATTTATATATAGACAGATACATAAGTAGGTATGCTTTCTTATCTCAGCAATAATAGCTTGAAATTGGCTGCTGACGTCTTTAAGACAAAGATAGATAGCTGTATAGCTACAGATACATTTGTATCTCTGCAATGACAGCTGTCAGCTACGGCTAGCCGCGCGTTAAAATTTAATTACTATTACTATTTGCTGTTCTCTTAAAGCGTAACTTGTGATTTCATAACTGTGTCCGAGCGCCACATTAACAATTAATCTGTGCAGTAGCTGAAATTATGTACTTACATTCATTGCATTGCCAACCGGGCTGCCTTATAGAGCCCCACTCAATGCGCATCCCATATAAGGTCAATGCGAACTCAAACGCATTCGAATTGCAATTTGTAAAAACTGCAAACTTTTTTTTTTTTTTTTTTTTGTTTTTGCTTTTTTCTACGTTTTTAGCCAAAAGAAATAGAAAGTTTATTGCCAAAGGCGACATTTCTGTATTTTTCATTTCAAAATAAAGAAGGAATGAAAAAAAAAATAAACATCTTGGTCGCTATGATTAAGACACGAAATGAATAATCAAGTTTATATGTAGAAAGGCAGGCATCCAAATCGTATGTATATTTATTTTTAAAATTAGAAAAAAAAACGAAATAAATTGTGTGGAAAATTTGAAAAGAAGGTGCAAGAAAAATATTTTGAAAAAATCTAATATAAATATATAATGTATGTAAATTGCAGAAGGAATGTGAAATATCGAAACCAATTCGAATTTATATATTTGAACTATAATTGAATTAGTTTTTTGTGCGGCTACTGGAGTTAGATAGATGGAAGATAGTTCAGAGTGCACTTTATCATCCACTTTTGCAGTATCTAGAATTTCTCTAGATTTCTTTTCTATTCTGCAGCAAAAAACAAAAAAACAAAAAAAATGTTGAAAAATACGTGTCAAAAATAAATCGTGATATATTTTTAGCCAACTTACTCAAAAGCCGAACACTTGCCGAATCCCAACGATCTGAGATGAATGAGAGAATCGCCACGATTCTCTGCTAGTCAAATTGCTGTGAGCTTTTGTCAGCCTTTTCTCTGCCAGAGCAGCAGGCGAAACCGGGGACACAGCACTTTAACTTGGCAGATGAGACATGGCTAGAATTGAGATCGATGAGACTGAAAGTCGAAGTTGTGAGCAGCTACGGTTCACCTGTTCTTCGGCAGATGGAAATTAATTGAACAGCTTACAATCTTTCTAATGTCACTTCTGACACTGAGTCCAACTAGCAGAGCCTGTTTTGAAGATTAACAAATTCTTAGCCGCTGACCCGTTTTCCAGCTAGTGAGGCAAAGCCAAAGACAAACGGCCTGCTCATAGGCCCACATGCCGACTGTGTAGCGCATCTGTGCTCTCTCAGCATTTTCCACAACAACAATTGGTCGTGGAAAGTGCAAAAATATCTCGTGTAGAGCGAGAGCCGTCGCACACGAAGCTCGTTTGGCTCTCGCTTGGTTCGTGTGCCTTGTGCAGCAGCTATTTGATCGCATTCTCAACGATATTTTGTCATTCTTCGCTCGCACCTCACAAACGATCGACGTCTTGGTTTCAGTCTCGGGGATTATGACTTGAAACAGTTTGAAAATAGATATTATTTAAAGAAAATATATATATATATATAATAGATATATACGGTACATATATCTATATATATATTCAGCCATAGAGTTCGCATAGAGTTTTTTACGAAATAGTCACAGCATCTACATATAGAACGTCGCAAGGATAACGCAATAAAGTAAGGATTACCGATCTCTACTAGCATTTCAATTGTGTAAAATCAGTGGAAAATATGAAGAAAATAATGTTCATGAAATCTTTTGGTTTCGTAACCACTTTGAAAATTCCGAAAGAATTTTTCAGTGCGCTAAATATCTAAAAATAATATCCGAACGGTGCTTCGGTCGCGTTCGACGGGTGATTCGGCACACCGCTCGGCACCAGATCGTGGGGTCCGCACCCAATTCAACGAATGGACTGTGAATTCGTGCATACACACAAACCAAGATGTGCATATAGATATGAATATGCGATCCGCTACAAAGATATCTTAAATATATATGCACGCATATATATGTCAGATATCAAAAAATATATATACATACATATATTTATATCTATTTTATAATATATACTTGAGTGCATTATCCTAGCTCATCCTGCCCAGGATTACAGGCAAAGAGAGCTGCGATAATGCACGAACTAGTGAAAACCAATACCGAATATACTGTGTAATCATGAAAATCAAAACTGTGCAGAGTTTTTCGCATTGGAAAAACCAGGAAAAAAAGAAAGAGAAATGTTAAAAATAGCCCCTGAAAAATAAGTAGATACCACCGACAGCCGACACAGTGTGTATAGGAGACGACGTCTCTCTCTGTATGCGCTGCATGAGTGTGTTTGTGTGTCGCAGTGAAATGTTCAAGTGGCTAAAAATAGTCCGAAATGCCTCAGTGGAGGCTGAGAATATGAATAAGAAGAAGGATGGATGGTGTTGGTGATGATAATGATGAAGAAATCTTTTTTAATGTGTATATGTATATAGATTCGTATTTATAACGAAATCTATATGCAGCTCGATATAAAATATACAAATAAAAAATCAAGATAAAAAACAAACATATATACATAAATATATATATGTATCTGTGCGTGTGAGAAAACTCAGAAAGAAATTTGAAAAACAAAATTTATCAAATAAAATTTTCATGTTTGCCAAATATCTATTTTGGTGTGATAAATGTTTGAAGTGTTAAATTTTAATTCGAATTTTCTTTTACCATTCTGCTTTGTATTCAATTTCAGCAATAAAGAAGCGAAAGTATCAGTAAAGAAATATATTTCAATATATATATATATATAAAGTGAAGAAGCAAATCAAAGAGAAAAGTGATCTAGAGGTGTTTTTATTTTAGTGCAGTTGACAACTGCATCGATTTGGTTGTCATTTTCAATGATATATAGTGATATATAACGACCTAAAATGCAACGACAAAATCCGAACCCATACCAGCAGCAACAGCTGCAGGAGCAGCACCAACAACAGCAGGTGCAGCAGCAATACTCCACCCAGGAGTACTCGCACTCCACTCAAGAGCAGCACCAGCAAAGGATTAGCCGCACTGAACAACATGTTCAGAGGAGTCAAATCACCACTCAGCAACAACGAGGTCAGTCCGTCTGCCTGTCTGCGCCCGTTGGCCCAGCTCTGCCCTGCCATGCCCTGCCATGCCACGCCACGCCCGAATTGTCTCGTTTACGGATTTCGACAAGCTGTATTGGCCAGTGGGATTCACACCGTGGATTTAGAATCCCCACTGTTCCATTCTCTTGTTACCGAATTTCCATACGATACAGACAATCGCCTTTTCTGCTCATGCCAATTTCATTGTAACCTTCACTAAATGCATGCCATGTTAGTTCCATGATAGATTTACGTGTTGATACTGAGGGAACTCTATTTACAATCGCTCGCATCTGTATTATTTTATGTTTCTCGCATTGCTCTAACATGATTTTAATGCATGAATTGCATAGATTGCAGGAGAGAAGAAAATATTAAATTTTATCATCTTGGTATTTAGCAAACATATATATTTATATATACTTAGCTCACTAAAATATGCAACGGAAAGATTTACTGATCGATAAAGTATAAAAAGTAGGCAGAATAATTTTGAAAGGCATAGTAATCATAAGCAATATCGATTTTAATTTAATTTTAATTTTAATGTGAAAAAAGCAAACAAAAAAGCTTTTCATAAGAAACAACAAAAATATACCTCTGGATATTTCTTTCCAAATAATTCTCATGAAAAATAGATTTTGTTTATGTCTGAAATATGATAAATAGCAGGCACTTTGTGAGCTGTAAACAGTCCCTTCATATTTGAAAAAATATATATAAGTACAGTGGGTACACAGTTTCTAAAAATGTAATAGATATTGCTTGCTTCTAATAATGTTTACTGATATTGATTTCTTCAAATGGTGTTAGTTGAAAAGAAAGCAACCCAGAGATATCGCTCTGGGACTGTTAAATGTGCAAAATATTATAGACAAATTCATAATATGCATTTTATATACAAATAAGTGTAAAGAAAACTGTCTGCATCTAATAGCATATAGCTCACATATAAATCGTTAATTAATTTTTGAACATTCTGATCTGATCATTCATATTCAAAGCAAAATCTGATTCATCCCAAAATATAAAATTAAAACATTAATTGACTAAGAAATGCTAAATTCATTGGTAATATTCCATGTATTACTCATCATGTCAAAGATATAAATATATAAAATACGACTGCAAACGTACGAATTATTCATATTCATCTAATATTTCAATACTTATATCTTAATTGATGATCAGCCAAAAATTTGATCTATTTATAAATATTTCCATTCATCTGCCAAAATGTTGTATTGACATACTTATGTAGAGGAAATTATATTCATAATAGAATAACAGTATAAGAGCTCTTATACAGCTCGTCTTGTTTACATTTGACAATGCTGCATTTCGTATGAGATGAAGTGAATAAGCTATATGGCACTTAAGCACTCTTATACTGGCAGCCGAAGATAGCCGAAGTCAATTTGCCGAACTAACTGAGAGTGCGCACAAAACAAAGAGAGAGAGAGAGAGAGAGAGAGAGACTGAGAGATTAGTGATAGATAGTACGAGAGAAAATTTCGAGAGCACATTAACAGCTGATCTATTTTGTTTACATTCACCTGTTTGAATTGGAGAGACAAACTAAGGTACATATAATTGACACACTTTCGTGCAGCCGAGAGATATACCTATGTATATAAGTTAATATATCCGCATATATATAGTCATATATGTATATATAGACTTTTTATGCGTGCCAACTTCTAAATATAAGTTATCAAAGCTAGAAATATATATCCTCGACAATAAGTTTTCAAGTTCTTGTTTACATTTCTCTGGTAGAGATGATAAAGAACATTTCACGTAACAATAATTTATACTAATATTGAATGATATATTTAATTTTTTTAATAATAATTTTTTTTTTTTTTAATTTTGATGAAGTCTTAACAAAAATAAAATCACATAATTTATATTAATAATTTTTTTAAGTTTTATTAATATACCTTCATTAAAGCTCGCATCACTGCTTTTCCCTATTTGTACTTAGCCATACTCATACCATTATTAATATTACAGTACAACAACATCAAGGCGGTTTCGGAGGCACCTATGTACCGCCATCGTTGACACACGTTTATGCCCAAGGTGACATCTCACCGCCTGTATTCGAGCAAATCTTTAAGAACGCTCGCTTCGCTCAGGGTGGCAACGCCCTGTTCGAAGGCAGGCTCCGTGGCAACCCGAAGCCATTCGTTACATGGACCCGAAAAGGCGCACCACTTCTCGAGTCGCAAAAGTTCCGGATGAGCTACAACGAGGCCACGGGTGATGTGTCCCTGCTGATCAACCAGATCGGACCCGGCGACGAAGGCGAGTACACGTGTACGGCTCGTAATCAGTACGGCGAGGCCATCTGCAGTGTCTACATTCAACCGGAAGGCGCCCCAATGCCTGCACTGCAGCCCATCCAGAATCTGGAGAAGAACATCTACTCCAATGGTTATTCGTATACGTCCATTGAGGAGGAATTCCGTGTGGACACGTTTGAGTATAGACTTTTGCGCGAAGTCTCCTTCAGGGAGGCCATAACGCGCCGCTCCGGCTATGAGCAGGACACTCAGCTGTCCCATGAGCTCGACCGTTCTCTTGGCCCTGCGCACGCACCACAATTATCGCAGAAGCCCAGAAACTCCAAGCTCATCGAGGGCTCCGATGCTGTGTTCACAGCCCGCGTTGGCTCCAATCCGAAACCACGTCTCACCTGGTTCCACAACGGACAGCGTTTGGTAGCCTCGCAAAAGTATGAGATCTCTTATTCGAGTGGCGTTGCCACCCTGCGCGTGAAGAACGCCAACGCCAAGGATGGCGGCCACTACACCCTCTTGGCTGAGAATTTGCAGGGCTGCGTCGTCTCGTCCGCTGTGCTGGCCGTCGAGCCGGCCGCCGAGACTGCCTACGAGCCCAAGCCCGTGGATTCGATGGCCGAGCAGCTGGAAGTCGGCAAGGCTTTGCCGCCCACTTTTGTGAAGGCCTTCAGCGAACGCGAAGTCACCGAGGGACGCATGACGCGTTTCGATTGCCGTGTCACCGGCAATCCCTATCCCGAGGTATTCTGGTTTATCAACGGCCGTCAAGTGCGCGACGATGCTTCGCACAAGATTCTGGTCAACGAGTCCGGCAGCCATTCGCTGATGATCACGAACGTGAGCCGCCTAGATGGCGGCTCCGTTCAATGCTTGGCCCGCAACAAGGCTGGTGAGGTGGCCATCGAGGCGCCGCTGCATGTGCTGGAGAAGGAGCAGGTTGTCGCACCACAATTTGTGCAGCGCTTCAGCACGATGACAGTGCGCGAGGGTGAGCCCATCACCATGAGCGCCAATGCCATTGGCACGCCAGTGCCGCGCATTACTTGGCAAAAGGATGGAGTACAAATCTCATCAACTGCCGAACGTTTTGTGGGCATCGATGGCGGCGCCACCTGCCTGGAGATACCGCAAGTTAAGGCAACTGATGCTGGCTGGTATCAGTGTACCGCACAAAATATCGCCGGTTCCACAGCGAACCGCGCAAGACTCTATGTCGAAGTTCCCAGAGAGCAACCAAGTCAAGAACAAAGGCGTCTTAATCTACCAAGACCAACGAAAGTTATCGAGCCTGAGTAAGATCTCTTAAATTGTTAAACATATGGAATTTTTGCATTGAACTGCTTCATTCTGTTTCTAGGCCAATCCCTGGGCCAGAGATTATTTATTTGCGCCATGTGGAACGCGCCAAACCCCATCTGCGTCCCGGCGAGGAGGATCGCGTCTATCCTCCGCCACAGTTCATCATACCACTGCAGAATGTGCAGCAGACTGAAGGTGGTCGAGTCCACATGGAGGCGCGCATCGAACCCGTCGGCGATCCCAGCATGGTCGTCGAGTGGTATCTCAATGGTCGTCCCCTGGCAGCCAGTAAGTAACTCAAGTTCGAATCCCGTTTACTTTGTGTCTCATCTCTGGCTCTCTTGCTTTCACAGGTGCACGCGCCACATCTGTCTTCAAGTTTGGCTTCATTGCTCTGGACCTACTGAGCATTATGGGCCACGATGCTGGAGAATATATGTGCCGCGTCAGCAATGCCAGCGGCGTGGCTGAGTCGCGCGCCATTTTGTCGGTGGTGCAACGACCATCCATTGAGCAATCGTCGCAGAATCCGAACAGCTTGCAGTACATCAATCAGCTGGAGGACTACTCTCGCTATCAGCGCCAGGAGAGCTCAGAGGAGTTGATGAATCAAGCTCCACAATTTATACGTCCCCTGCGCGATCTGGGTGAGTTCGAGGAGGGCAAGAATGTGCACTTCGAGGCACAGGTGACCCCCGTGAATGATCCCAGCATGCGTGTGGAGTGGTATAAGGATGGCTTGCCAATCACCGCCAGCTCGCGCATCACGGCTATATTCAACTTCGGCTATGTCTCCCTAAACATATTGCACCTACGCGCCGAAGATGCGGGCAGCTACACCGTCCGCGCCGTGAATCGCATTGGCGAGGCCATCAGCCAGTCCACCATTCGTGTGCACTCGCGCTCCCAGGTCACCGCCGATCTGGGCATACCCGAGCAGCAGCGTTACATTGAGAAGGTGGAGGAATTGGAGGACTATCGCAAGTCTCAGCAGCGCCGCCACGTTCAGGAGGCACCTGAGGCCATTGCGCCACCCCAATTCAAGACACCCATCCAGAACCAACTGGATCTGCGAGAGCACGCGCATGCGCACTTCGAGGCACGCCTCGAACCCATTGGCGACTCGACCATGCGCGTGGAGTGGCTCAAGGATGGTCAACCCCTTGAGGCCAGCTCGCGCATAACTACTTACCACAACTTTGGCTACGTCGCGCTGACCATCAAGCAGATAACCATCTATGATGCCGGCACCTACACCTGCCGCGCCTACAATGCCATGGGCCAGGATACAACCACGGCCCAGTTGACGGTCATATCGAAGAACGAGATCGTCTCGGACACGCAGCATCCGGGTGGCCTGCAGAAGATTCAGCATCTGGAGGACTCGTCGCGTTATGGTCGCCGCGAGGAGGAAGAAACCTCCATCACCCAGGCACCACGCTTCCTGGGCCCCCTCAAGGGCACCACCAAGATCTTGGAGGGTCAACGCGCCCACTTTGAGGCGCGTGTCGAGCCACAGAGCGATCTGGGTCTGCGCATCGAATGGTACCACAATGGACGTGCTATCACCGCCGCCAACCGCATCCAGACCTACTACGACTTCGGCTACGTTGCCCTGGACATTTCTCAGGTGCGCGCCGAAGATGCCGGCGTCTACACTGTGGTGGCTAGAAACAAGCTAGGTGAAGCTCAGTTGCAAGCAACGATGGTAGTGGAAAGTAAGTAGAAGGAATTCGAATTAAATTGCTCATCATTCAACCCAAACATTTGCATTACAGCTCGTTCCAACATCGACACATCTAGCATGCATCGCGGCCTCTATGAAAAAACGCAGAATCTGGAGAACAAGCAATTCGTCGAGCCCCAATACGATATTGAGGAGATCTCCAAGTCAAAGCCCGTCTTTGTGCAGCCGCTGACCGATCCCAAGCCCATTCACGACGGCAAGAATATTCATCTGGAGTGCCGTCTCGAGCCCATGGGCGATCCCACAATGCGCGTCGAATGGTTCCATAACGGGCGCCCCGTAACCGTTGGCTCACGTTTCCGCACCTACTACGACTTCGGATTTGTCGCCCTGGACATCATCAAGGCCACGGCAGCCGACTCTGGCGAGTATACCGTGCGCGCCACCAACCACCTGGGCACCGCTCACACCTCTTCATGTGTGCGTGTGATTGATCGCAGCGATGTGGTGACCGAGACCCAGAACGAGCAGTCGCTGGAGCAGATTCAGCTGCTTGAGGACTCGCGTCGTCGCCACCACCAGGAAGAGGATATTACCATCATGCAGGCGCCTCAATTCACACGCGCACTGCATAACATCGAAACCGTTGAGGGCACCAACGTGCATCTGGAGTGCCGCCTGCAGCCAGTGGGTGATCCCAGTATGCGCATCGAGTGGTTCGTCAACGGCATGCCGGTAAAGACGGGCCATCGCTTCCGTCCTGCCTACGAGTTTGACTATGTGGCGCTGGACTTGCTTGGCTGCTATGCCATTGACTCGGGCGTCTACACGTGCCAAGCCCGTAACCAACTGGGCGAGGCCGTCACCTCCTGCTCCGTGCGCATTATTGCCAAGAAGGATTTGATTCTGGAGACTCAGAACGAGTCTGGCCTGCAAAAGATTCAATACCTGGAGGACTCCTCACGCTATCGTCGTCATGAGGACGTAGATGAGGTGGTCAATATTCGCCCCCGCTTCCTGACCCATCCGAAGAGCCTGACCAATACACGCGAAGGCGGTCACGCCCACTTTGAGTGCAAAATTGAGCCCGTCACCGATCCCAATCTGAAGGTGGAGTGGTTCAAGAACGGCCGTCCCATTACCGTGGGCCATCGTTTCCGACCCATTCATGATTTCGGGTACGTGGCCTTAGATATTGTTGGCCTGATTGCTGAGGACTCCGGTATTTACACCTGCCGCGCCGTCAATTTGATTGGCTCCGATGAGACTCAGGTGGAGCTGCAATGCCGCAGCGGCGAGCAAATCGTCACAGTGACCCAGAACGAAGCTGGTCTCGAGCAGATTCACTATCTGGAGGATCGCTCGCGCTACAGCCGCCGCGAGGAAGTCGACGAGACCACCAAGCAGGCGCCAGTGTTTACAACCTCCCTGAAGAACATTGAAATCAAGGAGAATCAGCGTGCTCACTTTGAGTGCCGCTTGATTCCCGTCTCCGATCCTTCGATGCGTGTGGAGTGGTACCACAATAACATGCCTCTGAAATCGGGCTCGCGTTTCACTGAGACCAACAACTTTGGCTTCGTGGCCCTCGATATTATGTCCACACTGCCCGAAGATGCCGGCACCTACACCTGCCGTGCTTTCAATGCTGTGGGCGAGGCCATAACATCTGCTGTTGCCGTGGTGCACACCAAGAAGTCCATCTATCTGGAGTCTCAGCACGAGACTGCATTGCCGCGACTGCAGCACCTGGAGGATGGCTCCAAGCGCCAGCGCGTCAGCGTACAGGATGAGTTCGTTTCGCAGGCTCCGGTCTTTACCATGCCTGTGCGCGATGTACGTGTGGCCGAGAACCAGGCGGTGCACTTTGAGGCCCGCCTTATTCCCGTGGGCGATCCCAAACTCACTGTGGAATGGCTGCGCAACGGTCAGCCCATTGAGGCGTCCAATCGTACCACCACCATGCACGATTTCGGCTACGTGGCTCTGAACATGAAGTACGTGAATCCCGAGGACTCTGGCACCTACACCTGCCGTGCGGTCAACGAGCTGGGTCAGGCTGTGACGTCTGCGTCGCTGATTGTGCAGTCGAAGACTGCCATTCAGATGGAGACACAGCACGAAGCTGCCATGCACAAGATCCATCAGCTGGAGGATCACAGCAAGTACCAGCGCCGTGAGGAGGAGGAATACACCGTTACGACGGCGCCAATGTTTGTCACCAAGCTGATCGGACCCAACAATCTGGTTGAGGGCCAGAGTGCCCACTACGAGTGCCGCATCGAGCCCTACCCAGATCCGAACCTGAAGGTCGAATGGTTCCACAACGGCAAGCCCTTGAGCACCGGCCATCGCTTCCGCACCACCTATGACTTTGGCTTTGCAGCACTCGACATCCTCACCGTCTATGCGGAGGACAGCGGAGAATACACTTGCCGTGTGACTAACAATCTGGGCGAGGCCGTCAGCTCGATTGCACTCAACGTCACCACCCGTTCGTCGATTATTCATGAAACGCAGCATGAGGAGGCTCTGCACAAGATCCAGCATCTGGAGGATACCTCTCGCTTCCAGCGCAAGCCTGAAGAGGATCAGTTCCACGCTGAGCGCCCACAGTTTGGACGCCCACTGCGCAATGCCAAGGTCAATGAGGGCACACCCGTGCATCTGGAGGCAACACTGATCCCAGTTAATGACCCCACCATGAGGGTCGAGTGGTACTGCAACGGCAGACCCATCCAAACGGGTCACCGTTTCAAGACCACCTACGATTTCGGCTTTGTCGCCTTGGACATATTGTACGCCCACGCCGAGGATACCGGCACCTACATGTGCAAGGCCAAGAATGCTGTTGGGGAAGCTGTCACGACTTGTGCTGTAAACGTAACAGGTAAGCTCATAGCTGATACACAAACTTCACCTTATGCTAATCACATTCAACTTGTAGCAAATAAGACACTGGATCTGGATACACTCGATGCCCAGCGGCTGGAGAAGATTCGCCAGCTCGAGAGCTATGCGCCACCCGTAAAGGCCGAGGTGGAGGAGAAGGGACAGAAGCCAATTTTCCTCACCCCACTTAGCAATCTGGAGCATCTGAAGGAGGGCGAGCACGCCCACTTGGAGTGTCGCGTTGAGCCCATCAACGATCCCAACCTGAAGATCGAATGGTTCTGCAATGGCAAGCAACTGCCCACCGGACATCGTTATCGCACCACCCACGACTTTGGCTACGTGGCCCTGGACATTTTGTATGTCTATGGCGAGGACACTGGCACCTACATGTGCAAGGCAACCAATCTCCTGGGCGAAGCAGTCAACACCTGCAATGTCCGTGTGCTGAACAGACGCAGCATGATTCTGGACACCCAGCACCCGGATGCTTTGGAGAAGATTCAGAAGTTGGAGTCCAAGGTTGTCACCACCCGCACCGAAGTCGGCGATCATCCAATTGGCCCGCCCCACTTCACCGCAGATCTACGCGGCTCCACTGAGATCTATGAGGGCCAAACGGCTCACTTTGAAGCACAGGTGGCGCCAGTGCACGATCCCAACTTGCGCATCGAGTTTTATCATAATGGCAAGCCTCTGCCATCGGCTGCCCGCTTCCACATCACCTTCGACTTTGGCTATGTCTCCCTGGACATTACCCATGCCGTGGCCGAGGATGCTGGCGAGTATTCCGTGCGTGCTGTTAACGCTTTGGGTCAAGCCGTCTCTTCGACCAATCTGCGCGTGATTGCCCGCGGCACCATTATTTCGGACACCCAGCATCCTGAGGGTCTGGAGAAGATACGTAAGTTGGAGTCTACGGCACCACACCAGCGCCAGGAGGTCGAAACGCCTGGCACACGCCAGCGACCCATGTTCACCCAACCAATTCAAAACATTGATCGCATCAATGAGCACCAGACCGCTCACTTTGAGGCGCGCCTGATTCCAGTGGGTGATCCCAACTTGAAGGTCGAATGGTACCGCAATGAGAAACTGATCGAAGACAGCTCCAGAATCACCAAGCAGCACGACTTTGGCTTTGTCTCTCTCGATATATCGCACATCCGCAAGGAGGATGAGGGCGTCTACATGTGCCGCGCTGTCAATCCACTTGGCGAGGCCGTCACTACCGCCTCTATGCGTGTGGTTACCGAGGCCACCATCCAAATGGATACCCAGCATCCGGACAGCATTCGTCGTATTCACCAGCTGGAGAAGCCTCTGGCTCCACTACCCACCGAGCCTGAGCGCCTCTTCGAGAAGCCCATCTTCACGCAGCTACTGACGGGCCCCTCCGAGGTATGGGAGGGCACCCATGCTCACTTCGAGGCACGTGTGGTGCCCGTTGGTGATCCCTCACTTAAGTTCGAGTGGTTCGTTAACGGCGTTGAGCTGCAAATGGGCTCACGCCTGCGCACCACCCACGACTTTGGCTTTGTCACTCTCGACATTGCCGCTGTGGTGCCTGAGGATGCTGGTGTCTACATGTGTCGCGCTTTCAATGCCGCTGGCGAGGCTGTGTCCTCGACTGCCATGAAGGTGAAGACCAGGGCCAACATCGACGGACAGCCCCTGATACCTGAGTCCTGGGAAGCCATTCGTCTGAAGGAGGCTGCAATGAACCGTGTGCCCGAAATGTTTGTGGACTCTACGCCTCAGCAGGCTCCAGTGTTCACGACACACTTGCAGAGCTACGACAAGCTGCACGAGGGCCAGCATGTGCATCTGGAGGCTCAGGTGGAGCCTCGCGCCGATCCTAATCTGCGCATTGAGTGGTTCAAGAACGGCATCTCACTGACCACTGGCTCACGCATACGCAGCACCTTCGACTTTGGACTGGTTACCTTATCTATCAATGGCTTGCGCGAGGACGACTCCGCTATTTACACTTGCAAGGCCACCAACCAGGTGGGCGAGGCTGTGTCGACCTCATCGCTCAAGATCGAAGATCGCCATTGGCTACAAGCGGAGTCCTTGCATCCGGACTCATTGCCACGCATTGGCGAGCTGGAGGCGCCAAAGCCGGTTCGTAAGGACGCACCAGAGCCCACATACGAGACTCCGGTATTCATCACTCATCTGAACAACATCGAGTGCAAGGAGACGGACAGCGTTCGCTTTGAGTGCAACGTGGAGCCGGCCCGTGATCCCACCATGAATATCGAATGGTACTACAATGGCCAACCGTTGCAGGCAGCTGCCAAATTCAAGTCCATTTACGACTTTGGCTACTGCGCCCTGGACCTGAATAACTCGTATGCCGAGAACAGCGGCATCTACACTTGCAAGGCCACAAACAGCAAGGGCTCGGCTACTACCTCGGGCACATTGAAGTGCACAGGCGGCAAGACCATGTTCCTGGACACACAGCATCCACAGGGCGAGAGCGGACTGGAGGCCGTGCAAGAAACAGAAGAAGCATTGGCCAATCGCTATGCCCAGAAGCCAAGCAAACCAGAGACTCAATACCCAGCACCAGTCTGGACGAGGCCATTGCAGCAGGAGTTCCATCTATCCGAGGCGCAGCCGATCCATTTGGAGGCCAACGTGGAGCCGAAGGAGGATCCAAATCTGTTTATCGAATGGTACTTCAATGGCAAGCTGCTGCAGCATGGCTCGCGCTTTAAGATGACCAGCGAATTCGGCTTCGTCACTATGGACATGATTGAGGTGTACTCTAGAGATCAGGGCATCTACACTTGCAAGGCCTATAACAGGGCTGGCGAGGCTTTCACTTCCACCACCATATTCTGCTCAAGCAAGGACAGCATCATTGAAGCCACACAGCATCCCAAGGGTGCTGAAGGTCTGGAACAGATTCAGGACTTGGAGGAGTCACTACGCAAGGACGGCAGCAAGCCGGAGCAGCCCGAGCAGGGCATTGCACCACGCTTCACCACCGAATTCGTTAACATTGCTGACATTGGCGAAGGTGAGTTGGCCCATTTCGAGGCCAATCTCATTCCTCTGGGCGATCAGAGCATGGTCATTGAATGGTTCTTCAATGGCAAAGTTCTTGAGGCCAGCCACCGCGTGCGCACCATCTACGCCTTTGGCACCGTCGCCCTGGAAGTGCTGGGCACCAAGATCGAGGACACCGGCACATACACCTGCCGTGCCACCAACAAATACGGCTCAGCTGAGATCAGCTGCACGCTGGAGTGTGTCGACAAGCCTCGTGGCCAGAAACCGCACTTCACGTCGCACATTCAGCCGCTGCAGGGCCTGAAGGATGGCCAGTCCGCTCACTTCGAGTGCACCTTGATTCCGGTTAATGATCCGGATCTTAAGGTCGAGTGGTACCACAATGGCAAACTGCTCCGTCACTCAAACCGCATCAAAACGGTATCCGACTTTGGCTACGTGGTCCTCGATATCGCCTATCTGCAGGATCACGACAGTGGCGAATACGTTTGCCGCGCCTACAACAAGTACGGCGAGGACTTCACTCGCACCACTCTTAACTGTGGTGGTCGCGGTGGCGTGTTCTACGACAGCTTGCAGCCTGATTCTCTCCAACGAATCCGTGAGCTGGAGTGCCCGCAGGGCCAGCAAGCGGACAGTGGTGCTCCAGTGGTTGCCGAGCCACCCAAGTTCATCACACAAATCAGTGATGTCACCAAGCTGGTGGAGGGCCAGAGCGCTCACTTTGAGGCGCGCTTGACGCCCATTACCGATCCCGACTTGGTGGTCGAGTGGTATTTCAATGGCAAGAAGCTGCCCCATGGCCATCGCTTCCGCACTTTCCACGACTTTGGCATTGTCATCCTGGATATCCTGTATTGCTATGAGGAGAACTCTGGTGTTTATGAGTGCCGCGCCTACAACAAATATGGCGAGGATGTCACCCGCGCCAGCCTGAAGTGCGCCTCCAAGGCCAGCCTGATCTTGGACTCCCAGCTGCCACGTGGCATGGAGGGCGGTCTGGAGAAGATTGCCAATCTGGAGTATAGCATGGTGCGTACCCGCGAGGAGACCACCGAGGAGACCAGAGGCAAGGCACCAGTGTTCACTGTGCCCCTGGAGAACATTGACAATCTGCGCGAGGGCGAGAACGCTCACTTTGAGGCTCGCATCACGCCTGCTGATGACCCCAAGCTGAAGGTGGAGTGGTACTGGAATGGCCGTCCATTGAAGGCTGGCTCTCGTTTCCGCACTTTCTGCGACTTTGGTTTCGTTATTCTGGAAATTTCTCCAGTCTACCCGGAGGATTCTGGTGAATACTCGTGCCGTGCCATCAATGAGTATGGTGAGGCAGTGACCAGCGCAACAATGAAGATTCAAGGCAAGCGTAGCATCATTATGGAATCGCAGCTGCCCAAGGGCATGGAAGGCACCATCGATCGCATCGCTGAGCTGGAAGGTCTGGGCTCTCGCAGCACAGAGTTTGTGCCGGAGGACGATACAGGCAAGCCACCAGAGTTCATTACGACACCATTCGATATGGTCATCGGAGAGAACTCGCTGGCCCACTTCGAGTGTCGCCTGCAGCCCATCAACGATCCGTCCATGCGCGTGGACTGGTTCCACAACGGCAAGGCCTTGTGGGCCGGCTCCCGCATCAAGACCATCAACGACTTTGGCTTTGTCATCCTGGAGATCGCCGGCTGCTACCAGCGAGATACGGGTCTGTATACCTGCAAGGCAACCAACAAGCACGGCGAGGCCACCGTCTCCTGCAAATTGCAGGTCAAGGGTCGCCAGGGCATTGTCATGGAGCCGCAGCTGCCCTCGAACTTCCGCACTGGCACTGAGAGCCTGCAGAAGCTGGAAGAGAACATGCACAAGCGTGAAGAGATGGTCATCGATGAGGAGCAGCCAAATCCACCCAAGTTCATTGAGGAGATCAAGGACAACTTGGACGTGCCCGAGGGCGGACCAATTCACTTCGATTGCCGCGTAGAGCCCGTTGGTGATCCAACAATGCGCATTGAATGGTACTACAATGGCCGCGTCATGGCCACTGGTTCCAGAGTTCATCAACTGAACGACTTTGGCTTCATTGCTTTGGATATTGACTACATCTATGCCAGGGACTCTGGCGAATATACCTGCCGCGCCACCAACAAGTGGGGCAGTGCCACCACCACCGCCAAGGTCACCTGCAAGGGCAAGCACAGCATTGTCTACGAATCACAGCTGCCCGAGGGCATGACCGCCGAGAAGTTGAAGGAACTGGAACGTGGACGCATCCCAGAGGCACCCAAGGTTGTCGAAGAGCAGTACGGACCACCGAAGTTCATCACCCAGATTGCATCCTGCACAGCCGAGGAGTCTGAAGCTGTCCGATTCGAGTGCCAAGTGGAACCAAAGACCGATCCCAATCTGCGCGTTGAATGGTATCGCAATGGCAAGCCTTTGCCACTGGGTCATCGCTATAGGAACGTCTTCGACATGGGCTTCGTCTCGCTGGACATTTTGTATGTGTACAGCGACGACTCTGGTGAATACGTTTGCCGTGCCGTCAACAAGTATGGCGAAGATCGCACCAAGGCCACCGTCTCCTGCAAGAGTAAGTCATCTAGCACATGACTCTTATCTATTATATCTAATCCATCTCGATTTGTATTAGAATTGCCTACGATTCTGCTGCAAAATCAAGTGCCACGTGGCATGAAGCGGTCGGAAACGCTCACCCAAATGGAGGCCACCATCAAGAAGTACACCTCTGAGGTGCATTTGACCGAGGATGATCTCTTCGATCCCGATCGCAAGCAGCCTCCTCGCTTTGTCACACAGATCAAGGAGCAGCTCACGCTGACGGAAATGGCTAAGACTAAGTTTGAGTGCCAGTTGGCGCCTGTGGGTGATCCGAACATGAAGGTCGAATGGTTCTTCAATGGCAAGCCCTTGCTCTACAGTAAGTGCCTACATTCGATGCCTAAAATTGTTCAGCATTTATTTATGCTCTTATTTCTGAACTCGCAGAGAACCGCTTCCAGCCCATTTACGACTTCGGTTATGTCGCCATGAATTTCGGCTGGGTTTATCCCGAGGACAGCGGGGAATATGTCTGCCGCGCCACGAACTTGTATGGCATGGATGAGACTCGTGCCATCATCAAGGTATCCGGCAAGCCGGGCATTGTCTACGACTCGCAGCTGCCTGCCCATATGCAGAGCATCGATCGCATTCGCGAAATGGAAGCTTCCTGGCAAGTGTAAGTATCTGTGGTATTAGCTGGGCCAAAGACATTGGATACATTCGCTATCTACTCCCGCAGGGTACCCGAAGAAGCTGACCCCGATGCCAAGCCCAGAACGAAACCAGTGTTTGTTAGCAAGCTGGAGCCGCAGACGGTCGAGGAGGGCGAACCAGCCAGATTCTGTGTGCGTGTCACCGGTCATCCACGTCCTCGTGTCATGTGGCTGATCAACGGCCACACTGTTGTTCATGTAGGTGCACTCCGGCGCATTTAATCGAGTCAGTGATTAATTTCTTTCTCACATGCAGGGCTCGCGCTACAAGTTGACCAACGATGGCATGTTCCATCTTGATATACCCAAGACGCGTCAATATGATACCGGCAAGGTGGAGGTTATAGCGCGCAATTCTGTGGGCGAATCGATTGCTTCGACCGAACTGAATGTTGTCGCACGCTCTGATGACTATCGCAATGTTCTCAAGAACTCACCACGCCGTAAGTCACACGCACACACACACCCATACACTCTTGCTATAAACACAGATTGTTATACAATCCGATATATCTAAACAGCTATATGAAATTAACACGAATTTTTAAATGCAGTAGTTCTTAGCTGGCAAAACTAAAAAAAGAAACACACAAGTGATATCACATTAAATATCGCATTGTAAATATACATACACATACTCTTTTATATTATATATATAGTTCACATAAAGTATGCATTTCCAAGTAGAAGTAGCAGCCAAGTTAATTGCGTTTCTCAAGCACATGCCACAAAAAAAAAAAAAAAAAAAAAAAATACAAAACTAGTGTCACTGTATAGGTCAGACAATAGACAACCACAAATTCCCTACCCACAATACACCCAGTTCCCCACTCCGAAAAGTGCTTTCCTTCAATTATCCCATAAGAGCGTCTGATTGTCCACGCATCGAGCCTGCAAGGGAGCGACCCAGCGGAAACTGTGCCCTCTGGACGCCATCAATGAGTATCGCCGGATCATGGGTATTTTGGTTGTGCAAGTTTTTAGTGTGTGCGTGTTTTAAAGACTGTCTATTCTAAGCTGTGGCTGATCGCTTTCAACTTTTGTCTGTCATCATAAGCGGTTGAATTCTAAACGTAAAGGAGTTAGCAAACCTCTGTGAACATCATAAAAAAATGTACCATCCATGTGTCATACTTTCGTTTTGCTTATTTTAATTCATGTACTAACACTGAAGCTATACGAATGCAGTTTTACTTAACCAAGCGGCATGCCAATAGTTCAATTCTTTCTTGTGAATAGCTCAACGTAGTCATGTCTTCTAGAAAGTGTTTAAAACCGTCAATTTGTTTTGCATATAGCATGGTACGATTACGAACTAGCAGCCTACCAGAAGGAGCGCCAGGAGAACGAGCTGGAAAAGGTATTCGATGAGCGTAAGCAATATTTGTCCGAGCAGAGTGCGCACACCCTGAAGGGCGTTGAGCACCTGAAGCCCAAGCAGTACAAGCCCCAGACACCCGATTGGCAGCAGAACGTCAAGGCCAAGAAGAGCGAGGAGTACTATAATAAGATCCAGGAGCTGGAAACTGAGCAGTTGCTCAAGGAGACCAATTTGCGCAGGGATACCCATCAATATGCCATTCCCGGCGAGAAGGTTGTCAGCAGCTCAGCTGCCAAGGGCATGGCGCACTCCTACGAGGAGAATCTGTAAGTAAACTCCAAGTCATTCAGATGAGCCTACGCATACTCATACCGAAACTCTGTAATTTATAACAGTCAAGAGCAAACGAGCACCACCCAGGTCAAGGGCGCCCCACCAAAGGGCGTAGCCCAGCCTTCAGAGTCGTCGGTGCATGGACGTGAGGTGCACATGAATAAGCAGCAGCAAGTGCAGAAGGAGATCCAAGGTGACTTGGAGATCACACGCAAGATCACTGCCACCGAAACCACCGAAGTGGAGCATAAGGGCACCATTCAAGAGCGCGTTGTCAAGGGTCCAGTCCAACCCTCTAAGGCACCCGTGTTCACCAAAAAGATTCAGCCATGCCGCGTCTTTGAGAACGAGCAGGCCAAATTCGAAGTGGAGTTCGAGGGCGAGCCCATGCCAACTGTGAAGTGGTTCCGTGAAAGCTTCCCCATCCAGAACTCACCTGATTTGCAGATTCACACATTCAGCGGCAAATCCATATTGATCATACGCCAGGTCTTCATCGAGGACTCGGCTGTGTTTACCTGCGTGGCAGAGAATCGTGGCGGAACTGCCAAGTGCAGCGCCAATTTGGTTGTGGAGGAGCGCAGACGCGCCGGCAAGGGCGGCATACAGCCACCAAGCTTTGTGTCCACCATTCAGAGCACAACCGTGTCCACTGGCCAACTGGCTCGCTTCGATGCCAAGGTAACTGGCACACGCCCCATGGATGTTTACTGGCTGAAAAACGGCATGAAGATCCAGCCCAGCATCAAGTTCAAGATGCTGGAAGAGGACAACATTCACACTCTGTTGATCATTGAGCCGTTCGCCGAGGACTCTGGCCGCTATGAGTGCGTGGCTGTCAACGCCGCTGGCGAGGCACGCTGCGATGGCGATTGCATTGTTCAATCGCCCACCAAGCCGGAGAAGCCAACAACGCCCGGCAGCGAGAAGCCGCCACACATTGTGGAGCAGCTGAAGAGCCAGTCCGTAGAGGAAGGCAGCAAGGTAATCTTCCGCTGCCGCGTGGATGGCAAGCCCACTCCGACAGCTCGTTGGATGCGTGGCGAAAACTTTGTGAAGCCATCTCGCTACTTCCAAATGTCGCGTCAAGGCGAATACTATCAGCTGATCATCTCGGAGGCATTCCCCGAGGACGAGGGCACCTACAAGTGCGTTGCCGAAAACAAACTGGGCAGCATTCAGACCAGCGCGCAGCTCAAAGTGCGTCCCATCGAAAACCTGGATGCACCACCCACCATCACCGCTCTCAAGGATGTCTCCGTCACCGAGGGCATGCCGGCGCAGTTCAAGACCACTGTCACCGGCAAAGTGAAAGCAACCAGTGTGCAGTGGTTCCGCGAGGGACAACTGATACCGGAAACACCTGACTTCCAGGTAGGCTGACTACAAATTGGACCAGATTAATCAATTAGCCGCTTGAGCTATTGAAGAGCAGTGACTTAATTGAAATTTGATATCGTTGCAGATGATCTTTGATGGCAACAGTGCCGTGCTTTTGATTGGCACCACCTACGAGGAGGATTCGGGCATCTTTACTGTGCGTGTGACCTCGTCAACTGGACAGGTCGAGTCATCAGCCAAACTGACTGTTAAAAGTAAGGATTAAACTAAACGCTAAGCCAAACCAAAACCAGAGTTCGTAAACAGCAAGAAATCAAACGTAAGCGAACAGTGTTCGAAATCTCCAAAGAATGCTCAAAAGAAAAAAAAAAAAAAGAACAACACACACACATAACGACCAAAAAAAGAACCTTAAGAACTATACGTATATTTTTTACATAACGGTTCCCTATACTGACGATGATTCAGCCCAACTAACTGAGTACTGTCAATGACTAGTCCAAAAAGTTTGAGTGAAGAATACTTAACTGAAAACGAATATTTCGACAGTTTAAATTTTTGTTCCTTTTTCTTTCAAATCAGATTTTTACATTGAATACAACGAACGAGTTCTTTTAATTACTAACCCAATTTCAATATCAATATGTGAACCCAAGCAACAATTAAATGAAAGATGTTTAACACAAAAAGGTAAAAAAAAAAAAAAAAAAATATTAAAAACCAACAAAAAAATCAAAGTTTATTTAAAAGAAATTAATATTAATAATAAAAATAATTACAAGTATTTTGCAATATAAATATATATAGAACATTTTCTTTTTGGCATAGCCAATCATGAGGGCATTGTTTGTCGGTTGTTATAAAATTCGAAATACTTGAGATTTGAGTGAAAGTGAAGTGAAAAATGAATTAAATAGATAAATATAGATACACCCAAAGCACTCAGCACTCGCCCCTTTGAGTGAGAATTATAAATAAGGCAGCTTATGTACTTTCATATTGCTCAGTGAATACCTATACATACTTAAGTTTATATGTATGATACGTCTCAGGCACCTTATAAATATGTTGAGTTCTTCTGTATTTAGGCTACATACATACAAATATAGAGGAGCTATGTGTATAGGAAACATATAGAAACATGTGTCGGAATAGTTCTGGGGCCGTGTGCAAAACGCACATTTGTCCCGCCTCCGCTCGAGCATGAAAGTTTTATTTTTCATTTGAATATTAGCATTAAATATTGTGGATGACACATCTAGCGCGCATACGGCTCGCAGCGTTTGCTGTATCCATGTCCATACTGCCATCGAATACTTGAATATGAAAATCTAGAAACGAACGTGCGCAAAACTAGCACAGCCCAAGGGGGATACGTTGATAATAAGTAAAAACCAGAACGCCGAAAATATTGAAAGCCATTGCAGACACTGAATTTGTTCAGCTGCCAGCAGACAGCAGCCAGCAGTCAGCAGTCAGATTATCTATATGCTCTACTATACTATATACACAAATCTAAATATATATATGTGTGCTGCGGGCTGTCCATTCTATTTTCAATTTCATTTTTGGAAAATGGTTGTGCTTTGAAAACTAATTTCCAATAGATTAGCTAGAACAAAAAAGAAAAAACAAGAAATGAGACCAACAACAATTAAAAAGTAGAATCCATTTGATATTTTTAGACCGCAGCGCAGTCTGGATATTTTGTTTGCGGCTACAATGAAAAACATTTTATGTATTTTTTCAAGTAAATCGTGAAATTTATTTCAATTTTCTTTCATTTAAAAATTAGAAAAAAATAAATGAAAAGCGAAAATATAATATTGGCTTTCAATGTATGAGCACAGATGAAAATAAACTGACATTTAGTTCAGGCAAAAATAAAATAATTAATTACCTACGAGCTGTTTGTTTTGTTGTTGTACCATGTAGACAAGATATGAGTAGCCGATTTACCCAAGAGATCTATTCGAACACACACACACAATGAAACACACACCAACTTGTGTGTTCTATTCGGGTCTGTGTGTTAGTCATTAGAGAAGCCAACATGAATAAATGATTCTGTTTATGGTGCAGAAATGGTTTTTAATTAAATTAATCAGTTACGGTAGTTTACTCATCCAATCGCCCTCTGGCGCTGATTCAGATGCTTTGGCCTTTATTTATAGAAGCCAGCCCACGAATCTTGTATCCAACCGACTATTCAGATCTGCAATCCCTCTGAAATCGAAAAATGCATATTAGTATTGAACATTGTTTATTGGAACGATACGTTCAAGTATTACTATCAAACTTTGACCATGTACCCGATCTTGAACTCGTATTCGGACTTGACCTGGACAGACACGGATATCTATATGATATATGATTATTTGACGTTTGATTATAATCGATTTGTATTGTTTATTTAATTTACGTTTATTTATTTTGTAGTGATGTTGCATGAGATTTTATTATTCATTTTTTATTGCTGCTTTTTACTACTAATTCGTTTCGTTCTCATTTCGTCCACTTTCCACAAAACTATTTCGCATTTTCGAAAAACAAAACACACAATAGAATCAATATTTTGAAATTATTATATTACCGTGTCCAGTGCAAATATTTGCCGCTTATGCCGCCGTAAATCTTGTGGTAAAAAATGCTTTACTAAAAAATTAATCATAAAAACTCATGCGACTTTTGTTTTAAGTTTGATCTACAATACATTTGAGATACTCGTACTCCTCTGTCAATTAAATAATTTATGTTTATGTTTACGTTTCGTGTTTTAAGTGTTTATCGATCGACCGATAATCAAATATCCAATTCGATATTTCAATTCAATAATTCTTTTGTTCTTCCATATCACTCTTGTTGCTTAATTGTATTTCTCATGTATTTAATGCTTAAAACCAATATCGCGTCTTTCAAATAAAAAACAAAGCAAATGCATCATCAACTGATAATCGTTTTTGATAACTTCCAAACTGCCAAACTCCATGCTTGCGCATCCTCTGCCGCTGCTTGCTCGCACCGTTATAGGTAATGTATGTACATTTATATATATAGTATTATTATGGTACTTCGATGTTTTATGTTAACGATTTACAACACTCGATTGAGGACTGCACTTTGTAAATGGACCGCACATTCGCCCCGTGTGCCAATTGGCTACCTTCTGCGCTCGATTGTTGTCTACATCCGAATGAGATCGGTCGAATGCGCCGCGGTGCGCTGGCTGCGCTGCGTTGACTGCGGTGCTTACCCCAAAAATACCCCATATCGATACAGCGCACAGCACACTGAGCACCGCCTAAGAATCCGGCCGAGCTGTTTACCCCACCTGGTGACGTAGCCGCCACTAATCATAAATCTATTTCGGGCACCCATTGTAAACACAAGCCTTTTAATTGTGCACGCTCTCAAACTCAATTGTTCTCGCTGAGCCGGATCATTCCTTTGGGCCCATACTTCGATTGGATGATGAAGCGGCTGTACTTAGCTGATGATAAATTCGTACATTCATTGAAAATGTGCCAAAAGAGTAGCTATAGGTTATTGCAAGAATCACAGGTGAGATTCGTCACAGACGAATTGTGATTCATGCGACAGATTCACGTCTTTTTCTTTATCAATGTCAAGCACTGAGTTGAGATGTGCGTGGCATATTATTTAAGTACCTAATTATTGATTCACGGCCAACATAGATGAGCTGTCTTATGCGATTTGTGTGCCGTGATTTGAGGCTGTCGTGCCCCCTCTTTGGCATCTACATATACCTTTACAGCCAAGCAGAAATATGCGTTCTGCCATGGTATTTGAATTTTCATTTTGCACACTACATTAATATTTTCAAGTTCATTGTTTATACATAGATTGTATATACACACATATATGCTTGCAAGGTATTTTGATTTATTTTTAATATTGAGTATAAGCAACATGGGATATATACTCGTATGCCAGAGGTATGTATCAAGTTGCCACACCCCTCAACTAATATCAATTTCAAGGTAAGCGACTCTATCTAAATGTCGAACACTGCTGTGAACTCTGGAAAATGTCAGGCGATTCTCGATTCCCCCCATATACTCTACTAACACTTTGACTTACCCTTTGAACTTCTAGAACGACGTATCTCGGCTTATCAATTGCGTACGATTGATTCTGTCGAAGATGAGTCCTCGTCATCTGGCAGGGAAGATAGTTCACCTGAATCGCCCAACCAGTTCCAGCAGCAACAGCAGCCGGGCGCATATGGTCAATATTTGGGCGTTAATGGGCAGGTACAGCATCAGGGTCGCTCTCGCACTAAGAAGACAAAAGTGCGCAGCAAGTCCTTGCAGCCGCCCACTAATATTGTGCCTTGGCGCAAGTCCTCGCGTCCGCACCGTGGACGCTCACTAGACAAGCAGCCATTCCTGCCGGGTTTCAAGCCAGAGCCGATCAAGTCGTGGACCGAAGAGACGATTAGCTTAAAGGCCACACCCATTGAGAAAAAGAAGCCGATACCCAAGCTAGAAGCCGCAAAGGTTGTCCTCAAGTCCATCAAGTCTGAACGAGATCAGGGCATCATGAGCCTGGGAGCTACTTTGGAGCAGATTATCGCTGGCAAGACCGAAAAGGAGGCCGTGCCTTGGATAACAATGCGTGAGAAGCTAAAGCAGGTGGAGAGTGTGCAACGACAGCTGAGCAAATTTGACCTTGATGAGGTCTATTTGCGGCCATTAGAGGGTCAAATCGAAACCGACCAGCAGCTGCCACAGCAAGCCCAACTGGAGGAGGTGCAACGCACCAAGGAAATTCAACGCCTTAAGAGCATGGAAAGCGTAGAAATCATGGAAATGACTGACCAGATTGATAAGCTCATTACCCAGCAGCAGAATAACAAGGATCGCATTCCATGGAAGGAGATGCGTCAGCAGCTGAAGAGCGTGCAGCGGGTAACCAAGCAAATTGACAAGTTCAAGATTGACGAGGTTGAGCTGCGCCATCTGCAGGCTCAGCAGAGTATCGCTGAAGATTTCCAGAGTGCTACTCAGGACACAGTTGTCATGACTATCGATGATAGCTCCAAGAGCTCAATTTCTAAGATTATGACACGCGATGAGATTCAGCACTACGAGGACCAGTCGAATATCTACAAGCAGCAGTTCATAACCACTGAGGACGTTAACATAATGCATGTTTCAGAGCGCGAGAAGCTCGAGGCACAAAGACTGCTCAGGGAACAGCAAGCTGTCAACTGGAGACAGCAGCAGCAGCGTCCTCAACTGCAGCCACTAACCTCTGTCGAGGATACGATCTCACAGACCAGCGAACGCCAAAAGATTGTGCAGCAGCAGAGCCTTATCGAAGAGAGCCAACGCCAGCAGTTTGTGCAAGTCGAAGACTCCCAGATGATGAGCATTGAGCAGTATGAACATCAAAAGATGATCAACCAGCGCACTCAAGGGGAGTCCTACAACTGGCGTCAGCCACGTGAGCCACAGAAGTTCATTCAGGTTGAGGACTCATCTCTGTTGCATCTACAAGAGCGACAAGATACCCAGGAACAACAGCTTATACAGCCCCAGCCTGTTATGTGGGACCGTGGTAAGAAAAAGCAACAGCCTATGCAACCCCAAGGTCCTATTCCCCAAGAGCAACAGCAGTTCGTGGAGAAACCAAAGACATATGAAGAAATGCATGATGAGCTGATTGAACCAGTTCCAGTCCAACAGCCAGAGCCAGTGCCAGTTATGTGGGAGCGTGGCAAGAAGAAGCCAGTCCAGCCACAACAGAAGGCATTTGAAGAGCTCCATGACGTGCTGGATGAACCTGTTCCGGTGCAACAGCCGGAGCCTGTTCCTGTCATGTGGGAACGTGGTAAGAAAAAACCAGTTGTCCAAGAAGTTACTGATACTCAACAAATTGTAGAAACATCGCAAGTGGTTGAGCAACAAGTTGTCGAGGAGACAAAGAAAACGGCAGTACGTCGTGTAATACCACCGCGTGAGCCAGAGCAGAAGGTAGAGCAAGTGACTCTTAAGCCAACTCCACGAGCGGCACCTAAACAAGCTCAAAAGTCTGAAGAATTCCAACTGAAGCCACTCAAGACTACGCGAACCGTTCAACAAACTGTTCAAGAGTCGGTTCAAACGGCCACCGAAGAAACTCAACACATTACGGAAGTGGCACAGATCTCGAAAACACTTGAAGTTGCCGAGGATACTTTGGAAGAAGAAACCACCAAGATCGTGGAACCTCAGCCGCAGCCAGTAATGTGGGAGCGTGGCAAGAAGAAACTTCAACAGCCTACAGCTCAAGAGATACCAAAGTCGCATGAAGCTGCTGTTGATACGCTTGAAGAGGAAATACCTCCAGCTGTTCAGCCAGAGCCACAGCCTGTTATGTGGGAGCGAGGCAAAAAGAAGCCCCAGCAGCCTAAAGCTCAAGAAATTCCCAAGACTCAAGAAGTCGCTGTTGATACTCTTCAGGAAGAAACAGCTCCAACTGTGGAACCAGAGCCGCAGCCAGTGATGTGGGAGCGCGGAAAGAAGAAGAAGCCAACTCAAAAATTGGTGGAGGAGATTGCTCCCGAAGTTCCAACAAAAACATTTGAGGAGGCAGTCGATGTTCTGCCAGAGGAACCTAAGGTTGAGGATAAGCCAGAACCTGTTTTATGGCAACGAGGTAAGAAAAAGCCGAAGCCAACTGAGGAGCAACACCCAGATGAAGTCGATGCCCAAATCGAACAAGTTGTTGAGGAGGAGGAACAAGTGGTTGAAGAAAAGCGTAAAGTCAAAAAGGTTAAGAAACCTAAGCTTCCACAGGAACCAGTTGAACAGCCTAAAGAAGAGGAGATAATTGAAGAGAAAGAAGAGGAGATAATTGAAGAGAAAGAAGATATCGTTGAAGAAGAAGAGGAAGTAATAGTGGAAGAAAAGCGTAAAATAAAGAAGGCAAAGAAACCAAAGAAAACTGTTGAAGTAACTGAGGAGCCAGAAGAGCCGGAAGAGCCAACGGAAGACATTCCAGAAGAGGAAGTTGTCCAGGAGCAGGAAGAATTGGTTGAGAAAAAGCGAAAGGTGAAAAAGACAAGAAAACCAAAACCCACAGAGGCAGAGCAAGAAGAACAGGAAGTTGAAGAAGAGATTCCAGAAGCACAGCCCGAAGAGGTTCCAGAAATCGAAGAGCCTTCAGTTAAAGAGCCGACGAAAAAGAAGCCAGTTCCCAAAGTGCAAGAAGTGGAACAAGTTGAAAAGGTTACGCTTAAGCCCGTTCCCAGAAAACAGCATCAACTACCTGAAAAAGAGCAAGTTGAAGAAGTGACGCTCAAGCCACGTCCAAAGACTTCAATTGTCTCGGAGACACAACAGCCCGAAACAACTGAAACTGAGTTTGTTGAGACAGAAAAGGTTGTTACATTCGAAGACCAAGTAGTGGATGTAACTAAGAAGCGTGTTAAGAAGAAGAAGCCGAAGACAAAGCCTGAGAGTCAGGAATCTATCGAAGAGCCAATCGCAGAACCAGTTGAAGAAATTGAAAAGCAAGAAGAAGAACAACCAGAAGAAATCGAGCCTGTAGAGAATGTGGCTGAGGAACAAGTTATCGAGGAAGCTCCAAAGGAAAAGGTTACGAAATTCAAGCCCAAAAAGGAAGAAGTTGTTGAAATGGTTGAAGAAGTTGCTTTGAAACCGGTAACCAGACCAAAGAAACAATTGCCTCAGGAAGCAACAATAGAAGAGGTACGTCTCAAGCCTACGAAACGCACAACTACCAAGCCTGAGGAAGTTAAATTGGAAGAAGTCGACTTGCAACATGTTGAAAAGGTAGAAGAGGAAGTAATTCAGGAAGAGAAGCGAAAGGTCAAAAAGGTAAAGAAGCCCAAGCACGAAGAGCTTCCTGAAATTCCAGATGCGGAGCCTACCATCTTGGAAGAGGCAGAGTTGATCGACATCGAGAAAGAGCCTAAGCCCGAAGAAGAGAAGCCACAAGTCCCTTGGAAGCGTGGTGAGAAGAAGAAGCCAGTTGCGGAGCCTTTAGAGGAAAAGCAATGGCCAACTGGTAAACGACGCCCTCTGCCCGAAGAACAGCCTGAAGAGATACAGCTCAAGCCGATTCCATCCAAACCTGTGGAAATTCCTGCAGCACCTGAAAAGGCAGTTTCTCCACCTGAGCTACAGCCGGAAGAAAAGGTGGAAAGCGAAGATGAGATTTCTGATTTGGAGCCTCTGAAGTTACCAGAAGAGAAACAACCCAAAGAAAAGGTTAAAAAGGAAAAGAAGAAGAAACCAAAGTTGAAGAAGGCAACGCCATCAGTGGATGAAGTTTCCGAAGAAGTGGCCCAGCCATTTGCAGAGCCAATTGCTGAAGAAGATCAAGTTGAAGAGCTTCCAGTTGATGATGTGAAGGTTGTTGCTGTCTCTGAAGATGTGCAGCCAGAGGAAGAAGTCGTGGTAACTGAGAAAACACCCGAAACCAAACAAAAGGCGCATAAGAAGCGTACAAAACCACTGAAAGAAGTTTCGGTTGAAGGACAACCACAACTGCTGGAAGCAGCTGTTGCCGAAATCGAAAAGGCTGATGAAATTTCCCAAGAGATCTCACAAAAGACTATTACTCTACTGAAGAAGACTGAAGATACAAGACCTCAATTCATAACAACAGAGCAGCTTATTGAGCTCGACGTGGAGGACGTAAGACGCGATCTGGAAATGAAAATAACTTCGAATATAATTAAGAAGGAGAAACGGCGCGTTGTGCTTGATGACAGCCAGCCTCTGCCCGAATTGGAGCTAATCACGCAGAAACGTATTCAAGAGGGCATCGACAAAGTGGCCGATGAGGAGCTGATCGAGGATCAGCAATTGACTCAGAACTTAGAGGAAACAACTACGTCTGAGGTAATTGGCCAGGAGCGCAAGCTAGTCAAAAAGAAGAAGAAGGAAATCAAGCCACCGCGTATCACCGAGAAGCTGCGACCACGTCAATGTGTTCCCGAAGAGCCCACCATCCTCGAATGCAAGGTTGAAGGCGTACCATTCCCAGAAATCAATTGGTACTTTAACGACATGCTATTGTTTGCATCGGAAAAGTATGAAATCACCGTTGTGGAGCAGGTGGCACAGCTGAAGATAGCCAAGGTCACGCCCAGCGATGTGGGAGTGTACACCTGTGAGGCGAAGAACGAAGCCGGCGTGGCAACAAGTCGTACCAACATAATTTTAGGTAAGTTCAATGCACATTTTCATTTATTCTATGCAAATGTATTCCTGTCTGTGTAAGTCACTTGAAAGCTTTTGAGAAAGTTGATTGGTGTCTTAATTATTTTAACCTCTTGGAAGAACCACTTAACAAACTACTTCCATGATTTCATTCCATTTCTATGCCCAAACACAACGACAACAACACACTTTATAAATACTTTCTATTCACAATGAATATAGAAAAAGAACAAGGAGTCGCGCCACAATTTACGAAACCACTTAAGATCGAGTTTACAGAGGAAAAGCAGCCCGAGCGGCTTAAGGTAACTGTAACGTGTCAAGTGACTGGCAAACCCAAGCCTCAAGTTAAGTGGTACCGTGGTATTGAGGAGGTGATACCCAGCGAAGCTTTGCAGATGTTTTATGATCAAGAGACTGGCGACGTTGTCTTGGAGGTTATAAATCCGCCTCCAAATGAAGCCATTACCTATTCGGTTCAGGCTCAAAATCAATTTGGACGCGCCATTGGCAATGCCAACATTATGAGCCGCGTGGATGAAGCGCCCAAAGAGATTCTCAAGCCGCCCACAGTAACTCCGTTGAGTGCGGTTGTGGTTCCAAATGGAGGCACATTACTGTTCGAGGCCAAATACGATGGTATCCCAAGACCAGAGATCAAATGGCTGCGCAATGGCCGTGAGATTATCGAAAACGAGGAAACCATTATAGAAACCACAGAGACAACGACAACAATCAAGGTTATCAATATGACTCGTAAGCGTACAGGAAAGTATGAAGTTTGTGCCAAGAATAAGGTGGGTGAGGCCAAGTCTTCTGGCTCTGTGGTTGTTTCTGATCAAGCACCTGATAAGAAAATCAGACCACCCAAATTCATTCAACCACTTGAGCCGAAATTCTTTGGAGAACATGAAGTTGCAATACTCGAGGTTGTTGTCGATTCAGAGCCGCTTTCATCCTTCCAATGGTTTGTTCACAATGAACCCATTAAGAGCTCGAATGAATGCCGTATTGTTAGCCAGGCTAACAAGTCAACGCTCTTGATTGAGGACTTCCAGCCGAAGTTCTCCGGCCCATTCACTTGTCGAGCTGAGAACGTTGGCGGCTCGGTCACATCAACAGCAACAGTTAATATGCTGGAGGGCGCACCACAGGAACAGGCTGTGGAATTCGAATCGCCACGCTTCATTGAGGAATTGATTCAGCCCATAGATGTAATGGATGGCGAACAGCTGCTATTGACTTGTCGAGTGACGGGCAAGCCTACACCAAAGGTGGAATGGTATCACAATAAGGAAAAGATAACAGAAACAAAGGAGACAACACTGTCGCAGGATGCGCAAGGAAATTGCCAGCTACAAATAACGGAAGTTTTCCCTGAAAATCAGGGCCAATATAAATGCGTTGCGACAAATAAGATTGGCAAGAGCGTCACGAAGACAACTGTTAATATTCAAGGTACTTTTGGATGGTATCAATTGATAGTTGATAGTTAACAATAGATACTTAGGAAATGTAGCATACACCATATGCATCGCATTCTACATAGGTTTTTCAATAACTACACTCTTTCCACTATCCTCCTACTATTTCTCCTCTGAATACTATATATATACCCTGTTTAGTATGTTCTTTATACTAACTCACATCTTGATGCCCTTGCATGTGATACTAGCTAAAAGAGATCTTTCGATTTTAAATCTATATTATCAGCTCTCGCAAAATCCTTTTGTAAATAATTTTCCGTTCTTGCGTTTGATAATATATCTGTCATTGGACAAGCCAATATTTATAAAATTTAAAACATTTTTTTAGCATTTGAATATATCCCCGATTCTGAAATCACTGGACTCACAGGATCTGAGGAGGATCTACTTGATAGAGTAAGCGTGATTGTAGTTAAAGAGCTGCCTAGGTTTTTCTTGAAGCTAACTTTTTTCATATATGATGCCACCGTTTTAGACTATCTCAATCGACGAACAACCTCCGAAAATTATTAAAAAGCTACCTGAAAAAATCGAACCCAAAGAGGGTGAACAAGCGAAATTGGAAGTTAAGGTTATTGGTAAACCAAAACCAAAAGTCAAATGGCTACGTGACGACGAACAGATATTCGCCTCCGAGGAATATCAAATCGAAAATTTCGAAGATGGGACCTCAGTGTTGGTCATCAATCATGTATATCCCGATGATGTGGGCACAATTAGTTTTGAGGCCTACAATCCATTGGGAGTGGCAGTAACAACTGCACTATTCGCAGTCGAAGGTACTGTTATGGTTAATGATGTGTTTATCATACGCTTTATAATATCATGGAAAAGTCTTGGAATTGTCAGTAAAATTCTCTTTCAGATCTGCAGCAGCAATGCCAAATTCCCTTTTATCCCAATCCCCCTTATAACATATGTCTACAATCCAATTTGATAACATTCCCACTCGTATTCCCTACACAAAAATACTCTTACTATACACTCTAATACACGAAAGGTTAAATATATATGAATAGAACTTACAAAACATATTTTCACACATTATCCTCACTGCATTGCTGATGAAACGCTAATAATAATCTACTATTGTCACTTCTACTGTATCGCAACAATAATAGGCATCGTTGGATCAAAGGATTATCGCAAACCAGAATGGGTGACCCACATGGAAGAGATGCAAGTCGCTCTCAAAGGTATGTATCAGAGGATTGAATTATAACCGACTCTACCACTGTTATGTGTATATGTGTTTTAATTTCGTGTTTTTCAACACACAACTGTTTTCCGTACTGTTGTCTTAAATCACAAAACAAAAACAACATTTCACAAAGTCTGTCTCTATTGTATTTGTCCATGTATTATACAATGTTTCGTGCACCAACAACAACAACAACTATGTGAATCTGTCGATTTCGTCCAATGAAGCTTACAAACTATGTGGCTTTGTAATTGTCTCAGCCCTTACAGCTCTAAGGCTTAAACACCCCTTTTCCCCTCAAAACGTATCCAAGTCCCATTGACAAAAGTAATCGCCTTTAGAAATAATAGTATAAAATTCTTGTTATCCCTTATATATACATATATATTTTTTACAGTATCAGTAACTCACGTACAAGTAATTGGTTGTATTCTAAAATGTTTTAAACGAATTCTACTTTTTCCAAATTTCTACTAACCCATAAGTAACTTAAATTCCAAGGAAACTCTATGACATTCCCCTAGCGCTGCTTACCCACACATATCTATATGTTGTTATGTGCTAGCTGGCTTTGTTGCCTGTTTACTCGTTGCATTTGAGTTTATTCAAAGATTTAACCAAAAACAGACAAACAATTTACATATTACTCAAGCAAACTACAAACATCACACTAGGATTAAATACTGACTGTAAGTACAAGGCACACATACAGACTAACTTCTGTTGCTTGTAGAGCTTTGTATCTAATACGTAGTTAAATGATGCTATCTTTATGCTTATAGCTGCTAAATGCTCGCCATCGCTACTTAATGAAATGCGTGACTGTCGTGCTTCGATTGGGGAAACAGCGAAGTTCTCCGTACAATTTGCAGGCAATCCGCAACCAGGTACAGTATACTGTCTGTAGAGCGCTGCAGTTGGTTGGGGCTGATGGTAGATTGGTTTGCTGGCTTTTGTAGATATTCAGTGGTATTTCAACAATGTTCAACTGAGGGCGTCAGAAAAGTACCGCATGGTAGTGCAGGAATCAGAGGCAACACTTGAAATATTCAAAATAACAAACGACGACTGCGGTTACTACAACTGCAAACTGATCAATGAAATTGGCATGACAATGACGCGCGCTAAGTTCGACATATCCTCCACATCTGCAGTAGCAGAGGAGGTGGAGCAAGTGAAGACAAAGACTGTGAAGAAGAAGACGGCCAAAAAGACAGCGAGCACAATGGCCAAGCGAGCCAGTGCATCTGAATCTCAGTCGCTTCATAAAACTGAAATCAAAATAGTCCCATCGAGGGCTGTAGAGACAACCGTCAATATAGTGAAGGTAAAACAGGCTGTGCCCATATTGGTGGAGCACAGTGAAGTCTCGGAAGCGATGCAAGTAAAAGATCGTAAGATCGCTGATGCTGAGCAACGCAGCAGAATCATTGAAGAAGTTGCAGAAGAGGCAGAAGAAATTGAGTCCGAAGAAGAGATCCTCGTTGAGAAGAAATACACGTCAAGTAAAACGATTCAGCTAACTGAAACCGTTGAGCTAATACGCACAAAAATCACAATGAAAACCATCAAGATTGAAGATATCTATGAGATAAGCCAGCATGAGGAGGTGCAATGGCTGCTCGAGTCCGTCGAGGCCGAGTCGTTTGGCAAAATTGGCGAAGCAGCGCTCAGAGACTTGGCCACAATTGGTGTGCTCTTGCGCTATGGCTGCACTCATTATGAGATCACATACATGTACGAGCAGAACATATTCATATCGCTACAGAAGCCCGAATCGCAGTCAGCCCTCGTTCAGCTCGTGGAGCGTGAAGGCCACGAGGAGCTGATCACGCAAATCCTAAGTGAATCTTCGAATGAGGACGAAACTATATTGGCAGCGACAGTTGGCTTCAAAGCGTTCATACGCATGATACAGACGTACGAAATTACTATAGAGACGGTGATACGAAAGTTTCATAGGGAGGATTTCATCTCTCACGATTGGAAGATATGCGCAAAGGAGGTTTGAATTCTGTTTTGTTTGTTTTTGTTTCATTCGATGCGGTTACGTAGACAGTTGAAATGGCGGTCTAAATTTGACTTAAATTGAAAAAATCTTTCTCTAATTGGGAACTGACATTTCAACTGGAAAACCTGAAAATGTTTTGTACTGTATAGTCTGCAGCTGTGAGATTATATTCTTCTAGTTTATTGACGATTGTTTTTATAACTTTTTACACGATTTATTGAAATCTAGAGAATAGTAGAGACATCCCAAATAATTGAAAGTCATGAGGCTATAACGCGTGTGAAAATCGGTGAGTAAGCTGCTTATTTGTATATATATGTGAATATTGCCAAAAATATAGAAATATGCTTTAGAACATTTGAATTTTGATTACTGAAAAAGCTATTTTATTTCTTTTTTATTTTCAAAAAATGTAAAACTGCTTTGTAAAATGCCTGCGCTTATGTGCCAATCCCAACAACAAACTTAATCTAACCCATACGTAGAGGAAACATTTGTCGAGGAACGCACGATAGTTGTCGATGAAGGTTTGAACATAAACACAGATGAACTGTAAAGTCCACAAATAATACCTACCAGTACTGATGTATCCCAATGAACTACTCAACTAGTTACTACATCAATTTATGACACTGAAAACAAAAAACATATTCAAAAACAAACAATAATCGATATTGACTTTTCAAATATATAACAATTAAATTTTGTTAAACCAAACGAATCATGTGTATATTCTAAAAAGACGCCTACCACAAATTATCTCAAATGCCCATTAACCGCTGATAACAACCTACTACTATTATGATTTAATGATTTTCTTTAGCCTGTTGCCATATAAGCTTTTTTTTTTTTGATATATTGAAAAGCAATTTTTAATACTTCTACGCACCTGAATACAAATGTAGAAGGGCTTCTTTTTTATTGAATGCTTGGGGTCAAACAGTTGGCTTGGCTTGAGGTAAGTTTTCACAGAGTTTTCCTTTTGTAATATGTATTGCATATGCTGTTTGTCTGTTTAGCTTTGTTTATGTGTCGCCAAGAATCTAATAAGAAGCAAAAAGTGTTATATTAATCACAAATGCTGATCATATAATTTTAATTATAAACAAATTGCAATTGCCTTGCTTTTATGCAGTTTATGAACATTATTAGTGAATTGTCTTTAATAGCACCTGAAAGAGAAACCGACATTGTCATTGTTTAATTACATTACATTCGCAGAAACTACAACCACTAAAGTGGAAAAACAATTCATACAGCAACAACAAGAACAAGAACATGAACAAGCACTAGGTCAACAACAACAATTACAAATTCAGGCTGAACAAACTGTGCATAGAACAACCAAAACTAAAAAGCATAAAAAACATACAGAAATAATACAACAACAACAACAAATACAACAAAGTATTGAAGAGATTACAAACTATGAGCAAAGAGAAACATTTGCAGAGGAATCAAACACTGAAGCACCAACAATTGAGACACTAGAGCAGATTGAAGAGCTTTTGCCATATAGCACAAATCTATCCACACAAAATGTACCAAAAAATACACACGAAACAATTCCAGTTTCTGTAACAACAGAACTTTCCACACCGAAACCTGTAGCAGCTCAAGTACACGACGAACTCTTACCACAAAAGACTTTAGCAGTGAATGAGGAATGTTTAGCATTCGATGAGGTAAGTTCTAGCTTGACTCCGTCTAGTCCGGCGACTAGTGAGCTAATCGAGCAAGTTGAAGTTCACGAAAGACATGCTGCGTCTATTATTGAGACTCACACAAAGGAGACTCCCAAGGAATTGAAATCTTCGAAAATACCAAAGCGCATACAAGCTGAGCGTAAAATAAAGGAGTCACGTCCATTGCTAATTGAAGCACCTAGCATCGAGGACTCCATCGCAGAGCTGGATTCACTCAAAGCTCCTGTTCAGCAAGCACACGGGGAAATCCTTTATTCCCATGAGCTCACCTCAGAACAGCAGTCGGCTTTGGACAGTGCCGAAAATTTGAAAACCCCAGCAGTTAGCACGGAAAAAGCTGCATCACAATTGCTTGAAAGTGAAAGTATTATGATCACCGAGTCTTTTAGAGGAGAGACAGTAGATAAGGAACCAGCCCAAATAAAGGCCAGCAGCGAGAAAATTTCTCCCATATTTACCCCGAGTGTTAGCCTAGGCATTAGTGAATGTCAAGCAGAGGACTCTGTAATGGAACTCACAGCTCCAAAAGAGATTCGCACCGAAACGACATCACTTACAGTCGAAGAGTTTAAAGCATTCAGCACTAGCGAATCAAGAGCATTAGAGAGTGAAGAAACTATGAACGCAGTGATTCAACCAACGAAATCTCTGGCAGAATTATCTATAAGCCCCGAAGTCGCACCGATTGTGGTGCAGGAAGTTGATATAATGGAGTCCCTAAGCGATGAAAAACCATCACCATCGCGTATTAATGAGGCTCAGGCCCTTAAGCAATTAGTATTGATGGAGAGCCTTATAAATACAACAGCCGATGCACGTAGTCCCATTGAAGAGAATTTACCAGCATTCCGGACAGAATCGCATGAGGCTAGCTCGAGTTTGGAAACACAATCACATGTTACTACGGAGCAAACTATTTCCAATGAAGATGGCCCAAGAGAACTTGCTGTAGAGAAAATACCTGAAAACTTAGCAGCTACATTGGGCCAAACCAGCTCTCTCACAGTGGGACAAACTCAGGAAGTGCAATTAGTCGAAACGACAGAAATGCTGGATAAGCCAACTATAGAGCCTGCTAAGTCCGCGAAAGAGTCATTCACAAAGGCTTTTGGAGCCGCCCTTGGTAATCAGGAAATAGTATATGATACCACTCAGTTAATAGAACCGGAAGGCAATGACTTGAACGAAAGTAAGATAAATATCACAGATGGCGAGCTGGTTGCAGAAGTGCATGCTCAAACAATAATTGACTCAGAACAGAAATTGGTGCCTGAACTGCCAGAATCTGCAATGGCTAGGTTGAATTTTATTGAACAGAAGGCATTGGAAGTCAAGCAGGATACGGGTATTGAGAAAGAAACCAGTTTGGTTCCCGTTAAGCCAGTGGATAAGCAAGCCACTGTAGAAAACATTATTCCCGCCGAGCTGAAGGCGAGCAGTGTATGGGAAGTGCAACCACAAGTTATGCCAGCTGATATTACAAGTGATAATTACAAACCAGCAGCAGCCAGTCCCGTTTTTGAGACAAAAACAGTTGGAGTAACAATTGAGCAGGAATCGCTGAAGAGCACAGATTACCTCGCACCACAAAATAAGCCCGACCTTAAGTCTGGTAAATTACTAATGAGTGATAGTCAACAGTCGCTAGAGGTAACTGCTGTGCAGCTCATTGAGAGCTCCGAAATGATTGAATCAGCACCGCAGCAGCCACAATCAAAAGCTGAGGAGAAAACTGATACATTAACTCATGCTCAGCATGACGAGCAAATAGTATTGGAGTCCATTGTAGATTATGCACCTGAAAGCAAGCCAACAACAGCTCTTGCAGATGTAACAATGCCTGCTCAAATTGGAACTAACGTAAGCGAACAGGCTATACTGGAGACTTTGCAGCCTCATCTGCAGACAGCTCAGCCCAAGAAGCAGGTATCAGCGACTAACTTTGACCTTCTACAGCCTTTGGAGACCAGCTCTCATCTTGCTCTAGAACAAGAAACAGTATTGCAGCCAGATGAACAAAATAGAGTTCAAAATGCAGCTGTAGGATCCCTAAGCGCTTTTCAGGTTGCAGATAAATCAAGCCCTCAACATATGGAGTGCATTCAAGATCTTGGTGAAGAAACGCAGCCCACTCAACAACAAGCAAATTTGAATATTGGAGAGGTATCACTACCTGAATGTGAAGTGGTGACACCATTTGATGCTGTAAAAGATTACTTGGCTCCTGCTTTAAATAAATCCTCTATAACTAACGTACACATCGTTGAAAACACGTCTGCTTTGGATACAACGACAGCTATACCTCATGAAAAAGCTGATGACATTAAAGAGTCAATTATCATTCAACAAGCTGGTCTTATGCCAAAATTAAATGATTTTACCAAAAAATCCCCTATATCGGAGCAGCCGAATGTTTTTGATCATATTTCAGAGCTGCAAGACTTTAATCCAACTTTGGAAACTACTCAGCCTACAATAAGCAGCTTTGATGAAATCCATGTTCAAGAAACGAAACCACTTGAAAAAGAAATTACACTCGAAGCGGACTCTAAGCCAACACTGCAGTCGGTTAAAGTTTCTCTAGATTCAACAACTGGTATTGTGATCAGCCAACAGGAGAATACTTTCGAAGTGGAACGTGATCTGAAGATCCCAACTACTTCAGTGGAACAAGCGAAATGTATTTCTTCCGAATCGTTAAAGCTTCCACTGATCGAAGGTGTGCAAGAAAATCGATCAACTGGAGATCTGGCAGAATTTAAGGTTTCTAATAAATTTGCAACATCAAATATCGATACCTTAACGGAATCCACAACCTCGGAAACAGTCATATATGACAATGTTTTCATAACTGAAGTTAAGGATCAGCTCGATTGTGTTAGTTCTCAGTCCATAATTCCCCATGAACATAAACTGGTAACTGAATGTGTTGTCGTTTCTGAAGTGGAAGAATACGAGAGAATAAAGGAAAAGGAAAGCAAAGCTAAGCCCATCCGGGATATATTTAGTCAACTGCCTATAAATGAAAATCAAAATACACTAGAGGCAGAATCAGAATTGAACACAAAACCTTTAGAAGAATTTAATGCAAAGGTGAGCAATGTTCTTTCACCTCTCTACACTAAAGGAGTCGATGAAATCAAATTGTATGAAACAATTGCTGAAACGAAGCCTACTGACCAAAATAGTGAGCAAGAAGCCGGAATTTCCCATGTAATGTCGCATGTACCTATAACAAATCTACAACAAGTTATAGAATCAACAGACAAGTTTTTTGCTGAGGGCCAAACCACGTCAATTGCCACATCAAATGATAATGCTTCACAACTAAAAGCACCTGTAAGTACTTCTATACAAACTGTTGAAGACATTAAAGAATTCATTCCAAAAACATACATTGAGAAAACTGCTCAGCCCATCTTGGAAGGACATCATTTTGAAGTAACTGTAACAGATAATCAATTCGCCGAGGGTACAGAAGCTATATCGCCAAGTAACGAAGTACTTAAAAAGGCAACTGAATCAATAAATGATGTATTCAAAGCTACTCCACAATCAGAAGAAATGAGCATCTTTCAAAAGGAATGTGTTATTCAACCTACAGAATCGCAGGAAGTCATGGCCAAGCCAGGCTTAAGCGACATTCTTCAACATACAACAACAACTGATGCAATACCCTATGAACTACCACATAATATTAAGGAAGCTGACTCTAATGCTCAAAAGCTTCAAGAATCTCGCTTGGTATCAACTGACGCCAATAAGCTTAGCGTCCAACTTGACGATGTCATTTTGCAACGAGAGGATACGTTCTTGGACAGTCACCAAATTGGTTATGGCAAACCTTTCATTGAAGGTACGCAACGTGAAATGCAAATCTCCGAAGTCATCCCTATTGAAAATATTGACAACTTAAGTTTTCCAACAATTAAGACAGAAGAATTGTCGAGTAATTTAATATGTCAAACAGAAATCCATAAAACTGTATCCGTTGTATCTGCATACGAAGAAGCAACTGATCTAAAATCCGAGCGCCCAAATGAAAAACACGTAGCGCCACATATGGAATCTGATACTAAATGTGCTCAAGTCACAACAATACAAGCTAGCTTCATTAAAGAAGATAAAATGGCTCCCCTAGCGACAATCAAAAAGGTTGCTCAAGCTACCAGTGCAGAAAGACAACCATTGGTAACTGAAGAAGTTACTAGTGTAAGCTCCATACTAGAAAGCTACGATCTTAATGTACCAGCAGAAGGAAAAGCTTCTTCAATATGTGAAATCGGAAAACAGGCTCCAATGATTACTCAACAGTTTATCTATGAAGAGTCTCCAAATATAGAGCTTCAAGAGACCTCAAAATTAATACCAAACATAAATTTGGTAGAAAGTTCGACAAATCCAGTTCAAACATTTACTGTAAGCACATACGAAAATATCGAAGGACACGGCGATTTCAAGCCACACAGCGCGCAACTGAAGGCCGACATACTAACAGACCTAAAGGTTTCGGTGGTGGAGGAGATTACTGTTATATCTTCTATAGATGATATACCCAATGTGGAGCCTATAATAGCAAATGCAACTAGAGATAATATACCACATAGGAAATTTCTGGAAGCTAAGCAAGAACTTTGTGAAAATGTATCAAATTTGGTGGACGAGCTCCCTCCTATGATATGTGCGAGCTATATTCCTGCGGATGAAAAAGTTGCAGTAGTATCTAGTAAGCCACATGTTAAGGAAACTATACTTGAAACAAGCAGTTCTCCTGTCGAACTGTTACATGCCAAGTCTTCAATAATACCTATCAGCTCTCAGTGTCTCAGTGAACAGGTAGTTACAGAAGAACAAGCCACAACACTACATAACAAAAATCAAACACAATCCACAAATGCAAAAATAAGTTTTGCATCAATCAATACAAATCAAGTTGATATAATAAAAATAGAATTGAATAAAAATGTTCAGCCTACTATCGAGGATACAGAGAGTGCCTTGCAGAGACCATTATTCGCCTCTAAAAATATAAATGTTAATTTTCCCACTGAGGCTGAATCACTAGAAGATGTGCAAATTACTTTAATTCCACATACTGACTTAGAGCTAAAGCCTGAGTCAAAATTACAAAATCTACCATCACTAGGTTCAAATGTAATTAGACATATTGTAAAATCACAATCAGGTAAGTTCTAATAAGGTAAACTTTAAGCAATTCAACAGAAAAAGGCGTATTACTTCCGTTAAGATTCGACCCCAACAAGTTAAGAAACACATATTACACAAAACAATTCCCAAAATACATACAAAATAAAGACTAAAAGTTAATTTTTCACACAGATACAAAACAAGCCACAGACACAAAACACACACAACAAAAAACACCAACACAAGAAACACATGAAGTTGATATAACGGAAATTCCTGAAACTACACAAATTGTTGAAAAGCTCACAGAAGATGGCAAGCAAACTAAAAAAATAGTTCGTACACGATTAATAAAAAAGAAGAAGGGCAAAAAACAAGAGTTAACAAAGATTGAAACCATTGAAGAAGATGGGAAGCCAACCGAAACTACTGTCTCCGTCACAGAAGTTCCCATACAAGAGGAACAACCTGACGAGATTATGGAGCTTCCAGAAGAAGTTCGTGTGGTTGAAACTGTAACCGAGGACGGCAAGCCCAAAAAGAAGAAGATACGCACTCGTGTTATCAAGAAGGTTAAGGGCGATAAACAAGAAGTCACCAAGATTGAAACCGTCGAAGAAGATGACAAGCAACCCGAAACTACTGTCACAGTGAAAGAAGTTCCAGTGGAAGAGGAACAACCTGAAGAGATACGGGAGCTTCCGGAAGAGGTTCGTGTGGTTGAAACTGTAACCGAGGACGGCAAGCCGAAAAAGAAGAAGATACGCACACGAGTTATCAAGAAGGTTAAGGGCGATAAACAAGAGGTCACCAAGATTGAAACCGTCGAAGAAGATGACAAACAACCCGAAACTACTGTCACAGTTGAAGAAGTTCCAGTGGAAGAGGAACAACCTGAAGAGATTCGGGAGCTTCCGGAAGAAGTTCGTGTGGTTGAAACTGTAACCGAGGATGGCAAGCCCAAAAAGAAGAAGATACGCACACGTGTTATCAAGAAGGTTAAGGGTGATAAACAAGAAGTCACCAAGATTGAAACCGTCGAAGAAGATGACAAACAACCCGAAACTACTGTCACAGTTGAAGAAGTTCCAGTGGAAGAGGAACAACCTGAAGAGATTCGGGAGCTTCCGGAAGAGGTTCGTGTGGTTGAAACTGTAAACGAGGACGGCAAGCCCAAAAAGAAGAAGATACGCACTCGTGTTATCAAGAAGGATAAGGGCGATAAACAGGAAGTCACTAAGATTGAAACCATTGAAGAAGATGGAAAGCCAACCGAAACTTCTGTCTCCGTCACAGAAATTCCTATACAAGAGGAACAACCTGACGAGATTATGGAGCTTCCAGAAGAAGTTCGTGTGGTTGAAACTGTAACCGAGGACGGCAAGCCGAAAAAGAAGAAGATACGCACTCGAGTTATCAAGAAGGTTAAGGGTGATAAACAAGAGGTCACCAAGATTGAAACCGTCGAAGAAGATGACAAACAACCCGAAACTACTGTCACAGTTGAAGAAGTTCCAGTGGAAGAGGAACAACCTGAAGAGATTCGGGAGCTTCCGGAAGAGGTTCGTGTGGTTGAAACTGTAAACGAGGACGGCAAGCCCAAAAAGAAGAAGATACGCACACGAGTTATCAAGAAGGTTAAGGGCGATAAACAAGAGGTCACCAAGATTGAAACCGTCGAAGAAGATGACAAACAACCCGAAACTACTGTCACAGTGGAAGAAGTTCCAGTGGAAGAGGAACAACCTGAAGAGATACGGGAGCTTCCGGAAGAGGTTCGTGTGGTTGAAACTGTAACCGAGGACGGCAAGCCCAAAAAGAAGAAGATACGCACACGAGTTATCAAGAAGGTTAAGGGCGATAAACAAGAAGTCACCAAGATTGAAACCGTCGAAGAAGATGACAAACAACCCGAAACTACTGTCACAGTTGAAGAAGTTCCAGTGGAAGAGGAACAACCTGAAGAGATTCGGGAGCTTCCGGAAGAGGTTCGTGTGGTTGAAACTGTAAACGAGGACGGCAAGCCCAAAAAGAAGAAGATACGCACACGAGTTATCAAGAAGGTTAAGGGCGATAAACAAGAGGTCACCAAGATTGAAACCGTCGAAGAAGATGACAAACAACCCGAAACTACTGTCACAGTTGAAGAAGTTCCAGTGGAAGAGGAACAACCTGAAGAGATTCGGGAGCTTCCGGAAGAAGTTCGTGTGGTTGAAACTGTAAACGAGGACGGCAAGCCCAAAAAGAAGAAGATACGCACACGAGTTATCAAGAAGGTTAAGGGCGATAAACAAGAGGTCACCAAGATTGAAACCGTCGAAGAAGATGACAAACAACCCGAAACTATTGTCACAGTGGAAGAAGTTCCAGTGGAAGAGGAACAAAGGGAATTTATTCGGGAGCTTCCGGAAGAGGTTCGTGTGGTTGAAACTGTAACCGAGGACGGCAAGCCCAAAAAGAAGAAGATACGCACTCGTGTTATCAAGAAGGTTAAGGGCGATAAACAAGAAGTCACCAAGATTGAAACCGTCGAAGAAGATGACAAGCAACCCGAAACTACTGTCACAGTGGAAGAAGTTCCAACGGATGAGCAACAATCTGAAGAGATTCGGGAGCTTCCGGAAGAAGTTCGTGTGGTTGAAACTGTAACCGAGGACGGCAAGCCCAAAAAGAAGAAGATACGCACTCGTGTTATCAAGAAGGTTAAGGGTGATAAACAAGAAGTTACCAAGATTGAAACCGTCGAAGAAGATGACAAACAACCCGAAACTACTGTTACAGTAGAAGAAGTTCCAGTGGAAGAGGAACAGCCTGAAGAGATTCGGGAGCTTCCGGAAGAGGTTCGTGTGGTTGAAACTGTAACCGAGGACGGCAAGCCGAAAAAGAAGAAGATACGCACTCGTGTTATCAAGAAGGTTAAGGGCGATAAACAAGAAGTCACCAAGATTGAAACCGTCGAAGAAGATGACAAGCAACCCGAAACTACTGTCACAGTGGAAGAAGTTCCTGTGGAAGAGGAACAACCTGAAGAGATACGGGAGCTTCCGGAAGAGGTTCGTGTGGTTGAAACTGTAACCGAGGACGGCAAGCCGAAAAAGAAGAAGATACGCACTCGTGTTATCAAGAAGGTTAAGGGCGATAAACAAGAAGTCACCAAGATTGAAACCGTCGAAGAAGATGACAAGCAACCCGAAACTACTGTCACAGTGGAAGAAGTTCCAATGGATGAGCAACAACCTGAAGAGATTCGGGAGCTTCCGGAAGAGGTTCGTGTGGTTGAAACTGTAACCGAGGACGGGAAGCCCAAAAAGAAGAAGATACGCACACGTGTTATCAAGAAGGTTAAGGGTGATAAACAAGAGGTCACCAAGATTGAAACCGTCGAAGAAGATGACAAACAACCCGAAACTACTGTTACAGTTGAAGAAGTTCCAGTGGAAGAGGAACAACGAGAAGATATTCGGGAGCTTCCGGAAGAGGTTCGTGTGGTTGAAACTGTAACCGAGGACGGGAAGCCCAAGAAGAAGAAGATACGCACACGTGTTATCAAGAAGGTTAAGGGTGATAAACAAGAAGTCACCAAGATTGAAACCATTGAAGAAGATGACAAACAACCCGAAACTACTGTCACAGTTGAAGAAGTTCCAGTGGAAGAGGAACAACCTGAAGAGATTCGGGAGCTTCCGGAAGAAGTTCGCGTGGTTGAAACTATAACAGAAGATGGCAAGCCCAAAAAGAAGAAGATACGCACACGTGTTATCAAGAAGGTTAAGGGTGATAAACAAGAGGTCACCAAGATTGAAACCGTCGAAGAAGATGACAAACAACCCGAAACTACTGTTACAGTTGAAGAAGTTCCAGTGGAAGAGGAACAACGAGAAGATATTCGGGAGCTTCCGGAAGAGGTTCGTGTGGTTGAAACTGTAACCGAGGACGGGAAGCCCAAGAAGAAGAAGATACGCACACGTGTTATCAAGAAGGTTAAGGGTGATAAACAAGAAGTCACCAAGATTGAAACCATCGAAGAAGATGACAAACAACCCGAAACTACTGTCACAGTTGAAGAAGTTCCAGTGGAAGAGGAACAACCTGAAGAGATTCGGGAGCTTCCGGAAGAGGTTCGTGTGGTTGAAACTATAACAGAAGATGGCAAGCCCAAGAAGAAGAAGATACGCACACGTGTTATCAAGAAAGTTAAGGGTGATAAACAAGAAGTCACCAAGATTGAAACCGTCGAAGAAGATGACAAGCAACCCGAAACTACTGTCACAGTGGAAGAAGTTCCAGTGGAAGAGGAACAACCTGAAGAGATTCGGGAGCTTCCGGAAGAGGTTCGTGTGGTTGAAACTGTAACCGAGGACGGCAAGCCCAAGAAGAAGAAGATACGCACTCGTGTTATCAAGAAGGTTAAGGGCGATAAACAAGAAGTCACCAAGATTGAAACCATTGAAGAAGATGGAAAGCCAACCGAAACTTCTGTCTCCGTCACAGAAGTTCCCATACCAGAGGAACAACCTGACGAGATTATGGAGCTTCCAGAAGAAGTTCGTGTGGTTGAAACTGTAACCGAGGACGGCAAGCCCAAAAAGAAGAAGATACGCACTCGTGTTATCAAGAAGGTTAAGGGCGATAAACAAGAAGTCACCAAGATTGAAACCGTCGAAGAAGATGACAAGCAACCCGAAACTACTGTCACAGTGGAAGAAGTTCCAACGGATGAGCAACAATCTGAAGAGATTCGGGAGCTTCCGGAAGAAGTTCGTGTGGTTGAAACTGTAACCGAGGACGGCAAGCCCAAAAAGAAGAAGATACGCACTCGTGTTATCAAGAAGGTTAAGGGTGATAAACAAGAAGTTACCAAGATTGAAACCGTCGAAGAAGATGACAAACAACCCGAAACTACTGTTACAGTAGAAGAAGTTCCAGTGGAAGAGGAACAGCCTGAAGAGATTCGGGAGCTTCCGGAAGAGGTTCGTGTGGTTGAAACTGTAACCGAGGACGGCAAGCCGAAAAAGAAGAAGATACGCACTCGTGTTATCAAGAAGGTTAAGGGCGATAAACAAGAAGTCACCAAGATTGAAACCGTCGAAGAAGATGACAAGCAACCCGAAACTACTGTCACAGTGGAAGAAGTTCCAATGGATGAGCAACAACCTGAAGAGATTCGGGAGCTTCCGGAAGAGGTTCGTGTGGTTGAAACTGTAACCGAGGACGGGAAGCCCAAAAAGAAGAAGATACGCACACGTGTTATCAAGAAGGTTAAGGGTGATAAACAAGAGGTCACAAAGATTGAAACCGTCGAAGAAGATGACAAACAACCCGAAACTACTGTTACAGTTGAAGAAGTTCCAGTGGAAGAGGAACAACGAGAAGATATTCGGGAGCTTCCGGAAGAGGTTCGTGTGGTTGAAACTGTAACCGAGGACGGGAAGCCCAAGAAGAAGAAGATACGCACACGTGTTATCAAGAAGGTTAAGGGTGATAAACAAGAAGTCACCAAGATTGAAACCATTGAAGAAGATGACAAACAACCCGAAACTACTGTCACAGTTGAAGAAGTTCCAGTGGAAGAGGAACAACCTGAAGAGATTCGGGAGCTTCCGGAAGAAGTTCGCGTGGTTGAAACTATAACAGAAGATGGCAAGCCCAAAAAGAAGAAGATACGCACACGTGTTATCAAGAAGGTTAAGGGTGATAAACAAGAGGTCACCAAGATTGAAACCGTCGAAGAAGATGACAAACAACCCGAAACTACTGTTACAGTTGAAGAAGTTCCAGTGGAAGAGGAACAACGAGAAGATATTCGGGAGCTTCCGGAAGAGGTTCGTGTGGTTGAAACTGTAACCGAGGACGGGAAGCCCAAGAAGAAGAAGATACGCACACGTGTTATCAAGAAGGTTAAGGGTGATAAACAAGAAGTCACCAAGATTGAAACCATCGAAGAAGATGACAAACAACCCGAAACTACTGTTACAGTTGAAGAAGTTCCAGTGGAAGAGGAACAACGAGAAGATATTCGGGAGCTTCCGGAAGAGGTTCGTGTGGTTGAAACTGTAACCGAGGACGGGAAGCCCAAGAAGAAGAAGATACGCACACGTGTTATCAAGAAGGTTAAGGGTGATAAACAAGAAGTCACCAAGATTGAAACCATCGAAGAAGATGACAAACAACCCGAAACTACTGTCACAGTTGAAGAAGTTCCAGTGGAAGAGGAACAACCTGAAGAGATTCGGGAGCTTCCGGAAGAGGTTCGTGTGGTTGAAACTATAACAGAAGATGGCAGGCCCAAGAAGAAGAAGATACGCACACGTGTTATCAAGAAAGTTAAGGGTGATAAACAAGAAGTCACCAAGATTGAAACCGTCGAAGAAGATGACAAGCAACCCGAAACTACTGTCACAGTGGAAGAAGTTCCAGTGGAAGAGGAACAACCTGAAGAGATTCGGGAGCTTCCGGAAGAGGTTCGTGTGGTTGAAACTGTAACCGAGGACGGCAAGCCCAAAAAGAAGAAGATACGCACTCGTGTTATCAAGAAAGTTAAGGGTGATAAACAAGAAGTCACCAAGATTGAAACCGTCGAAGAAGATGACAAACAACCCGAAACTACTGTTACAGTGGAAGAAGTTCCAGTGGAAGAGGAACAACCTGAAGAGATTCGGGAGCTTCCGGAAGAGGTTCGTGTGGTTGAAACTGTAACCGAGGACGGCAAGCCCAAGAAGAAGAAGATACGCACTCGTGTTATCAAGAAGGTTAAGGGCGATAAACAAGAAGTCACCAAGATTGAAACCATTGAAGAAGATGGAAAGCCAACCGAAACTTCTGTCTCCGTCACAGAAGTTCCCATACCAGAGGAACAACCTGACGAGATTATGGAGCTTCCAGAAGAAGTTCGTGTGGTTGAAACTGTAACCGAGGACGGCAAGCCCAAAAAGAAGAAAATACGCACTCGTGTTATCAAGAAGGTTAAGGGTGATAAACAAGAAGTCACCAAGATTGAAACCGTCGAAGAAGATGACAAACAACCCGAAACTACTGTTACAGTTGAAGAAGTTCCAGTGGATGAGGAACAGCCTGAAGAGATTCGGGAGCTTCCGGAAGAGGTTCGTGTGGTTGAAACTGTAACCGAGGACGGCAAGCCGAAAAAGAAGAAGATACGCACTCGTGTTATCAAGAAGGTTAAGGGTGAAACCGTCGAAGAAGATGACAAACAACCCGAAACTACTGTCACAGTGGAAGAAGTTCCAATGGATGAGCAACAACCTGAAGAGATTCGGGAGCTTCCGGAAGAGGTTCGTGTGGTTGAAACTGTAACCGAGGACGGAAAGCCCAAAAAGAAGAAGATACGCACTCGTGTTATCAAGAAGGTTAAGGGCGATAAACAAGAAGTCACCAAGATTGAAACCGTCGAAGAAGATGACAAACAACCCGAAACTACTGTTACAGTAGAAGAAGTTCCAGTGGAAGAGGAACAACCTGAAGAGATTCGGGAGCTTCCGGAAGAGGTTCGTGTGGTTGAAACAGTAACCGAGGACGGCAAGCCGAAAAAGAAAAAGATACGCACACGTGTTATCAAGAAGGTTAAGGGTGATAAACAAGAGGTCACCAAGATTGAAACCGTCGAAGAAGATGACAAGCAACCCGAAACTACTGTCACAGTGGAAGAAGTTCCTGTGGAAGAGGAAATGCCTGAAGAGATTCGGGAGCTTCCGGAAGAGGTTCGTGTGGTTGAAACTGTAACCGAGGACGGCAAGCCCAAAAAGAAGAAGATACGCACACGTGTTATCAAGAAGGTTAAGGGCGATAAACAAGAAGTCACCAAGATTGAAACCGTCGAAGAAGATGACAAACAACCCGAAACTACTATTACAGTTGAAGAAGTTCCAATGGATGAGCAACAACCTGAAGAGATTCGGGAGCTTCCGGAAGAGGTTCGTGTGGTTGAAACTGTAACCGAGGACGGCAAGCCCAAAAAGAAGAAGATACGCACACGTGTTATCAAGAAGGTTAAGGGTGATAAACAAGAGGTCACCAAGATTGAAACCGTCGAAGAAGATGACAAACAACCCGAAACTACTGTAACAGTTGAAGAAGTTCCAGTGGAAGAGGAACAACGAGAAGATATTCGGGAGCTTCCGGAAGAGGTTCGTGTGGTTGAAACTGTAACCGAGGACGGGAAGCCGAAAAAGAAGAAGATACGCACTCGTGTTATCAAGAAGGTTAAAGGTGATAAGCAAGAAGTCACCAAGATTGAAACCGTCGAAGAAGATGACAAACAACCCGAAACTACTGTCACAGTTGAAGAAGTTCGAGTGGAAGAGGAACAACCTGAAGAGATTCGGGAGCTTCCGGAAGAGGTTCGCGTGGTTGACACTATAACAGAAGATGGCAAGCCCAAGAAGAAGAAGATACGCACACGTGTTATCAAGAAGGTTAAGGGTGATAAACAAGAGGTCACCAAGATTGAAACCGTCGAAGAAGATGACAAACAACCCGAAACTACTGTTACAGTTGAAGAAGTTCCAGTGGAAGAGGAACAACGAGAAGATATTCGGGAGCTTCCGGAAGAGGTTCGTGTGGTTGAAACTGTAACCGAGGACGGCAAGCCCAAAAAGAAGAAGATACGCACACGTGTTATCAAGAAGGTTAAGGGTGATAAACAAGAGGTCACCAAGATTGAAACCGTCGAAGAAGATGACAAACAACCCGAAACTACTGTTACAGTTGAAGAAGTTCCAGTGGAAGAGGAACAACGAGAAGATATTCGGGAGCTTCCGGAAGAGGTTCGTGTGGTTGAAACTGTAACCGAGGACGGCAAGCCCAAAAAGAAGAAGATACGCACACGTGTTATCAAGAAGGTTAAGGGTGATAAACAAGAAGTCACCAAGATTGAAACGGTCGAAGAAGATGACAAACAACCCGAAACTACTGTTACAGTGGAAGAAGTTCCAGTGGAGGAGGAACAACCTGAAGAGATTCGGGAGCTTCCGGAAGAGGTTCGTGTGGTTGAAACTGTAACCGAGGACGGCAAGCCCAAGAAGAAGAAGATACGCACACGTGTTATAAAGAAGGTCAAGGGTGATAAACAAGAAGTCACCAAGATTGAAACTATCGAAGAAGATGACAAACAACCCGAAACTACTGTCACAGTGGAAGAAGTTCCTGTGGAAGAGGAACAACCTGAAGAGATTCGGGAGCTTCCGGAAGAGGTTCGTGTGGTTGAAACTGTAACCGAGGACGGCAAGCCCAAAAAGAAGAAAATACGCACACGTGTTATCAAGAAGGTTAAGGGTGATAAACAAGAGGTCACCAAGATTGAAACCGTTGAAGAAGATGACAAACAACCCGAAACTACTGTTACAGTGGAAGAAGTTCCAGTGGAAGAGGAACAACCTGAAGAGATTCGGGAGCTTCCGGAAGAGGTTCGCGTGGTTGAAACTATAACAGAAGATGGCAAGCCCAAGAAGAAGAAGATACGCACACGTGTTATCAAGAAGGTTAAAGGTGATAAACAAGAAGTCACCAAGATTGAAACCGTCGAAGAAGATGACAAACAACCCGAAACTACTGTCACAGTGGAAGAAGTTCCAGTGGAAGAGGAACAACGTGAAGAGATTCGGGAGCTTCCGGAAGAGGTTCGTGTGGTTGAAACTGTAACCGAGGATGGCAAGCCCAAAAAGAAAAAGATACGCACACGTGTTATCAAGAAGGTTAAGGGTGATAAACAAGAGGTCACCAAGATTGAAACCGTCGAAGAAGATGACAAACAACCCGAAACTACTGTTACAGTGGAAGAAGTTCCAGTGGAAGAGGAACAACCTGAAGAGTTGCGGGAGCTTCCGGAAGAAGTTCGTGTGGTTGAAACTGTAACCGAGGACGGCAAGCCCAAAAAGAAAAAGATACGCACACGTGTTATCAAGAAGGTTAAGGGCGATAAACAAGAGGTCACCAAGATTGAAACCGTCGAAGAAGATGACAAACAACCCGAAACTACTATTACAGTTGAAGAAGTTCCAATGGATGAGGAACAGCCTGAAGAGATTCAAGAGCTTCCAGAAGAGGTTCGTGTGGTTGAAACTGTAACCGAGGACGGCAAGCCCAAGAAGAAGAAAATACGCACACGTGTTATCAAGAAGGTTAAGGGTGATAAACAAGAGGTCACCAAGATTGAAACCGTCGAAGAAGATGACAAACAACCCGAAACTACTGTCACAGTTGAAGAAGTTCCAGTGGAAGAGGAACAACCTGAAGAGATTCGGGAGCTTCCGGAAGAGGTTCGCGTGGTTGAAACTGTAACCGAGGACGGCAAGCCGAAAAAGAAGAAGATACGCACACGTGTTATCAAGAAGGTTAAGGGCGATAAACAAGAGGTCACCAAGATTGAAACCGTCGAAGAAGATGACAAACAACCCGAAACTACTGTCACAGTTGAAGAAGTTCCTGTGGAAGAGGAAATGCCTGAAGAGATTCGGGAGCTTCCGGAAGAAGTTCGTGTGGTTGAAACTGTAACCGAGGACGGCAAGCCCAAAAAGAAGAAAATACGCACACGTGTTATCAAGAAGGTTAAGGGCAATAAACAAGAGGTCACCAAGATTGAAACCGTCGAAGAAGATGACAAACAACCCGAAACTACTGTCACAGTTGAAGAAGTTCCTGTGGAAGAGGAACAACCTGAAGAGATTCGGGAGCTTCCGGAAGAGGTTCGCGTGGTTGAAACTATAACAGAAGATGGCAAGCCCAAGAAGAAGAAGATACGCACACGTGTTATCAAGAAGGTTAAGGGTGATAAACAAGAGGTCACCAAGATTGAAACCGTCGAAGAAGATGACAAACAACCCGAAACTACTGTTACAGTTGAAGAAGTTCCAATGGAAGAGGAACAACGTGAAGATATTCGGGAGCTTCCGGAAGAGGTTCGTGTGGTTGAAACTGTAACCGAGGACGGCAAGCCCAAAAAGAAAAAGATACGCACACGTGTTATCAAGAAGGTTAAGGGCGATAAACAAGAGGTCACCAAGATTGAAACCGTCGAGGAAGATGACAAACAACCCGAAACTACTGTCACAGTTGAAGAGGTTCCAGTGGAAGAGGAACAACCTGAAGAGATTCGGGAGCTTCCGGAAGAAGTTCGTGTGATTGAAACTGTATCAGAGGATGGCAAGCCCAAAAAGAAGAAGATACGCACACGTGTTATCAAAAAGGTTAAGGGTGATAAACAAGAGGTCACCAAGATTGAAACCGTCGAGGAAGATGACAAACAACCCGAAACTACTGTTACAGTTGAAGAGGTTCCAGTGGAAGAGGAACAACCTGAAGAGATTCGGGAGCTTCCTGAAGAAGTTCGTGTTGTTGAAACTGTAACCGAGGACGGCAAGCCCAAAAAGAAGAAGATACGCACACGTGTTATCAAGAAGGTTAAGGGCGATAAACAAGAGGTCACCAAGATTGAAACCGTCGAGGAAGATGACAAACAACCCGAAACTACTGTCACAGTTGAAGAGGTTCCAGTGGAAGAGGAACAACCTGAAGAGATTCGGGAGCTTCCGGAAGAAGTTCGTGTGATTGAAACTGTATCAGAGAATGGCAAGCCCAAAAAGAAGAAGATACGCACACGTGTTATCAAGAAGGTTAAGGGCGATAAACAAGAGGTCACCAAGATTGAAACCGTCGAAGAAGATGACAAACAACCCGAAACTACTGTTACAGTTGAAGAGGTTCCAGTGGAAGAGGAACAACCTGAAGAGATTCGGGAGCTTCCGGAAGAAGTTCGTGTGATTGAAACTGTATCAGAGGATGGCAAGCCCAAAAAGAAGAAGATACGCACACGTGTTATCAAGAAGGTTAAGGGCGATAAACAAGAGGTCACCAAGATTGAAACCGTCGAGGAAGATGACAAACAACCCGAAACTACTGTCACAGTTGAAGAGGTTCCAGTGGAAGAGGAACAACCTGAAGAGATTCGGGAGCTTCCGGAAGAAGTTCGTGTGATTGAAACTGTATCAGAGGATGGCAAGCCCAAAAAAGAAGAAGATACGCACACGTGTTATCAAGAAGGTTAAGGGCGATAAACAAGAGGTCACCAAGATTGAAACCGTCGAAGAAGATGACAAACAACCCGAAACTACTGTTACAGTTGAAGAGGTTCCAGTGGAAGAGGAACAACCTGAAGAGATTCGGGAGCTTCCGGAAGAAGTTCGTGTGATTGAAACTGTATCAGAGGATGGCAAGCCCAAAAAGAAGAAGATACGCACACGTGTTATCAAGAAGGTTAAGGGCGATAAACAAGAGGTCACCAAGATTGAAACCGTCGAAGAAGATGACAAACAACCCGAAACTACTATTACAGTTGAAGAAGTTCCTGTCGATGAGGAACAACCTAAAGAGATTCGGGAGCTTCCTGAAGAAGTTCGTGTTGTTGAAACTGTAACCGAGGACGGCAAGCCCAAAAAGAAGAAGATACGCACACGTGTTATCAAGAAGGTTAAGGGCGATAAACAAGAGGTCACCAAGATTGAAACCGTCGAGGAAGATGACAAACAACCCGAAACTACTGTCACAGTTGAAGAGGTTCCAGTGGAAGAGGAACAACCTGAAGAGATTCGGGAGCTTCCGGAAGAAGTTCGTGTGATTGAAACTGTATCAGAGGATGGCAAGCCCAAAAAGAAGAAGATACGCACACGTGTTATCAAGAAGGTTAAGGGCGATAAACAAGAGGTCACCAAGATTGAAACCGTCGAAGAAGATGACAAACAACCCGAAACTACTGTTACAGTTGAAGAGGTTCCAGTGGAAGAGGAACAACCTGAAGAGATTCGGGAGCTTCCGGAAGAAGTTCGTGTGGTTGAAACTGTATCAGAGGATGGCAAGCCCAAAAAGAAGAAGATACGCACACGTGTTATCAAAAAGGTTAAGGGTGATAAACAAGAGGTCACCAAGATTAAAACCGTCGAAGAAGATGACAAACAACCCGAAACTACTGTTACAGTAGAAGAAGTTCCAGTGGAAGAGGAACAACCTGAAGAGATTCGGGAGCTTCCGGAAGAAGTTCGTGTGGTTGAAACTGTATCAGAGGATGGTAAGCCCAAAAAGAAGAAGATACGCACACGTGTTATCAAGAAGGTTAAGGGTGATAAACAAGAGGTCACCAAGATTGAAACCGTCGAAGAAGATGACAAACAACCCGAAACTACTGTCACAGTTGAAGAAGTTCCTGTGGAAGAGGAACAACGAGAAGATATTCGGGAGCTTCCGGAAGAGGTTCGTGTGGTTGAAACTGTAACAGAAGATGGCAAGCCCAAGAAGAAGAAGATACGCACACGTGTTATCAAGAAGGTTAAGGGCGATAAACAAGAGGTCACCAAGATTGAAACCGTCGAAGAAGATGACAAACAACCCGAAACTACTGTCACAGTTGAAGAAGTTCCTGTGGAAGAGGAACAACCTGAAGAGATTCGTGAGCTTCCGGAAGAGGTTCGTGTGGTTGAAACTGTAACAGAAGATGGCAAGCCCAAGAAGAAGAAGATACGCACACGTGTTATCAAGAAGGTTAAGGGCGATAAACAAGAGGTCACAAAGATTGAAACCGTCGAAGAAGATGACAAACAACCCGAAACTACTGTCACAGTTGAAGAAGTTCCAGTGGAAGAGGAACAACCTGAAGAGATTCGGGAGCTTCCAGAAGAGGTTCGTGTGGTTGAAACTGTATCAGAGGACGGCAAGCCCAAAAAGAAGAAAATACGCACTCGTGTTATCAAGAAGGTTAAGGGCGATAAACAAGAGGTCACCAAGATTGAAACCGTCGAAGAAGATGACAAACAACCCGAAACTACTGTCACAGTTGAAGAAGTTCCAGTGGAAGAGGAACAACGTGAAGAGATTCGGGAGCTTCCGGAAGAAGTTCGTGTGGTTGAAACTGTAACCGAGGACGGCAAGCCCAAAAAGAAGAAGATACGCACACGAATTATCAAGAAGGTTAAGGGTGATATACAAGAGGTCACCAAGATTGAAACCGTCGAAGAAGATGACAAACAACCCGAAACTACTGTTACAGTTGAAGAGGTTCCAGTGGAAGAGGAACAACCTGAAGAGATTCGGGAGCTTCCGGAAGAAGTTCGTGTGATTGAAACTGTATCAGAGGACGGCAAGCCCAAAAAGAAGAAGATACGCACACGTGTTATCAAGAAGGTTAAGGGTGATAAACAAGAGGTCACCAAGATTGAAACCGTCGAAGAAGATGACAAACAACCCGAAACTACTATTACAGTTGAAGAAGTTCCAGTGGAAGAGGAACAACGTGAAGAGATTCGGGAGCTTCCGGAAGAGGTTCGTGTGGTTGAAACTGTAACCGAGGACGGCAAGCCCAAAAAGAAGAAGATACGCACACGAATTATCAAGAAGGTTAAGGGCGATATACAAGAAGTCACCAAGATTGAAACCGTCGAAGAAGATGACAAACAACCCGAAACTACTGTCACAGTTGAAGAAGTTCCTGTGGAAGAGGAACAACCTGAAGAGATTCGTGAGCTTCCGGAAGAGGTTCGTGTGGTTGAAACTGTAACAGAAGATGGCAAGCCCAAGAAGAAGAAGATACGCACACGTGTTATCAAGAAGGTTAAGGGCGATAAACAAGAGGTCACCAAGATTGAAACCGTCGAAGAAGATGACAAACAACCCGAAACTACTGTCACAGTTGAAGAAGTTCCAGTGGAAGAGGAACAACCTGAAGAGATTCTGGAGCTTCCAGAAGAGGTTCGTGTGGTTGAAACTGTATCAGAGGACGGTAAGCCCAAAAAGAAGAAGATACGCACACGTGTTATCAAGAAGGTTAAGGGCGATAAACAAGAGGTCACCAAGATTGAAACCGTCGAGGAAGATGACAAACAACCCGAAACTACTGTTACAGTTGAAGAGGTTCCAGTGGAAGAGGAACAACCTGAAGAGATTCGGGAGCTTCCGGAAGAAGTTCGTGTGGTTGAAACTGTATCAGAGGATGGTAAGCCCAAAAAGAAGAAGATACGCACACGTGTTATCAAGAAGGTTAAGGGTGATAAACAAGAGGTCACCAAGATTGAAACCGTCGAAGAAGATGACAAACAACCCGAAACTACTGTCACAGTTGAAGAAGTTCCTGTGGAAGAGGAACAACCTGAAGAGATTCGGGAGCTTCCGGAAGAGGTTCGTGTGGTTGAAACTGTAACCGAGGACGGCAAGCCCAAAAAGAAGAAGATACGCACACGAATTATCAAGAAGGTTAAGGGTGACAAACAAGAGGTCACCAAGATTGAAACCGTCGAAGAAGATGACAAACAACCCGAAACTACTGTTACAGTAGAAGAAGTTCCAGTGGACGAGGAACAGTCTGAAGAGATTCGGGAGCTTCCGGAAGAGGTTCGTGTGGTTGAAACTGTAACGGAGGACGGAAAGCCCAAAAAGAAGAAGATACGCACACGTGTTATCAAGAAGGTTAAGGGTGACAAACAAGAAGTCACCAAGATTGAAACCGTCGAAGAAGATGACAAACAACCCGAAACTACTGTGACAGTTGAAGAAGTTCCAGTGGAAGAGGAACAACCTGAAGAGATTCGGGAGCTTCCGGAAGAGGTTCGTGTGGTTGAAACTGTATCAGAGGATGGCAAGCCCAAAAAGAAGAAGATACGCACACGTGTTATCAAGAAGGTTAAGGGCGATATACAAGAAGTCACCAAGATTGAAACCGTCGAAGAAGATGACAAACAACCCGAAACTACTGTCACAGTTGAAGAAGTTCCAGTGGAAGAGGAACAACCTGAAGAGATTCGGGAGCTTCCAGAAGAGGTTCGTGTGGTTGAAACTGTATCAGAGGATGGTAAGCCCAAAAAGAAGAAGATACGCACACGTGTTGTCAAGAAGGTTAAGGGTGATAAACAAGAGGTCACCAAGATTGAAACCGTCGAAGAAGATGACAAACAACCCGAAACTACTGTCACAGTTGAAGAAGTTCCTGTGGAAGAGGAACAACCTGAAGAGATTCGGGAGCTTCCGGAAGAGGTTCGTGTGGTTGAAACTGTAACCGAGGACGGCAAGCCCAAAAAGAAGAAGATACGCACACGAATTATCAAGAAGGTTAAGGGTGACAAACAAGAGGTCACCAAGATTGAAACCGTCGAAGAAGATGACAAACAACCCGAAACTACTGTTACAGTAGAAGAAGTTCCAGTGGACGAGGAACAGTCTGAAGAGATTCGGGAGCTTCCGGAAGAGGTTCGTGTGGTTGAAACTGTAACCGAGGACGGCAAGCCCAAAAAGAAGAAGATACGCACACGTGTTATCAAGAAGGTTAAGGGCGATAAACAAGAGGTCACCAAGATTGAAACCGTCGAAGAAGATGACAAACAACCCGAAACTACTGTCACAGTTGAAGAAGTTCCAGTGGAAGAGGAACAACCTGAAGAGATTCGGGAGCTTCCGGAAGAAGTTCGTGTGATTGAATCAGTATCAGGGGATGGCACATCTAAAAAGAAGAAGATACGCACACGTGTTATTAAGAAGGTTAAGGGTGATAAACAAGAGGTCACAAAAATTGAAACCGTTGAAGAAGATGACAAACAGCCCGAAACTACTGTCACAGTTGAAGAAGTTCCTATAGATGAGGGACATTCTGAAGAGATTCAGGAGCTTCCAGAAGAGGTTCGTGTGATTGAGTCAATATCAGAGGACGGCATACCCAAGAAGAAAAAGATACGTACACGTGTAATTAAAAAGGTTAAAGGAGATAAACAGGAAATCACTAAAATTGAAACTGTTGAAGAAGAGGATAAGAAGCCGCAAACTACTATAACTGTGGAAGAAGCAGACACTCAAAGTCCTTTTGGCGAGAAAGTTTTGTTGAAGAAGAGAGTTGTTGTGCACAAACCAGAGGACGATGTTTCAGTTGTTGAGCTACCAGAGAGAAAATCAATCATATTTTCTGAAAAAGAAGATGGGACTCCAACTAAAACAGTTATTAAAACAAAAGTTATTAAAAAAGTGAAAGGCTCTAACATGGAAGTTACTAAAGTTCAGACAGTAGAGGAATACGAAAAGCCAACCCAGACGAGAGTAACGGTTGAGAACTTCCAAGCGCCTTTCCCAGACCTTCCAGAAGAAACATTCACTGAAGTTGTAGTTTTGCCTGAAGAAACTGTGGAGTCAGAAATTCTAGACAAAGATGGCGTGCAAAAAGTTCTTAAATCTAAAAAGCGTGTGATAAAGAAGCCAAAAGGTGAATTTAAAGAGGAAGTAACAGAAATTGATATTACTGAGCAAGAATCAGGCGAGCCCGTTTTTACAGTAACTATCAGTGAACTTCCTTATACTGAGCCTGTTAAGTCTGATGGTAAGTCAGTTGAGTTACCCGAGCAAATAACTGAAGTCGATGTCATATCGCCTGACGGAACAAAAAAGAAGAAAATTGTAAAGACCAGAGCATTTAAAACTAAGATTGATGAACATCACGATGAAGTCACTACAGTTAATACTGTCGAAGAAGAAAATACACAGCCAATAACAAGTGTGCATGTTGAAGTCGTTCCCGCTAAAGAAACTGCTACAGAGCCAATTGCTATTGAGGAACTTCCCGAAGAGATTGTTTTTACTGAAGAAATTACCGGAAATAAGAAGCCTAGGAAAAAGACAACAAAAACACGAACATTTAAAAAACAAAGTCCTGAGGATGAAGAATATTATCAGATACAAACAGTTGAAGAAGAAGGCAAAGAGCCGTATTCACTCATACGCGTCGTTAGTGATGAAAATATTGCTGATATTATTGATATAAGTAAACTAGATGATGAACAACTTCCCAAACACAAAAAACAAAAGCTACACAAACCTAAGGGTAAGAACACAAGCCACATCACTCTCCATACAACACATTTTACACTAGATTTACAATTGAAGTATACGCAAAATATCATTTATATTTTATTATCATTAGACGCAATGAGTTAGACACAGTTTATTTTTTATTTTTATTATTTAATTAAAATGGTGATAGTATTGATAGAGGCCAGACCAGTTTTATTTTAAATCATTTTAAATTTTACAAATTTAGACTATTAATAATACATTTTTTTAATCATTCCATACTAATTTAAAAAAAAAAAATAAATAAATAAAAAATAAAAAAACATTCTAACATAAACACAGCGGAGAAACAACAACCCGAACACACTGAAACGGAACACCCAACTTACATAACAACATTTAAGTCTGTACAAAACGAAGATGGAGAAACCACAATTCAAACAGAAAGTAAGAGAATTTCTCAAGAGGAAGGCATCGTTGTTGAGGAAGTACTCAGTGACACAGAACCCATATTGGAAGACACCACACAACCAAACATTGAAATTGTTGAAGTCAACGAGCCTACAGGTGATTTTCTTTACATATTTTCTATAACACATAAATACAAATACATGCATATTTCGTGGCTACGTATTTTTCTGCCTAAATCATATACTAGAAAAAAAAAAAAAAAAAAAAAAAAAAAAAAAAAAAACATAAAAATAATAAAAATCACAAATACGTGTTCGATAGGTTACGAAATTAATTGCGATTGAAATGTTTCAAAGCAAATGAAAGCAAAGTAGCTTCCAATTTAGTAACACAAACAAAATATACACACAAGAACACAAAAATCTGTTTGAAAACTTTTGGTACTATATATTTACTAACAAGATTGACTAGAACACTTTCACATTATTACATAAGTATTCTAGTACGATATATATACATATATATTGAGGTTGTATTTGTACACTTAAAAAATAAAACAAACATAAAACGTACATTACATACAATGATCAACAATTTAGTTAACATTATATGCAAGCATCTTAAACACTTAACTTTTTGAACTACAAAGTTAATGTGTTTTAACGCATTATATAAAATGCAAATATAATCTTAACAAATTAGTTTAGTGCTAACACACAAACACATAATTTTTTCTCAAACAGACCAATACAACAAAGAGTACACTATCACAGAACCCGAAGATGCAAGTGCAGATAACACCGAACAAACACCGACAAAAGTTAAGAAACCAAAACAGAAAAAGACACAATTAGATCAATTCGAACAGATTGACGAGACAAGGGAAGATGAGGGAGGTTCTGGGGAACCTGTTGACGAGATTAAGCCGAAGCGTAAGCCAAAGGCTGAAAAATTAGGAGAAGTTGAGGTTGAAAAAACTGCTAATGAGGAACAGGCTACGGAGCCAAGTAAGAAAAAAGATAAGCCAAAGAAGAAAAAGGTCGCCACATCAAAACGCGATGAGATGGATGATTATATACAGTTCTTAATCCATCAGGAAATACCAAAAACCGTCTTGCAACCGTATGTACGTACGGAAATGGAACATCCACAAAGGGCTCGCAGAGATTCGTCTATTAAACCTATGAAGCTAACTGCAATGAAAATTGAGAAAATAGAAGTTAAGAAACCTAAGATGGTTGAAATAAGTTCTGTGGTCGAGTTTCCTCAAATGCTCAAGCTCAAAACTCCGAAACAACGTCCACAAGAAGAAAAGATAAAGAAATTAAACGAAGCATCCTTTAAGAATAAGAAACTTAAGAGCTGGATAAGATTTATACCTTACTCACCATACTGCTTCCCATATATAGTTACTGAAATAGAGACTATTCAAGATAATGGCGAACTATCGCGGAATGTAGAAGAAGCGGAAGAAGTATTGAAGAAACGGCCAAAGAAATTCAAGCATACGAAGCCTGTAAAAGCCGAACTGGAAGAATTAGATACTGAAACATTTGATGATAAGAAGGAGCCATTAGATGAACAGTCAGACAAACCAAAATACCAACGCGGTAAAAAGGACATTAAGGAAAAGGATGAAAAACCGAAGAAGTTGAAAATCGGAAAGGGTAAAATTCCAGAAGCTACCGAATCAACTGAAACCGTCGAATTGAAACCAGTCATATTTGATGAGAGTATTGAAGAAACAAATGAGAAACCAAAAGAAAAGCCCAAACAAAAGAAGCCGAGCAAAAAGACTAAGCCATCCACAGAGTCTGATGACAACATCAGTTTTAGTCCAAAATTAAATGATGAGGAGACTGAAGAGAATGAAAGCCAACCTGCCTTCAAATTCGAAGTAATTGAATTGGAGCCTCAAGAAGTGGAAGATGAGACAAGTGAAAATGTTGTACAACCCGTAAAAGAACCTAAGAAAAAACGTAAGCTAAAGCTTAAAACTGAATTGGAAGAAAATATAATTGAGATTGTCGAAGTTCCTACAAGTGATGACAATGATAAGCAGTATGAAGTAACTGTGACCAGTTCTGAACTTAGAGAAGAGCAGCCAAATAAAATGAAAATACTTAAGAAGAAAGTAAAACGTATGAACAAAGAAGAATTGGATGACTTTGTAGCAGATCTTAAAGAGGAGCCCGCTCAAACATTCTATGAAACTGCAATCACTGATTTCTATGAAGTTAAACTAACTGAACTGGAACCTGAAGAGACCTCTGATGAGAATGTGCCTAAAAAGACTCCAAAACGTAAAATTTTGCATAAGCATGGAGACAAAGAAGAGATTATTGAAATTGTAGAAACTTCTACGTCCTCCGGCGAGGAACCATTATATGAGGTTATAATTACATCTCATGAATCAGAAATTCAAACTGATACTGAAAAGATAGTTGAGAAGCCCAAACAACGGACCAGAAAAATGAAAAAGGATGATCTAGATGCGTATATACAGCATCTGATAAATGCAGAGATTCCAACAACTGAGCTTGAGAAATATGAAAAAATTGATATTGATGCAAAACCAAAGAAACCAAAGAAACATAAATCGAAACAACAAAAGGTCCCTATCGATGAAGGTGAGGCTTTTGAAGTGGATATTACACAGGACGAGCCGGTAAAGAAGCCGAAGGTAAAAAAACCGAAGCCAGAGACTAAAGTCGAAGAAGAAACTACAAGTGAGCCAGAAACTGTTATTGAACACGATGAATTCACAATCAGCACGATTGATACACAACCAGATGCTCAAAAAATTATTGAAGAGACAACTGACACTAAAACACTCGATGTGGACGACATTATAACAGACATTGGTGAGACTCTACCAATTGTAGTTTTGGAGGAACAAATTGAGACAACTCCTGAGTATCTTGAAGAAGTTAACAAGCCGGAACAAAAAATAGTAAAGCGGCGCAAGGTGAAAACAAGGAAGGGCTCCAAGCAGTACGAAATCGAAATCGTGGAAACCCTAGAGCCAGATGATCTTGAAGAAGCAAAGGTTACAGTTATAACTACTGAAATCATTGAAGAAACTTCTGATGTACCTATTGAAGACAAACCAGAAACACCAAAGAAGATTATCAAAAAGGTGAAAAAAGATAAGCTCAAGGAGTATATTGTCAAGGTTGTAGATGAAGTGCCAACAGAACTACTTAACCGCATCTCTGAAGAGATACCCACTGCGGAAGAAATGAAGCCTATAGAGGAGGATGATATCACATCTTTCAAAACTACTGTTGTTGACGATATTGGCGAAGATGAATTTAAGCCTGAAGACGCACAGATTGACAGTCCATCAACAAAGTCGCGGGATAAAAAGAAAAAATCAGCTAAACCAAAGAAAGTTACTATCATTGAAGAACAGCCAGTGCAGATCGAAGACACTACAGAACAAGAGAAGTCTCCTATTGATGAGGATGAAGAAATACCGCAGATACAATCCTTCGATGATTATTCAGTTGAAATAACCGAAAGTGCGCCGAAGCCGAAGAAAAAAGTACCCAAGAAGAGGCCTGAGACAACAACGCCTGCTCCGATATCCGAACACACAGTTCGTATTGAGGAATTCGCTCCTGAAACTACAACTGAAGAAGTTATCAATGAGCAAGGAGAGGAGGTAGAGCGCACTATAACAAAGCGAAGACTTAAGAAGAAGGATGGTCCAAAGGAATACTTAATCGAAGTTGTTGAAACTTACGAGGAAAACAATCCCGAAGCAGAACTTGTTATTCAGACTACTGAAGTATTACCTGAATCAGAAACTGAAGCCCCGAAAGATCACAAAGTCAAGGTTGTAAAGAAAAAGAAGCCCAAAACTGAAAATTTAGATAATTACATTCAGAAGTTGATAGAGGAAGAAGTCCCAAAAACAGAGCTGGAAGTATATGAGACAGCACAAATAGAGTCATCTCCAGAGACAAAAAAACCGAACAAGATAAAGAAACATCATAAGAAAATCACCGAAATAGTTGATGGAGTGCCACATACAATTCATGAATTTACCATTCAAGAGTTCGAGCCAGAAGACACGAAACCAATTCCAGAAGCCGTTATTGAATTAGTGGAGGAGGATATCCCAGAATCACAGCCCGAAGATTTGGAAGTTAAGTCAACTGAAGAACAGCCAAAACGTAAGCCGAAGAAAGAAAAGAAATCGAAGGTGTCTGTGGTCGATCAAGAACCTGTTAGCATTGAAGATATAGCGGAAACTGTTGAAATTACAAAGCTTGTTGAAGACAGTGGTGCTACTAAAGAAGTTCAAGTGAAGAAGCGTAAGATCATTCGCAAGCAAGGTCCAAAGGAACACGTTTTTGAAATAACCGAGACATCTACTAGTGAAGAGCCCTTGGCTGAAGTCACAATCGTTGATATTACAGAAGATGAAAAGCCAAGCCAATCAGTTAAGGGTCCATCAAAACCTAAGCCAATCAAATTGCCAAAGAAATTGAAGCGCGAAGACGTTGAAAGTTATGTAATAAATGTCGTGGAAGAGTTTATTGAACCGATAGAACAGTTTGAGGATATAACCCAAGTCGAGGAAATTCCTGAAGGAGACTTTAACAAAGTTACTCAAGCTGAAGAAATTCCAGAAGATTCTGTGGAAGAGATTACTGAAGATAAGACTGCTAAAATAAAAACAAAGACAACAAAGCCTAAAAAATCCAGTAAAATGCCGGAAGATCACACTATTCGTATTGAAGAGCTTGCTCCTGAAACTACAATTGAAGACATTGTAAATGAAGAAGGAGAAGAAGTTAAGCAGGTTAAAACAATAAAGAGACTGAAGAAAAAAGAAGGACCCAAAGAGTATTTGATTGAGATAACCGAAACTTATCAAGAAAATAAACCAGACGCCGATATTGAAGTAACAACTACTGAGATACCTGTAGAAGAAGAAGATCAGATAAGTGAAGAGCAGCCAGCTAAGGTAGTTAAGAAGTTGAAAAAGAAGAAGGCTGTAAAGGATGACTTAGATAAATACATTCAAGAGCTTATCGAACAAGAAATTACCAAGACGGATTTAGAGCAATATGAGCCCACGGAAATGGAAACAAAACCCAAGCCAAAGAAAAAAGTAAAAACCCATCATAAAAAGGCGGTGGAAATAATTGATGGTCTGCCCGTAACTGTTCATGAATACGATGTTTCTGAAATAGAGCCTGAGGTCACAGAAGAAGATAAGGAATCTATTATATCAGAAAAGCCTGAAGATTTACCTTTGGTGTATGATGAGGCAAACAAATACTTAGTAAAAGTACTAGACGAAATTATAGAACCAACTCAGACCGTTGAAGACATAAATGACGAACCGACAACAAAAGCTAAGAAAGAAAAACCGCAGAAAAAGAAAAAAGTTGAGAAAGCTCCAATAGTCTTAGATGAAATAGCTGAAACCACTGAAGTTATACAGCAGCCTTCAGAAGATGGTGTTGTGAAAGAAGTTACTGTGAAGAAGCGTAAGGTCACTCATAGAAAGGGCTCCAAGCAAAGCGTCTTTGAGATAACAGAAACTACTAGCGATGATCAACCCATGGCAGAAGTGACAGTCGTTGAGGTAACGGAAATTGAACCATCTGTTACTGAAGAATCGCCAATTGTTGAACAGAAAGTAATAAAGAAAATTAAAAAGCTAAAGAAGGAGGACATACAGGAGTATGTTATCAACGTAATTGACGATTTTGTACAACAAATACCTGTCGAAACACTTGAAGAAGACGTCAAGGAGATCATCGACGAGAAAAAGAAGAAGACTAAAAAATCTCCAAAGGAATATAAATATAGCGAAGAAGAAAATTTACCTGAAAAGGTTGAAAGACCTGAAGGTGATGTGCCGGATCAACCTGATGTTGTGGAGCGTGAAACACCAGAAGAATTAACTGATTATACTGTAGATGTTACTGAGTCGGTTCTCACTGAAGAAAAGAAACCTAAAAAACCGAAGAAGCAGATTAAGTCAAAGCCTGTTGAAGAAATTGGCGATGAGAAACATCCCAACTATCTTGTAAAAATGTCTTCAGTTGACGAAGCAGAGGTGACTGAACTGCCAGATTCTGAAATTATTATTTTGGAATCAGAGGAAGAACAGGTAGCAGAGGGACCCGTTTTCCAAGTAGAAGAAATTGAAACTAAGCCGGAAGTAGTTGAAGAAAAAGACGACCTTGGCGAAACAACTAAGAAGGTTGTTAATAAGCGAAAGATCAGAAAGCAAGTTGGACCCAAAGAAGAGATAATAGAAATTGTCGAGACTGAAAAGGATGGTATACCTGTATATGAAGTTTCAGTAATTACTGAAGAAGCTGAAAAAGAAATTGATGAAACTCTTCCAGTAGAAAAGCCGAAAAAGGTCAAGAAGACTAAAAAGGTTCCCAAGGATGACTTACACGATTATATACAAAAGCTTATAGAACAGGATATTCCAAAATCTGAATTGGAGAAATACGAAAAAATAGATTTCGATGAACCTGTTAAAATGAAAAAGAAGAAGCCTATGAAGAAGGTTAAAATCACAGAAGATGAAGCTCCAGATATCTCTGAAAAATTGGTAACTGAAGGTCCGGAAGATATGATACAACCATTAGAAACTCCACAAGACGAATCTCTGGCGATGGTTACGGTTAAAGAATTTTCTGCGCCAAAACCAAAACAAGAATCTTTCGAAATTACAGTTCTAGAAGAATTTGTCGAAAATAAGCCGATTCCTGATGAGGAGGGAGAGATTAAAGTAAAGGAAGTAAAAACAAAGAAAATAAAACACAAAAAGGGACCAGCAGAGATCATTCATGACATAACAGTTGTACAGGATAAGGATACTGGTGAATCAGAAATTACTATTGTAACTTCCAGTCCCATCGAACTTGAAGATCAGCACGAAGTAACTGTCAAGCAAAAACGTACCAAGAAAGTGAAAAAGAATGACGTTGATGATTTCATCAGAACAGTTATTGAAGAAGATATACCAAAGGATGAGCCAACAGATGTTGTTGATGTTACTGAAGAAACAGTTCCTGAGCAGGTTCCTGAAAAGCCAAAGAAAGTTAAGAAGAAGGAAAAATTGCCATTATTACAAGAAAAAGCAACACCCGCTGATACAGTAGAAATTGTTGAAAGTCTTCCGGAGGAAACGCTAATTGAAGAGTTTACCATGGATGTAGAAGAAACAATACCAATCGTCGAGTCAGATAAGGAACATGAAATATCAGAAGAGGTAATAGAGCCGCGGAAGAAAAAGAAGCCTTCTAAGCAAAAGGTTAAGGTTTCTGAAGAGCAACCTGAGGAAGAAATAGTCGTTGAAGCTTTGGAGGCTATACCAAAGGAGACAGATATTGAAGAGGAGGATATAAAGGAATATAGTGTTACTCTCTCGGAAGAAGAACCTAAACCTGAGGAGAAAACAGAAAGGAAGCCAAAAAAGATACGGGAGAAACAAGATCAACCAGACGAATCAACCTACGAGATCTCTGTAAAAGAAAGTTTCATTCAACTTGAAGATCTTCCATCAGTTGTAGAAATAATTGAAAGTGAAACGAAAGCGGACGAAACCACAGATGATGCTGGAGAGGTCCATAAGGTCGTTACAACAAAGCGGAAGATTAAACGTCCAAAAGGTGAAAATGAGGAAATCATTGAAATTATTGAGGTAGTGACTGATGACCAGCCTGATGCAGAGATTACGATTGTAGAGTATGAACCTGTAGAACAGAAAGAAGACGAAAAGCCTAAAGCGCCGAAAAAGAAAACCAAGAAAGTGAAAAAGGATGATATACATGACTACATACAGAAGCTTATTGACATGGAAACTCCTAAAACTGAATTAGAAAAATATGAAAAAATTGAGTTTGAGCCATTACCCAAAGAAAAACTTACCGAAACTACAGATATTGGAGTGGTAGAGGAATCGCCGACCGAAAAGCCAAAGAAGGACAAAAAGACTAAGCCGAAACAGTCACCAAAGGAAGAGGAATCTTTGCCAGAGCCATTAGCCGAAGTTAGGGTTATCGAAGAGGATGTGATGGATGAGCCTAAGGTGGTTGAAGTAGTAGAAGTTCAACCAGAGGAAGTACAATACACTGAAACAATCACTGAAGAGGGTCTCCCAGTTCAAGAGAAAACTACTAAGCGAGTATTGAAGAAAAAGGGTCCTAAAGAAGACACCACCTTTAAAATAACAACAGTCGAAAGCGAAAATACTGATACCGTAACTGTAATCGTCGACGAAGAACCTGAAATCACGCCAGAGTCTTTTGAAACTAAACCAGATGAGATATTAGAAGACAAGCCAAAGCCCAAACCTAAGCCAAAGAAGATTGTAAAGAAAGTAAAGAAAGATGACTTAGATGATTATGTTAAGAAACTGATAGAGGAAGAAATACCAAAGACTGAAAAAGAGGTTTATGAAAAAGTTGAAATGCCCGAAAAGTCGAAAGACAAATCCCCTATAGAAATCTCTTCAGAAGAGGTTAAGTCTAGCGAGCCTGAAACACCATTAGCAGTTGTTGATTCAACCAAACCTAAAAAGACCAAGACAACCAAAACAAAATTAGTTGATGTAGTCGAACAAAGACAAGACGAACCAACAGAAGAGACAATTCCTGAGACATCAGAAATTACTGAAGACACAACTACTCAAATCGCACACCCCGAGGACACAGCCACTGCACAAATTACACCAAGCGCACAAGATGAAATACCTACTCAAGATGACACTAATGATACAGATCAAAAAACAATTAAGCATAAGAAAGCTAAGCCAGACACAGTAAAAAGCGTTGAAACAAGTAAGTTATTAGCTGAGAGTTTATTGAGGCTTCAAACTTCCACCGCACACGCAGCACCTGCTCCTTTGTCTGTGTCTTTTGCCTATTGTTTATTCCAACGTTGACTTCCACCATTTCGCGCCTACACCTTCCTTTGTTTTACTCTCTCTGTCCCTCTCTCTCTATCTGTTCCCCCCACTTTCTTTCTCTTTATTCTCTTAATCTTTTTTGCTCTCCCTCCCTTTTCTGCTGATTCTGATTCTCTGCTCTTTAATTTGAGTGGACTCAGCTAAAAATATATTTTATTATTTATACCCACATAAACACACTTATCCAATATATTATAACACCCAAATGCATGCTCTTATATTAAAAAAAAGGTCTACTAAGATTCTTGTTTGCCTCCTCTAAACTGTATTCCGTTTATATTTATAAAATGACTAACTGTTCCAAATACTTATATGTTTAGTTTTTAATACATCTAGGAAGTTTATTTTATATTGGACAGCGTTCTATTATTTTCGTAAAACTGCTGTAAATATTTAAATATTGATCAAGCTCAACGATTTGCTTGCATTCTTCCGCGAAGGCAATGCACGGATTCATTATGTAGCTACAAGAATTGTATATTACTTAAAATACAAATTTCTATAACAGGTGAAGCACCCGAGGCTTATAAGGATTATCACATAAGCATAATTGATGAAGAGCCTGAAGAAAAAGAAGAGCAGCCCGAGAAAATTTTGGAAGTTAGAGTGATCGATGAGGTTGCCGAAATCGAAGAGTCTCAACCAATCGTCGAAGAAGAAGAGGAGGATGAGAGGCCGACTACGGAAAGCACTGTGGAGGATGTCACAAAGCCAAAGACTAAGAAAAAGAAGGTGGTGAAAAAGAAGACTAATGAGCACGACGAATTAATACAAAAACTGCTTGAGCAAGAAATCGAGAAAACAGAGTTGGAGAAATATGAGAAGATCGATTTCGATGTTCCCAAGAAACTGAAGCCAGAGTTTGCTAGCCTCGAACCAATGAAAATTGAACAAAAAGAGCAGAAGCCAACAAAGGTCACAATCGTTGAGGCCACTGAAGTACCGAAGACGGTGAAGCTAAAGCCGGGAAAACGCAAGGAAAAACCAGCAGAAGAACAAACTGTGCAGCTTCCCAAATTCAGACTTAAAACACGCATGGTTATGGTTGAGTATCCGCCAGCACCACTCATACCACAGCTAAGCCATATTGGCGCAGTTAAGCAGAATGGTGACCTTTCTCGCAATATTGAAGAAGCAGAAGAGCTACTTAAGTTCAAACCACACAAGACCAAGAAGATTAGGAAGATAAAGGATGACTTGGAGAAGGTCGAGCTTGAAAAGTATGAAAAGTATGTGAGTAGCGAGGAGGAACCTGAAGAAAAGCAACCTTACCAAAAGCCTGAAAAGGTGCCAAAACCAGAAGAAAGTCCCGAAGATGCAAAGCTTAAGATTGGCAAGGGTAAGAAGAAACCGAAAGAAGAAGAATCTCCAGAAAATGTTACACTGAAAAAGATACCACAAAAGCCCAAGGAAGCTGAAGAAGAAATCGAAGCAAAACCTAAAGAAAAGGCTGAGGTTACAGTCGTGGAGCAACCAAAGACGCCAAGGGAACAGGATATACAGGTTGAACCATTTGAGCCCATTGATTATGAGCAACCTGAATACGTTCCAGAAGAACTTGAACAAGTCGATCAGCCGGAGAAACCAGAAAAGCAGAAGAAGCCCAGTAAAACCAAATATAAGCCCAAGGAAAAAACAAAGCCTGAACCGGAAACGATTATTACAGAAATCGTACCTGGAAAGCCCAAAGAAGAAGAAGAAGTTCCCGAAGCTGAAATTAAGTTCCGCAAGCCCGAAAGTGAAGCGCCTGAAGAAACTGATTCTCAAGTGAAGTTGAAACCATTCAAGAAGACTGTCGAGGAGCCAGTAGTTGAAGATACTACTGCAGAGGCAACGGTAACGGAGCCCACGCCAGAAGAGAAGGTAGTTATACCTCAAGATGAAGTCAAGAAGACGAAGAAATCAAAGCCGAAGCCCAAACAACAACAGGAGGAGGAAGTAACAGAAGAGCAGCAGCCAGAATTTGAAATATCAGTTAGGGAAGAAGAAGCCATTGCTGCGAAGCCCGAAGATGTCGAAAAGCCCAAAGAAGTAAAGGTGAAACAGAAGAAACCGAAAGAAGCTCCAAAAGCTGAAGTTGATATCGTCGAGGAGCTGCCACAGCCAACTGAAGCTCCTGAAGATATACCAGTGGAGTACAGAATTACCACAACTGTCCTGGAACCAGAAGAAGCGCCAAAGGAACATCTAGTTAAGGTGATTGACTTTGACGAAAAGGAAATAACCACTGAGGAAATTGTGGAAGAAAAGGTTGTGACCAGGAAGAAGAAGCCTAAGCCGGAACAGCCAGAAGAGTTCAAAGTCACTCTACAGGAGCCACAACAAATACAGCCTGAACCCGAAGAAGAAACTGCCGAGGTTGTGCTACCCGTTCAGAAGCCTCAGCCAGAAATTGAAGAATTCGAAGTCGAATTAAAGATAACTGAACCACAACCTGAGGAAACTGAAGTCGTTGTAAAGAAGAAGTCGAAAAAGAAGCCAGCTGAAAAGTCAGTGGAGGTTGTCGAAGATGTAGTGAACGTTGTGGAAGCTCAACCGGAGGAGCAAAGAGAAGAAGACATCGTGGTTGTGGAAGAAGAAGAAAAGGTTGAAGAATCACAACCAAAATCTTTCGAATTCCAAGTCACTGAAACTGAAGCTCCTCAAATGAAACCGGCAGAAGTAATTGAGGAAAAACCAAAAGAAAAGTTGAAAAAGCCAGCTCCGAAAGTAGAAGAGAAGTTTGACTCTTATGAAATTTCCATTAAGGAATCAGAAGCGGAAAAAGTAATCCAGCAGGAAGAGCAGCCTACCGAAGATGTTCCTGACGAAGTAACATTTATTCCACTGCCAAAGCAACCAGAACAAGTCGAAGCCGAGTTTGTCCTAACAGAACCAAAGCCGACTGAAGAGAGTCATGTGGAAGCTGAAATAAAACCAAAGAAAACAAAGAAGCCAAAGAAAACTGAAGAGGCTATAACACAGGATGTAAAGGTTGTTGAAGAAGTGGTAGCTCCAAAAGAAATTGTAGTTGAAGAACAGCAAATTGAAATTGTTGAAAAAGAAACTGTTCCTGTTGAAGAAACACCAAAGGAATATACAATTCGAGTATCTGATTCACAAATTGAACAGCCAGAAGAACCAACTGCAGCCGAATTTACTGTTAAAAAGGCAAAGCCTTCCATTGCTGCTACCGAAGAACCGGAAGCAGAGTTTGTGCTTAAGGAAAGCAAACCAGTGGAAGAGGTTACCGAGGTAGCAGAAATTAAGACAAAGAAACCTAAAAAGAAGGTCAAGGAGGTTGCAGCAGAGGAATTAAAGATCCAAATCACGGAAGAAACACCACAAGAAGTTCCTGTAGTGGAAGAAATTGAGGAAGTTGTGGAAGAAATTAAAGAGACTGTTCCTACTGTTGAATATAAGTCGTATGAAATTGGTGTGAAGGAAACTGAAGCTGAAAAGCCTGCTGAAGAGATAGTAGTTGAAGAGCCCTTGGTAGAAGAACCACAAATCGAAGAAACGGCACCTAGTGTTGAATACAAATCATATAAAATAGGTGTGAAAGAATCAGTTGTTGAAAAGCCTATAGAGAAAGTACCATCAGAAGAGCAATTGGTTGAAGAGCCGATAACTGAAGAACCAGAAACCTTCGAAGAGCTCAAAGTCAGAGTGATTGAAGAAACACCCCGTGAAGTTGTCGAGGAAGTTCTCGAAGAGAGTGTTAAGGTTCACCGCAAGAAGAAGCCGAAACCAGCGGTAACAGAAGAGCCTGAGGCTCAAGTAAGCATTCCTGCTCCAACATCGGTGGATGATGTGGAGGCGGTTCAAAGCGTTACTATTGTACCCGAAATCCCAACAGAAGAGGAAGCTGCTGAGCTAAAGATAACTGTTATTGATGAGGTTTCTGAGCCACAAGAGCTTGTTCAGGAGATTGAGGAAATCGAAACAGTGGAAGAAGAAGTTCCTGAACCAGTACCTGAAGAAAAGCCGAAAGACTATCAGTTTAGCATTAAAGAATCTGAGGCACCAAAGGAAACTATCGAGGAATTGCCAGAAGAACAAGTAACTATTCCAAAGAAGAAAAAGGTTCAAGAACAAAAAGAAACTGTCGAAGAATTACCGGAAGAGCAATTCACTATTCAAAAGAAGAAGAAGCCTGAGCCTGAGGTTGTAGAAGAGCCTGAAGCCGTTTTTGAAATAAAACAAAAACAACCTGTTGAAGAGGTTACAGAAGAAGCGAAAATTAAGAAGAAGACGAAGAAACCCGTAAAACAGGATGAAGCAGCTGCAGAGCTCAGTGTCACTGTGACTGAGGAATCTGCACCAGAGCCTGAGGTAGTTGAAATTGTGGAAGAAATTGAGGAGAAACCAGAAGAAAAGCCTGAGGAAAAACCAGTCGAGCAGCCCACCGAGTATCAGTTCACAGTCAAGGAAACCCAACCTGAAGCTCCAGCAGAAGAAGAGACTGAAGATATTCAAGAGGTACAATTGCCAAAGAAAACGCCAAAGGTTCCTGAAGTGACTGAAGAGCCTGAAGCCGAAGTTACACTCAAACCCAAACCAAAGACAGAAGAAGTACAGGAGGAAGTAAAAGTATCGAAGAAGAAACCCAAGCCTAAGGCTGTTGAGGAGGCTGCTGAAGAGCTGACAGTGAAGGTAGTAGAAGAAGTTGCTCCCGAACCAGTAGTTGTCGAAGAGGAAGTCGTCGAGGAAGTTGAAATTAAGAAACCAGAAAAGCCAACACCGGAAGAAACAGTTGATGATGCCGTTTTCAAAATTAAGAAACCCAAAGCTCCTGAAGAAGAAGAGGAGGTGGTTGCTGAAGTTACTTTGAAGCCAAAGGCACCAAAGGAAGTACAGGAAGAAGACTTCTCAGTAGATGTTAAATTGCCAACAGAAAAGAAGGTTACAGAGGAAACATCCGACCAAACTGTGCAGCTCAAGAAGAAGAAGAAGCCTCAAAAACCAACAGAAGAAGCTGCAGATGAGCTGCAACTTACGCAAACTGTTATTGAGGAGAGACCAGTTGAGATTGAAGAGGAGGAAGTCGTTGAAGAAGCAGTTGTAATACGAAGGAAACCAAAGAAGCCATTCGAACCAACTGTTGAAGATCTCGAAGAAACTGAATTCAGTCTCTCGTTCAAAAAGCCACATACTATTACCGAAGGCGTTGAAGAAGCAGCTACAGTTCTTAAGAAACGGCCAGTGAAGCCTCAAACCCTCGATGAAGCTGCAGCGGAACTGTCCATAAAGCGACTGGAAGAAGAATACGAAGAAGGCGATGACATTGAAGAATTTGTGGTTAGCCAAAGGCCCAAACCAAAACAATTGCAAATCACTGACGAAGAAGACCAAGAGTACACTATTAAGAAGCTCAAACGTCGCAAGAAGGTGGATATTCCAGAGTTCTCTGATGTTGAGAATGTTACTTTCCGGGCAAAGTCCACGAAGACTAAAGAGGATGTGGACCAAGAGTTTAATATTGCTCTTGACTCGTATGCCGAAGAAGAAGTGTCAATGTCTGGTAAAGTGAAACTTAAGAAACCAATTAAGAAGACCTACTCTGAAGCCACTGATGAGGCTAGAATTAAAATTGTGCAAGATTATGATGATGGTGAAGGTCCAATAATTGAAGAAATCCACGACGACGAAGATACCATCGACGAGGTCGAGGAGCCTGAAGAGTACATGGTTGAAGAGCTACCTCCAGATGAGGTTGACTTCAAGCTGAAGCCTAAGAAACAGCCCAAGCCACATTATTCAGTCCAAGACGAAGAAGAAGAGCAATTCCTTATTGGCCTTCGACATGCCAAACGTGATTCAATTACGTATGATGAAGATTCTCTAACATTCAAAAAGAAGCGTAAAGTTGTGCAACAGCTTTTCAATGAAGGTAAGTTCTTTTGGCTTATATTAAAACTCAGAAACTTATATAAATATCAGGCTGCAATAATTTCTCATTCAATTCAAATCGTGCATCTGCTTATATGGCAATAGCTTAACAAAAATGAGGTAAAACGACCCAACACACATAAATGTTAGTAGCTAACGCATAACTAACTAGTTTTGTGGCCAACCATACATGTATATCTAATTCACCAAAGAATAGCTTTTATTATAACATTATAGAATAATAATATAACATTTTTACTATCGAACAGATGGCGCTTCTCTTAACATTACCAGAGAAATGGATGTGGATGGTAAATATTGTTATCAATTCTATACACATAGCAAATATTTAATAACATTCCAAATATTTCAGAATCTCAAGTCGAGAACATCATGTACTCTATCTGCAATTACATTGCCGATAACGACGAAGCCATTAATTTGGTGGAGGGTGAAAAGGTACAGGTCATTGGACGTCATAGCTCCGAGTGGTGGTATGTGAAGAAGAGCATTACCGAGGAAGAAGGTTGGGTGCCAGCCCAATATCTTATGGAGCCAGCGGAGTACGCCCAATACGTGCAGAATAAGCTGCACGAGAAGATCGATAAGCTACCCGTATTTGAAAGTAAGTATGATATGTAAACCAAAATGTTTTTGTCTAACAAGGGGTTTTAACATTGTCCCGTCACGTTATTAACACTTATCTTAATGTATTGTGACTTGTGCGTTTATTAAGGACCTGGACCGCAAGACAAGCCAATTGCACCGCGTTTCATTGAAAAGTTGCAACCAATTCATACGCCTGACGGTTATACAGTGCAATTCGAATGCAAGGTCGAAGGTAATCCCCGACCGCAAATCGCTTGGTTCCGCGAGACAGCCATTATAAAGCCCTCACAAGACTTCCAAATGTTCTACGATGAGGACAATGTGGCCACACTGATCATTCGTGAAGTCTTCCCCGAAGACGCTGGCAAGTTCACTTGCGTGGCCAAGAATGCCGCTGGCTTCACTTCCAGTACAACAGAGTTAATTGTCGAGAGTCCGTTGTCGGATCACGGCTCAGATGCCACGGCACTCTCGCGCAGAAGCATGTCACGTGAGTCTTCCATGGCCGATATTCTCGAGGGCATACCGCCGACATTCTCGCGCAAGCCCAAGGCTCAATATGTCGATGAAGGTACCAATGTAATCTTGGAGTGCCGCCTTGTTGCGGTGCCCGAGCCTGACATCGTTTGGACCTTCAATGGGGAAGACATTGACGAGGAAGAGATTAAGAATGTTCGAATTGTAACCGAATCGGATATGCATATGTATTGCAGTGTGGTGCATATTACGAAGGTTAAGAAATCACAGGAGGGCGTATACGAAGTGATTGCCACAAATCGCGAAGGTGAAGCTCGTTTGCCTATCACACTGAAGGTACGCACTTCGGACAAGGAGGCTCCACAAATTCTGGAGCCCCTGCGCAATATGGTTATACGCGAGGGCGAAAGCGTTGTGCTGTCGACACAAATTGTAGGTAATCCAGCGCCAAAGGTAACGTGGTACAAGGATGGCAAGCCCATCAAGAATGCCAAATCAGACAAAGACCTCCACACCCTAACACTGATAACGCCCAAAAAGTCGGAGAAGGGCGAGTACACAGTCAAGGCCGTCAATCCATTGGGCAGTGTAGAAACAACTGCGTATCTTACAATTGAAGGTAAGTTGATTTGTTTCATGTTCAGCGAAAACTGGATATACAACGATTTACCCAAATATTAATTAAAACAAACCATCTCCATCTCTATCTCCTACTAGAACCGACGAGTGGCAATGCAGAGCCTCCATTATTTGTGGAGCGCTTTGAGGAGCAATCGGTGCCACAAAAGGGCGAGATCCACTTGCCTGCTAAGGTCTCGGGCAATCCAGTGCCCGAGGTACAATGGCTTTTCAACAACAATCCCCTGTTTACCGACGAGCGAATCCAACAGATCTACGATGGTGAAAATATTGAGCTCATTATCAAGGATGCCAATCCGGAAACTGATTCGGGTGACTACAAGTGCATCGCCAGCAATCCCATTGGCAAAACATCGCACGGTGCGCGTGTAATTGTTGAGGTCGATGAGGTGACCTTTACCAAGAAATTAAAGAAGACCATTACCATTGAGGAGGTGCAGTCTCTGACTCTTGAATGCGAAACCTCTCATGTGGTGTCCACCAAATGGTTCTTCAATGGCAAAGAGCTGAGCGGCATGGATCATCGCGTTGTCGTCGAGGATGGCAAGACGCACAAGTTGGTCATCCGGAACACAAACCTACGCGATTCTGGTACTTATGTGTGCAAGGTCAAGAAGCAAGAGACACAATCAACTGTGGAAGTGCTGCAGCGTAAGCCGGACTTCCTTAAGGTGCTAGAGGACTATGAGGTCACCGAAAAAGACACGGCGATTCTGGATGTTGAGCTGACAACCGAAGCCGTGGAGGTCACCTGGTACAAGGATGGCGAGAAAATAACGCCAGAAAACAAAAACTGCGAATTCATCAAGGATGGCAAATCAAGACGCTTGGTAATACGCGATACCACAATTCACGATGAGGGCGAGTACACGTGCAAGCTGGAGGGCCAGGAGTGCAGCGCCGAGCTGACTGTCATTGAACTGCCACCAGAGATTGTGAAGCACTTGGAGGACGTGAACGTCACCAAGGGCGAGAATGCCATGTTCGATATTGAGTTGAGCAAGGGCGATGCTCTGGTAAAATGGTTCAAGAACGGCAAGGAAATCAAGTTCAATGAACGCATTCAACTGACGATTGATGGTAAGAAGCAGTCGCTACGCATTCTTAAGGCTAAGCCCGAAGATGTGGGCGAATATACCATTCAAGTTGGCGACCAGGTCTCCAAGGCAAAACTGACAGTTGAGGAGCCTTTGGTAGACTTTGTACTGCGTTTGCCCGACGTCACGCTGGCCACCAAGACCACAGATGCTGAATTCACCGTTGAGCTCTCCCAGCCCGATGTCGAAGTTACCTGGCATAAGAAGGGAAAACCAATCAAGCCCAACAAGAAGCATGAAGTGTTCGTGGAGGGCACCGTCAGACGCTTGGTCATCCATGATGCTGACGATGATGATGCGGGCGAGATCAGCTGTGTTGCCGAAAACGTCACAAGCAGCAGCAAGCTATGCGTTGAGGAGCTTAAACTGCCGCCCGTGATTACCTCTGACAAGGATCAAACCATCAAAGTGAAAGAGAACGAAGACGCCACATTCACTGTCAAGTACACCGGAGCGCCCACACCCGAGGCCGAGTGGACCTCTCGCAAGGTTGTCATTCCCAAGTCAAAGCGTACTATACCCACAATTGATGAGCAATCCGCTACGCTGACCATCAAGAAGGTTGTCGACGATGACGAGGGCGAGTACACTGTTAAACTTGTGAATCCTGTGGGCGAGGCAGAGGCCAGCCTGCACTTGCTCATTATGCGTAAGTATATAAAATTAATTACAAATTAAGCGATGCGTAAACTGAGACCTGTGTCAAAACTTTAGGTAAACCCGCGGCGCCAGGCACGCCACAGCCTCTGGAGGTGATGCACGATTCAATAACGCTTTATTGGAAGGCGCCTGAAGATGATGGCAAATCTGAAATCATTGAATACATTCTGGAGTATCATGATGTGAAAGAAGAAAAGTAAGTAGCTTTTTTATGATAAATGATCTGAAATCAAACTAAACGGACAACTCCAATAGATGGACTGAGATACGCAAGATTAAGGACACAACTTACACCATCAGCAAGCTGAAGATAGATACGGAGTACGTGTTCCGCTCGATTGCCGTCAACGAAGTTGGTCCATCCCCGCCCTCACCCATCTCGTCGCCCATACGCCTGGTGCCAAAGGTTGAGACCGAAGCACCCAGCGTACGGGAGCCTCTGCAGGATATTGTCAGCGATCTGAACAAGGAGGTGACCATGTCCTGTGTGTTTGGCGGCATTCCAGAGCCAACTGTCACATGGAAGAAGAATGGCAAAGTATTTGAGTCGAGCAGCGTGCGCTACGAGAATCGCGTTGCCAAGTACACAATTGAAAAGACAACTATTGAGACTGAGGCCACCTACACGTGCGTGGCCACGAATGAGAAGGGCTCCGTGGAGACGTCGTGCAGACTGAAGCTGCAGCAGAAGCCAACCGTTGAAATCGAGGACAAATACTTGTCCCAGAAACTGCGCACTGGCAGCACTCTCACCATTCCGGCAACAGTTCGCGGCTATCCACAGCCGACTGTGACCTGGCACAAGGAGACGGTCGAACAGAAGTCCACCAAGGAAGTCACGATCGAAACCACAGAGACCAGTTCCATCTATACCGTTAAGAAGATAACTCGCGAACACTCTGGCCGCTACAAGGTGACGGCCAGCAATGAATCGGGCTCCAGCTATGCGGAATGCACGGTTCAAGTGATCGACAAGCCAAGCCGGCCACAGTCCTTGGAGGTTAAGGACGTCAAAAAGGACTCGATCATCCTGGAATGGACGCCACCAGTCGACGATGGCGGCATGGAGATTAAGCAGTATACGCTGGAGAAATGCGATCTACAGAACAAAGTTTGGATGAAGGTTTCCGACTTCGACAAGGACATCAACTCGTATGCCATTCAAAAACTTTCCATGAATGCACAGTACATGTTCCGAGTGGTGGCTGTCAATCCCATAGGCGAATCTGAACCAACTGAGAGTGAGCCTGTGACCATAACCAGGAAGTTTGGTATGTATTCTACAATATCATTAACAGAGAGCAAATTAATAAAAGCAAATATTCCTTTCCTCCTATAAACAGAGAAACCAACTCCACCACGTGATCCCACGTCGGTGTCCGGCATGAACGACACTTCGTTCACATTGTCCTGGGAGCCGTCGGAGAGCGACGGTGGCTCCAAGATAATTGAGTACATTGTGGAAATAAGGGAAGAGACTGAAACCGTTTATCGCTCCTTGGGCACTACGACGGGCACTGTAACAAACATTCAAGTTGACAACGTTGTGAGAAACAAGGGCTATCTGTTCCGAATCTACGCTCGAAACGAGGTTGGCACCAGCGACGCGTTCGAGACAACTGAGAAGATTGTCGTTGGACGCAAGATAAGTAAGTGATGGACGCAACAAATAATGATAATTGCTTAATTTGCTTTGCAAACTGCTTTCTCCCTTAACGCGCACTAATGCCTCGCTTTGCAAAAATAATTATTAAACAGCGAATAACAATGAAAACTTGGGTACGTGATAGCTTCCGTGGAATTGCAATCGTATTTTTATATCAATAATCGCTTTAATGCTTCCCACTCTAGCGCCGCCTTCGCCTCCGCAAAATCTGAGAGCGCCGGATGTGACAAGCCGCAGCGTAACACTCGACTGGGAGGTGCCAGCCCGAAATGGAGGTTCCGAAATTACAGGTGACATATATAATATCAAATTACCAAATGGAAACAGAAATAGAATCAATCAATGTGCGTATCCGCAGGCTATTGCGTGGAGAAGCGCTCTTCAACATCGACCAGCTGGACAAAGGTCATCACCCTGGATGCCCATCAGCTGCATTACACCATAGACAATCTGAAGGACAAGTGCGAGTATTGGTTCCGTGTGTCAGCGGAGAACGAGGTTGGATTAGGTGCACCAGCCGTCACGGAGAGCATATCGCTGAAGACACACGCAAGTAAGTTGAGCTTGGCTAGACAGCTTGGCGCAGCTCTAATTGGTTTCCACTCTTGAACCAGCTGTACCATCGCCACCGACTGCTCCACTGGAGGCCCGAGTGCTAGCGGCCAATGCACACGTATTCGAATGGGGTATACCCGAGTCAGATGGTGGTGCGCCACTGCTCGGCTACCACATTGCCATACGTGACATGAAGAAGTCCATGTGGATTGAGGTCGGTCGGGTGCCAGCCGGGGTGCAGAAATTCCAGATAAGAGACCTGCAAGAGAATCACGAGTACATGATACGCATTCTCGCCAAGAACGAGATTGGCCTCAGTGAGCCGCTCGAATCGGAGGAGCCCTACAAAGTGATGACAGCCGGTATGTAGAAATGTTTATTATCTCACAGATTTACAGCATAACTAACGCCAACACTCACACCAATAACTTTCATGTGATGCAGGTCATGCCAGCCTGCCCGACGAGCCGCGCACAGAGATGAGCACATGCAACACATCCTCCTGGCTGCGGGATCACAATATGGATGCGGACATACACTCGTATGCCCGGGGCAGGCTGCTTCAACGCGACGAGTACTTCTTCCGGCTCTGGGCGCAAATGCCCAAGAAGAAGAAGGGCTCCAAATAGACAGAGACATGAACGTAAACCAACAAAAATAGCCATGACAAAACGAATGAAACTTAGGTTAGGTTAAGTTTATTTCAATTGTACTTTAATGAATTCTTGACTTTTTATTTAGCTTCTTTTTTAGCTTTTTTTTGTACTCGTAATACACCCATTGTAAAGGGCATGTAATGTTCGGCAAATGCGATGCGTCCGGCAACAGCGATGTTCACGAAACTGAGACAGACTGGGGCGAGCGAAGACAAACTTGATGTTTGAGTGCGTGAACGTGGCTGTTGGCCTGTGAGCTCATTGGCCCATTACATAAACTATGAAAGGAATTTCTTTATAATTTGCATAAATTCGTATGATTTCCTGCGCTTTATTTTTGTAAGCTGTGATAAATTTATCAAATTCGAAAGCGTCAAACGATAAAATGCCATGACATTTGCGCCAGCACACGACGCGCATCGGGCACAGGACAGTCAACGGACAACAGCCAACAACCGACATTCAATAGCAACAGCTACAACAACAACAACAACAGCAGCAACAGCAACAGGAACAGCCACAAGAACACAACGCAAGTGATTCAATATCCTCTAGGGAGACAAACAACAAATGGTGCAATTCGATATGAGTTACGAGTACGCTGTGTGCCTGTGTGTGTGTATCTGTCTGTCTGGGTGTGTGTCTGTGTGTGTTTGTTGTGTTATGTTGTGCGTCGCGCTGACTGTCCCTTGCCCTTGCCGTGTGCTTGCTGTGTGAGCAAATTTATGACATCCAGAGGGTTACATAACTATACTTCTATACATATATTTTGTGGAAGAGCCCAACATGACTTTAAACTGAAAAAAATGAAAGAAAGAAAACAAATGAAAAATAAAATAAATATGAATAAATTTTGAACGAACAACTTCAAGTGGTTTAGCTCGGGCCGAACACAACTTTTGCGCAGTTGAGCACGAAAAATCAACTAATTAATTCATTAGTTAGTTTTGGCCGACTCCAAAGAAAAGCCGAAGTTAACGGTAAGTTTGCTCTGGCAAAGTTTTCTATTAAGTTTTTATTCTAAAACTTAAAGTCGACAGCCAAACAATGGCAGCTACCAGCTGCCCAGTCTGACATGCGTGTGCAGGACCTAAAACTACAGATGGAAGAGAGAGAGATAGAGAGGGAGATGGTGAGAGTGTGAGTGGGGGAGGAAGACAGGGAAAGGAGATGCCGACACTAGGCTACAGTTACGCGTCGATGAACTTATCTGGTGACATGGGCACAAAGTTTCCATACACCCAAAAAGTGAGAGAGAGAGAGAGGGAAACTGAGAGAGAGAGGGAGAATTGTGTGCGAATTTAATTAAAGTTTTTGCGGTTGCCACTAATCAAAAGATATTATCTAAAATGCTCTATGTGGTAGTTACTTTGCCTGGCAAATAACTTTCTGCTGCGGCCACAACTGTAATTTACACTAAGCTGATTGGGCATCAGAGAATGCCAACTGGGCGTGGGTATACGCCAGGAGTTAAGCTCTAAATGGATTCATAAAGCTAAACATATTTCCGGGCACTTTAAACTGCACAATAACAAACGAACAGCAAACACTTCACCTGGCTGCCTCACTGCCTGCACCTGTCCAGAGAGTAACAACAAAATAACAATACAAAGCCATCTTTACTAGTGCTTGCTATACATATATATATATATATATATATGTGTAGCAACACCTAGAGCTGCTATTGATACCGGCATTCAGGCTGGCAGTCAGGCAGGAAGCATATTTAGTGTTGCCACTAAGCGATCGACCAGTCGCTGTGGGAGCTCGTTCTTGTCCTCGCCCTCGTCCGCGTCCTCGTCTTTGTCCTCATGCTGGTCCTTTGGCCAGCTCCTGTCGCTTATTTCGAGGGCTTCCTATGCCCGGCACACGAGCGGAAATTTCATTTACTTGTTTGCTTTTTATGCGCTTCATTCGATTTGTGCTTGTTGTGTATTAAATTCCAGCCGCCAGCTAAGCTCAACATTTTGCAAACTTAAATTTTGCAGAATTGCACAAAATGTTTGCTGTGCTCGCCATTGTCTTTAAGCTGCTGTCAGTCGTCAGACTCGCATGCCCATTAGTTATGGTTTATTAATGCCGCACTCCAAACTTGGCCAGAAAGTCGGCCTAACACAATTGAAAACTTGTAATAGCATTCGGCAAGTTGGCCGTATTGCTTGTAAAAACCAAATTACACATCAACTTTATGGTCTGCACGTAGAAAATTGAGGCTATACTTTTGCCCTGACACGGCTCGTCAAACGTGCTAGGCTGCCCGAAAAAAAAAAAAAAAAAACCAAACGAAGCCAGACGAAACCAAACCCAACCAAAGACGTACCAAATAAAACAAAGAGACAGCAAAAAGTTTGCCTAATTAGTTGCCAAAATAATAAACGATAATGGCATGGCAAAGCCACTTCTTCTCGACATCCAGTCATGCCTAAATGCTAAAACAGATGTTGCTATTGTCTTCTCTCTGTGTGTGTGTGTGTGTGTGTGTGTGGGATTGTGTCAAGCAAATTGAATTATCAACTTGTGAGGAAGTGGAAATCAGTTACATTTTGGCACTGATATCAGGCAAATTAGCAAATCAAAGACACAAATCTTAATTAATCAGGTTTTCAATTTGACAGAAATTACGAAAATATTAAGTAAGCAGACGGCAGATGAACGCCTACAATTAATGATAATGAACATCATATAAGCTGTAGGTCGCAGTATAGAAGAGGAGCAATCACTATAGATGGTAATTCTTCTTTTAATACGCTGGATAGACTTGGATATAAATTGAATTCTACGATTTCGCACAGTTTCAAAAGACTCAACTATATCAATTATAATCAGCTTGAATGTTAATAAGAATTATGAATAGTCAGACGGGAATATACTGCTAGTAGATACCCTGCTTAAGTTCTGCTTTATATTGAATTGACATTAAAATTCTTTTATGAGAATTTTTGGTTTATTGACAAAGTTATATACGAGCTTTGGAATAGCCAGAAATAATAAAAAATAAATGAATATAATTTGTTTATAGCTGAAAGAGCTGCAAAGTCGACTACTTTGTCGTACATATACCTACTCAAACGAGCAGATTAAACTGGCTAAATGCAATGCCTAGAGATAACATTAGGCGCATTTATTATACTTGTTCGTACGTATTTTATAGATGCATGCGTACATACACTCGTAATTGCCCTGACGAAAGATGTATCATAAAATGTTAGTTTCATGTTTATGGCAGGGAATTAAGCAGCCGAAAGAGTCGCTGGGCTGCAGATTAACTGATGCTTTGTAGAAGTGGGTTACATTATAAAAGTATCTGCGCAGTTATTTACGGGTCTACATGGTCCCCGAATAGCACCAACATGACAGCCGAAATAGCTGTATGTATAATTGCCCAACAGCTCTGCCCGGAGCCATGAACCACGCCCATTAACTACAGCCACAAAAAAGCGAAAAGAAAAGAAACTGCAGCTGAGTGTTGGCTTCCTGCCTGCAGCCGGTCCGATAGGGTCGATAGCTGTACATGTATAAATGTGAGCAGGACTTGAGGAAAATTAAGAAAATGTTTTTACTCTCTGAGCAAAGCGCTCGAGGCGAAGAGCTCTTGCTCTATTGTGTCCATGACTTGCAACTGTTTGTAGGAGCTAAGAGATTTTCAGCGAATCTCTTACTCTTATCTGGCTGAAAGGTATCTCCATATATCTATATACGACAAGGTATTGCCTCAGATATTTGCATGATCTGCTTAGCGTAAGCTCCAGAATCGATATACCCAGCACACAGCAGAGCATACTGTAAATATAAAATATTTATTGCCAGATTGCACACGCATTCAGCATGTCCTTCGGGCAGCTACAGCTACAGCTACTGCTACAGCTGCAATACAGGCTGGATGCTGCCTGCTGATATGTATGTACACAATGTTCTTTCTGCCATATCCTTTCCTTTGACTGCAGCGACAAACGCATTTAACATGCACTCCACCCATTTTGCTAGCCAATTCATAACATTTAACAGCTCGCTGAGGCCAGTGAAAATATTCTTACACTTTACGATTTAATGGAGACATTTTTGGTACAAATTATCTGCCCACCTCTCCTCCTTGGGGCACCATTTAAAAATCAAGTGTGCTGAAAATTAAATTTCACACAGCTGTGCAGCAGCAACTGCAGTAGCAGCAGCAGGGCAGCGAGTCAATTCTGTAGAGTGCAATGCAAGGACAGAGTATGGCTTCCAGCCAGAAACTAGTGAAACTGCCTCGACTGCTGCTCTACAGCTGCTGACATTTCAATGGACCATCATGTTTTCCACACACACACACACACACACACACACACACACACACACACTCACACTCACACACATAGTAATATTTACTAAACTTTCGTGTAACATACATGCATGACTTTTTAAGGTAGCGCAATTAAAGTCAATTGGCATTTTACCAAAATGCGCTCAACGTGTCGTATTCGTAATGTCAAGCTAGTATCTGTGTATGAGTGAGTTTGAGTGTGAATGTGTGTGGTGTCAACAGCATTAGCTTGCGTTGACTTTAGTTATTAGCACGTCTCTGGCAGCACAAATGCTTTCATAATTCATTACCCACACCCACAAATGAAATTTTCGACATTGCGCATACGCCGCGTTGCCTAAGCATAAATTAATTCATTTGCCCGAGCGAGCTTTATAGTTATTTAGGTGTCTTCTCTGTTTGCACCGACACTGATTTTATGGTTTCCTTCGGTGTATTGTTTGGCAATTTCAAAAATCAACAGCATCAACAACAACAACAACAACAACAACAACAGCAACTGGCAATGAACTGAAATTTATTTGTATTTCGTTTCGCTCTTCGAGAAGTTTTACAGCCTAACTAGGTGCTGTTGGCTGCTGATGTTTGTTTTATGGACTTTTGCGGCACTCCGGCCCCATTCCCCAATTTAGTTTATAATGTGCCCATAAAAGTTGTGTGCGGACCAGTCAGCCATTTGCATTTTTATTCAGACCCGACCAGCCAGCGCTCGCCTTGATTTGGCAGTTTGACTGATTAGCTCGCATTATAAAGCGCTTTGACATTTACGAGCATAACCAACTCATCCGATACATTCAAGAAGCAATCATAAAAGGAATTTCCCTAATGCAAATGGCCGCAGATTACCCAGCGACCTTCAAAGTTTCAATTTTGCGTTGATTTCATAATTTGGCGACCCTTTTTACCCCCTGCCCAGGTCTATTACTCCATTCCACAACTTGAGCTAAGCAAACTGTTAGATGTCGGCTTGCAGCTACTTTACACACCGTTGACTTAATTTTGCGCCAGTTCCATTGGCCTTTGCATAAATGCATCCTAATGCGCCTCCATTTTGTGGCGCTGCAGGCAGTGGCAGGGCAGCCCAGGTACGCTAAACAGATTTGCACCTTGCATATAAAGCCAAATTTACAAGCTGTAACGAAAATTGCAACGCAAATATGCAAATAACTATAGAAGCAAGCCCCAGCAGCAGCAGCAGCAACAGCAGCAGCAGCAGCAGCAGCAGCAGCAACAGCAGCAGCAGCAGCAGCAACAGCAGCAGCAGCAGCAGGCAGAAGCGCGACCCTCGCTTAAATTTTAAGAGCTACCAGAAAAAAAGGTTTTGTGCCAGGTTTTCATTTGGCAAGCGAATTATTCAGCTGAAAATGAAGTTCTTATGTATCTATATACATATATATGTATGTGTACAAACGTGTTGGACTTATCGACCAAGATATGCATGCAACAGCAAACAAAGCTCAATTCAGCTGCATTCTCGTTGCAGCTGCAGCTCTAGCTTCAGCTACAGCTACAGCTCCAGCTGCCATTTGACAACGTTTCGCACTGCGAGTGGGAGCACAGTCCTCTGCAGGCTGTTTACGTGCTTATCGAGCAATCGATGTGAGAATTATAGCCGTGCTGGCACGGTTAAGCTGCTTAGAATGCACTGCGCACAGGCGGCCAACGTGTCGTATGCGTGCTGTCGTTCTAGAGATCTACGAATACTTTGCAGCACATTAAATTGCCAATATGGCTTTATTGTTCCACAATATAGTTATAAGCTAAGGAGATTGCCGCTGAGCAGGAGGCGGGCCGAGGTCTGACAAGTTGAGCAGCGATTTATGCTGCCACAACTTATAGGCAGCTGTTGCCCCCAAGGGCGTCGAGTGCGTCCAAAGTCTGTGCGGATAGATGGATAGAAAATGCGTGGCTATGCGGCTGAGGGGCCTGTGGGCCATAATAACTACAGCCAGAGCCAGAGCCAGAGCCAGAGTCAGAGCCAGAGCTGGGCGCACTTGCACAGACGACCACAGCCATAAAATGCGGCACTCGATGATGCCTATGGGCAAGTTTTGCACGTTGAGCGAGCAAGCGCAGCGAGCAACGTAGCCATAGTCGTAGCTATAGTCGCAGTCGCAGTCGTTGGCCCGGCCTAAACATCACTTCACAACTGCCAAGCCAGCACATCCGGTTTCCGTTAGTTGGGCACGTCGTTGACGTCGTCGTCTTCGTCGTGGTGGCTACCTTCCTGACTGACTGGCTGTCAGGTTGATGTTGCTACAGGTAATATCATTTAACTGCGGCGCAAGAACAGCGACTTGCACGAATATCGTATGATGGTAAAATATTATCTCGTTACAATGCTCAAAATATTTTTGCGCCCTTGCCAAGCTCGCCTTTGGCTTATGAGCGGAACTACGTGTCGCAGCAGCAAAAACTAAAAACCGACCCACCCACACCCACACCAGCACACACACACGTGCACACGCTCACACTTGGCGCTAGCAACTGTCTGTCGTGCAAGAATTTACTCACCCTCACCCTCACCCACACACACTCACACTCAAGTATAGATGTTTAAATTTGATTTCAAGTGCTCGCATTTTGATGGCCATCTAAGTGAATGCGTGTTGTGGCTGTTTACGTGTCCTTGTTATGAAAACTACGAGCGCCACGAGCCATCCGTACTCGCATGTGTATTTAAGCGTATAGTTAGCCCGGCACCAACTTAAAGCTGTTCACATGGCTACACAGTCGCTGAATTCCGTTATTGTAGATAAGTTTTATTGACTTACGCCTCGAGCCGAAGTTGGTTTACTTTAGCAACTTGTTTAGAAATTTGATTGTGCGTGGGAAATGAAAATAATTTAATAGAAATAACAAAAGTTCACTCCATATACAACATGGAATTTAGAGTCGTTAGCAGTGGATTTTGTCAAAGTTTGTGTGAGTTTTCATAAATACATTCGAAGTATTTGTAGAAGAAGTTTTCAATTTAAAATTCAGCAATGTTAAATGAATATTAAATTTAATATTAGCCAAGGATCTCGCCATCTCGCTGGAACTGACAAACTCTTAGGATACCCTGCCTATGTACTACATATATCATATTTATATATAACATGTTGTTATCATTTCTCATTCATCCTATCAAATTTAATTTTCTTGGCAATATGCGTATAGCGAATCATATATGTAGTTCAAGTTCTTCAGCTGTTCTTGATAGACTGAAGAGGCCCGCAGCTTCGACAATGTGTAGGCAAACAAAGTGAGTTGCAGGCTCTGCTCGTGTTGCACATTTGTTGTAATTTGTTCCCTTTTTTACAGTTTCTTGCGCTATTTTCCCAGCCACTTGTGGCACTTAAGGGCAGACTGGCGTAGCAGCTGCTTTTGATTTCTCATGCGTGCGAAGTTTACACAGGCTTTGGCCAAAATATTTTTCACTCACACACACACACACACGCACACACACACAATTGCAGGCTTGTTCGTCCCTTCACAATTACGTTACGCATGAATTTGATAGCAAATGAGAACGCGTTGCGCTTCACGCTTGACTCTGCTTGGCACTCACTTAATTATTGCATAAGAAAATGAAACGAGGCCACCAAGGCGCTGCTTGGAGCGACATGCGACCATCCCCCCAACTCCCCATGCACACACCCACACACCCTCGCACCCTCGCACACACGTGCAGCTGACGGGCGAGCAATGCAACTTACAAGTGCAGCTGCAACTGGGACAACAAACTTTGCAGTATGGCTATGTGCTTGACATGCATGCTTACCCGCAACGCAGCGCCGCTGCAAGCCAAGTTGCAAGTTCCCAGTCGCCCATTGACTGCAGCTCAGGTTGTACGGGGCGTGAAGCGTGGAACGTGGGGCAGGCGAAACGCATCGAGAGAAGGTTGCGGCGCCTGAAAGTCTTTAACTATAACAGCCCCCATTTGTAAGCCCTGTAGCTACAGGGCGAGCGTGAAGCAGGGTTGGCTTTAAATGAAGTTGCATGTGCATAGAGTTCAATTAGCGAGAGCAGGCCAAGCATTAGTGAGGCCATTATATACCCTATAATACTATGCACAACAACTCTACTCGCACTATTACTCATAATAGATCATACTATTCCTTAGTATAAACTGTAGTATTAATCTTTAGCAAACAGTTTACAGGGTATCTTCGCATAAGTATTGTTCAATACTTACCAGTAGATGTGAATGTGCTTTAACTTATATATAACTTATACTCTACTATAATATATTCTTCTATATTAAACTATTCAAAGCAATATAGGGTATCCTATAATGTACACATTTCATTATCTATAATGACATTCACTCTCTCTCTGCCATACAGGGTATCTTCTGCCAGTAAACAATAAGGTTTATTTCATGGTCTTTGTTTATATCGATTTAAGCTCATAATTAAATTTATATTGACAATTTGTTGAATTTTCGATTGCGTTGGCAGCTGCGATTAATTAGTAGCCGAAAACCTGAATTATCCATTATCCGTTATCCTTTTTGGGTCGATTTAATTGCTGCTTGAATAATTTGCGAGCTAATTATGTTCGATTCGAGCTGCTTTAGGTATCGCCACTGGGCCAGCTGTTACCTGTGCTCTCCACATCCGGCGACAACTTTTGCACTTCCGTTCGCCATTTCACACAGACGCCGACACACCGACACCCGCACACACACACACACACGCACACACACAGGTGCTCAGGCAAAGAGTGAGCGCAAATGGTGAATGGGCTTCTGTTAGCTGGAGGGGCCACTCAATTAAGTCGGGCTGCTGCAATTTATATAAGCCTGCCGATATCGCTGTTATCGGCCAGTTACACGCTTTATAATAGCCCGGGCAGCGTCGACGCCATTTTTCATTTAATTTACCGCACATTTTATCTCTGTTCTATGGCGCCTTTTTATCGTTGGCATTCCGGCGTGAGGGCTGGGGCGGGGGGCTGGGGCTAGCTGGATTGCTTATTTTGTTATCATTATCCTGTTATCCTTGTGCCTGCCAGCGGCACCTAATTAAATTATCCCGCAATTGCCTGCTAAGTGCACCTGCACCGGCTTCTGTCCGAATGTTGTGGGCATTAAAGGACTCGCCCAGCCTGGCTGCCTGGCATATTTATTTATCGAGCGTCCCTTTTTTCGGCGTTGGCCACTTCCTGGCCTTTGTCCTTTCCCTTTTGCGCCTAATTATTATCTGCCCGACGCACTGAATTTTTGAGCACACAAAACTTTTCAGCAACGCCCGGGAAAAAGTCAATAAGCTTGAAGGACCTTAATTATTTTCTCACTCTGTATTGGTGTATGTGTGTGCGAGTGTGCGAGTGTGTATGTGTAGGCGTACGTCTGTGTTCATTTCTTGGAACTAAGCCGCCAAAGTTTTTGTGTGGACAACAAAGTTACAGCTGCACAATCGCCGTTGACCCATTTGGCAGCGGCTCAAAGCGAATAACTTTAACAACATTCGAAAGTATGGCTAAGGGAAAATGTTTTTCTTGTGCCCGTTTAATGGGAAACTGATTTTGTCATTGACAAGTTGTTGGCTGCATCCTGCACTCAGTGCGCCCAAGGACAACATCAAAGGCTTTGCATAACAAATGTTTTGTTTTCATTTCGGCTGGCAAAGCCGCCTCCAAGCCGGACTTGCAACTGCTCGTACTATTGTTCCATCTAGATCCTGTTTGGCCTCCCACCTAACACAGCCCAAGCCCCAGCCACGCCCCAGCCCCAGCCCAACCCTTCCCCAGCCAAAGCTGCTCACAGCATATCCTGTTTGCTTAAAAGCTTCCGTTTGCCATTTGCCTTCGTGTGTGTGTGTGTGAGACTGTGGGGAATGTGAATGTGAATCAGAATGTGAGTGCCAGAGTGAGTGTGGGTGTGGGTGTGAGTGTGAGTGAGCGAGTAGTCGTCGCCAAGACCTTGCACCCAAATGCGCAATTATGACAACCATGAGGTATGCGCTTAGTATGTGCATTTGTGTGTGTGTGTGTGTGAGGGTTTTCGGAAATTCTTGCTGCTGACAATGATTGAAGCTGTAAGCTGTCATTGTAATAAATCAATAAATGCAACTTGAGCCAAATTGCCCAGCATACAAAATGGCAAACAACAACAGCAACAACAACAACAACAGGCGAAAGTTGTTCTCCGCCTTTCCTAGCTCATGTGGCTTGGCCAAGTTTATTTGCAAAAATAATGCACATCATTGTTAATCAAAGCGAAAGCGAGATAGAGTGAAAAGAAGAGTAAGAGAGCTTGAAAAGCAGAAACAGAGAGAGAGAGAGAGAGAGAGAGAGATAGACAGAGAGAGAGAGAGAGCTGGCATCGTGGAAAATTCCATGTGGCTTGTCTGCTGCCAAGCTGCTTGCAGCTCTGGCTGTGTTTATTGCTGCGTGGCAGACTTTCAGTCACAGCGCCGGGCATATGCATAGAAACAGTTCCCCATAGATGGTTGTTTATGGCGGCGGTCTATGCCAAACTCCTTTCAGGGCAAACACTGTTTATGCTCGAGCCTTTCACTGCACGGCCACACTCAACTGCACAGCACTGTCTGCTTGTATGACCAAACAATGGATGTATACAAACAACAGCAACAACAAGGGCAACAACAATGACAACAACAACACACAGTCGGCGACAACAATGGTGCACAAAATTGCCGCTGTCATCAGTGAGGAAATTTGCATTTTGCACAAATTGCAATACGTAAAACTCTTCGCACTTTGCGCTCAGCCCGCCACACATGCTCCGGCCGGGCAGCCTTGCCATTGTGTTGACAACTGAATGTTGTGGAGTGTTAAATACTAAATGCTTTTGCTTTTTGGCAAATTTTGTCAAATTACAAGCAGTGAAGCCAAGCCAGGACGGGCCAGGACGGGCCAGGCCGGGCCACGCCCACAACTACTGCTGCACATTCCAATTATGCTCAGAGCTTACGCTGGGCGTGACTTATCAGTGAGTGGGCGTGGCAGCCCTGCCATGCATCCCCTAATGCAGCTAATCGACATAATTTTCCAGTCAACTGCACAAGTTGCAGGCAAATAGTTTCGACTGAATCCAGAGATGAAAGCTCAAGCTGGCAAAAAGTTTAACCCATGCCCAATGAACTGAACTGTGTAGTTCGCTTTTTACTTCTTCTTCTTCTTCTTCTTGTATTTAGCTCGGGCATAATTGAATTGATTGCGCCTAGTCGAAGGGGGGGCGATGATTTAATTCAATCATTTACAGCTGAGCGCGGAAGGCGTTCATTAGTCGTGTTAATCATACGCCATGCTGCACGGCTATAGCCTATGGGACAGCAGCTAATTAGGTTGGCAGCCTCTCATAACTCAGCCATAAAGAGATTTAATAGATTTCTATCTGCCTATTATAGCTCTTAGCAGCCGCTCTGTGTGGGTGTGTATGTGTGTGTGTGTGTGGGAGGGAGAGAGAGCGAGAGAGGGTCGAGTTTATGGTTGATTTAGTTGAATTTTCAACAGCTTTGCTTTCGATTTATATTAATATATATATTTTTAATATATATATTTTTTTTATTTCTAATGCATATATATAGTAGTATTATATACTAGGACTCCCTTTAAAATAGCCTTAGAGTTTTATCGTCCAGTTGATGCCAGGCAGCTTGGAGCTATGCTCAGGTGGACCATCGGACGCCCAGCTCATGCTCATGCAGTGCTCTTTAAAGCGCATTCGAATTAGGGGCAGCTCCTTCAGCTGACAGAGCATCATCCGCTTGCTGAGCAGCTGATCTGGTCAGTGCAGCTGATGGCCAGTGCAGAGCTGTAAAGGATTGGAATGAATTAAAAGTTTTGTTAATGGCAGCAATAATCCTTGGGCTTACCCTTAGATCTGCCTCATCCCGAAATTGTTTGATGCGGCATCTGTGATGCTTTGGTGCAGCTGTGGCAACAAAAGTTGTGGCTCAGCAGCCACAGCACCACATCGCCAGAGGCTCTGCTCGCATTTTGTGCGCTCTCTGCAAAAATCTCGCCCAACCAGCAGCAGCAGCAGCAACAGCAGAATAATGATCTGGCTTAAGAGATTTGCCCCGTATGTGAGCTGCTGCAGTTGCCAGAGAACAATAACGACGTCCAGATGCAGCTCCAACAGACGAGTGCAACTTGTGCAGCATCAGCAGCAAGAGCGATAGCAAATAAACGCCAAAGTAATGTGTCATGTGTCGCTGTATCTTTCGGCTTCTCAAGGAAGCGGCGAGCATTCGATTTATGGCCACATAGCAGCAGTTTAGCCAAATGAAGCAATTGAAGTGCAGCAGCAGCTGCAGATAACAGCTGAGCATAGAGAGAAGACCACACAAAGCAGCCATTGGTAGCCAGTGGACTGTCCACCCTCACTGCACCACAGCCATCTCATTGAGCAGCCAGTGGCGTGTGTACAGAGATAAAGGAAGCAGGACGAGGAGCAGGAGGCGTGCCAGCCAGTGAAGGTATCCATCAATTTGGCAATCAGCGCCGGCTAAGTAAACCACGGAAATCCACGCGAATAGATTGAGCACAAACAGCCGCAGTAGATAAGTGTTTGCTGGGCCAGTTCGAATCTCTTCGAGACCTCATTGTAATAGACGTTGTCCAGGACAAACAGTAGCCCTAAAGGTGCTCCACAGCACCAACAATACGAAACAGTCGAACAGTCGAAATGGTGCAACAAAATAACCAGCGACAGATGAAAACTTGAATACACTTACCTATAAAATGAAATGCACTTATATTCCTTTAAGAGTTCACTCAGGGTAAAAGCAACAAAGGATATCAGCTCAAAGCCAGAGATGGACAAAAGATAGAGATAAGAAAGAGCAGAGATGAATTGAGAGGGGAATTGAAATATTCTCAGTTACTTCTATTACTTTAAACGAAAATGATCACGTTAAGAATTCACTCAAAGCAAAGCAAAGCAACAGAGGAAATCATAGTAAAACAGCTCAAAGCCAAAGGTAGACAAAGAGCAAAGATAAGAAAGAGCAGAGCTGCAGTAAAAGGGAAATGGAGAGCAGACAAGGTGCATTCAAGCGGATGGAAAAGTGCTGAGGAGCAAGTAGAAGAGAGCACCGCTGCTGCCCCTCGTAATTACACGTGCCAACCACTCTGACATGGCTCGAGTACCCTTCTCGTCTGGTTAGGGTACACAAAAAACAATAACAATTTAGTGGGGCGCTTGGTCGCTTGGTCGCTAATGCGATGACGGACTGTGTAAATGCTTTTAGCGCGAAAAGCACGAAAAAGCATTTGTGAAGTGCGAGTAATTGATGGCTGCACACATTGAGCAGGCAACCACTTCAATTAGCGCCATTCGAGCAGGCGCAATATGCACCACCAACCACCAAACACCAGCCACCAGCCACCAGCCACCAAAATCGATATGTGCTTGTCGAAAACTAAGCTTAAATATTTTAAAGAAAAAAATTTGAATGCTTCTAATGGCAGTAAAAATTATTGGTAGCACATTCCACCCATGCAAAGCTCCATCCGCTCGCCACTCCCCTCCCCCCCACTCCCGCTTCCTGCGTGGCACCGCTGTCAGACCCACTTCAGATTTGCGTCGCCAATCGCGCACGCGGCAAACTAATTTATTTCCAAACTGGGAACTACGCGCTACCAGCTCAAAGTTAGCCCGCTCGCCATGGCCCTGGCACTGGCCCTGGCGCTGGCACTGGCTGAACGATTAATTTGTTCAGGTCCAACTCTCAATCGGTGCCTGCGCCAGCTCCCACATCGGCAGCCATTAGAGGATTTGCATGCCCGGGCACGTGAGTATTTTGGCATGTTCATTGGTTCATCGCAGCATAACCCAAAAATGTCAACCTTAAGCGGCTCACTCGTTCTCACATCTTCTTTACTCACGCTCCATTCTCTGCTGCCTATTTTCCTCGTCCCTATTTTTTCTCGGCGTTTGCTTTGTCATTTCAACTTGGCATTCATGTCGCAGCACTCGGTGCGCCTTTATGTGGCATTTTAAAATCCTGTGCATGTCGGCGGCAAAAGGACAGAGCAGACGAGGCGCCGCTGGAATTCAATAAGAAGCCCCGGGCGCACACCGAACACTAGCCAGGGGACGGACCCAAACTCCAACAGCAACGAGCATGTTTGACAAACAATCATTAGAGCCATCAGTGTGAACAGCAGCAGCAGGAGAAGCAGCGCCAGCAGGAGAAGAGCAGCAGCAGCGAAGCCAGTCACTGGAGCTGCGGCACCACCAACACAACGTACCCAAAAGGCTGTGCATATCAGCATTACCATCAGCCACGTCGTTAGCAGCTCGAGCAGCAGTCTGTATCCCAGATGCCGAGGCAGGAAAACCGAGTCGATTGAGGCGGCTGCTGTCTTAGCTACTGCTGCAGCTATATTTTCAGGGTAGGCATATCCTTTAAGAGGCTTCGAGGATTAAAGGAATAAAGCATATTTTAATATGTTCCACAGGTATTTTAATTATCCTGCATAATCAAGTTAGCTCTTTGTTATAGTCCCATTGCATATCGGCAGACAGACTGAGCTATAGCTGTTGTATTTTTATTAAAATAAATTTTGTAAAAAAATATGTCCCTGTGTAGAATGATAAGGGAAACCCTTTAGACTAATTAGAACACTTCAATATAATATATAAATTAATTGAGTAAAATAAAAGAATAAATAATATCCAACATTCTATTTTAGATAGATGATAAATATTATGACGAGTTTAAAAATATTTAAACATTTATTTATAAATTTAATTTTTGAATGCTGAACATATATTAATACACATATATATATATAATAGCATATAGCACATATATCAAAAATAAATACATCAAATCCCCATCTTAAAAGTTCATTAATATCACTCTATGAAAAGTATTTTGATATGAACATTGTCGCTCGACCCCGGACAGCTGCCGCCATTTGCATTGGCTGAAAAACATTTGCAACATCAACTAAATTTTTAATAGATATTTATTTTGTTTTTTCCACCAGCTCCGCGTGCAAAGTGGATGGATGCAAAAACATGCATAAATCATCAAAAGCAGCGCTGACAACTAATGAAAACATGCACAAATTTATAGCAGCCGAAATCGACTAAAAGAAAGCGTTGGCCGAGCTCTTTCTTTTATTTCTTTACTATTCCCTTTTTTTTTAGCGCTGCCAGCCATCGGACAATTTAAATTGAAAAAGAAATTTAAAGGGGCTGAAAATGGAAAAAATAAATTCATTTGCTTTATGCGCAGCACGCAGCAAAAAGCGGCCATAAAAACTGTCGAGGCGGCCCACCGGAAATGCAGCCCAATTTTTGTGCGGAAGTTTATTTGTGGCGACACTATCACAGCCCGCGCCCTGCCCCCCCCATTCAGCCCAGTGTATTTTTTTGCCTTTGCTCTCCTCCTCCGCCTCTCTGGGCTTTGTTGCTGCAGGTGCAGGAGGCTGTGGAATGTGACACGATGCGACGATGGCAATGTGGCTGCGGCCATGTATAAAATTTTCACAATTGCAATTTGTAATAAAAACATGCAGTTTTTGTCATTGTTATGGGCGGCTTTTATCGCACACTTACACAGCGATACGATGCGTGCTCCATACGGCTGCTTACATGCCTCTTAAATCATCGCTGCCGCCGGGCCCGGGTCCTTAAACGCCGTCGAAGATAAATATGAATTAAAAAGCGGCCCGATGAAGTTTGCCGCTTTTATAGAGGGCTCTCATATTCCATTTGAGCTTTATGCTATTTTGAGTGCTCTCTCGATTTCATGACCCCATAACGGAGTGTAAAATATGAAAGGTCGCACTGCGCCGCAAAATAAACAGAGCATGAAATATTGCTTGTTGTTGTGGTTCGAGGACTCGCTCACACCACTCGCAGCTCTGCCAGAATAAATGTCGCACTTATCATTCACTGTAAAAGCCAATTAACATGCAACGGCAACAAATTTGCCTTCTGCTCCTGTGTGAGCGCGTCTCGCGCTCAGTGTGGCCAGCAGCTGGCAGCGATGCGAACGCATGCGACGGTCAAAGGCTTCTGCCTGTGCCACATACTCTGCGTGTGGCGAGTCATCGGTCGGCTGGGCATCTATCTGGGCTTCTACAATCTGACCTGGACGAAGGAGGCGCGGTTCGTGCGGGGCGAGCTGTTCTATGTGCAGATGATGACCCTGATGTACATGATCAGCTCGCTGGGCTATCTGTGGCTCAGCCAGGGCTGGGTGTACGACGGGCTGCTGTTCCTGGTCTTCGTGCCGCTCTACGTCTACTTTGTGGTGCTGCGCCAGCATCTCGTCTCGCTCCTGAACGCCTGCAGCCAAACGCATGGCACACTGCACCGTGTCCTGGGCACCTGGATGTGCGTGCCCCTCTGGCGGGAGTGCGGCCTCACCCTGATGCTGTCCGCCGAGGTGCTGGGGCTGTTCGTCTGGCAGTTCCACGTGTACTACAACTACCAGGCCTGCTTCATAGCTGGCACCTCGCTCATCTACTACATGCACCTGCTCTTCCTGGGCAACTATCTCATCTGGCTGGCCAGCATCTACCGGGCGCTGAACACATTTCTGCAGCAGCACATGCGGAGCTCCCGCCTGGGCATCCTGCGCACCGTGCTGCGCGAGCAGGTGAGCCTCTGGTGCCTGCATTGGCGCATCATGCGCTACCTGGCATTGCATCTGCTTAGCTTCTTGGGCTTGATTGCGTACCGCTTCGGCAAGCTGCTGCCCGACTGGCGAGCCTCCGACCAGCTGAATATGGATCGCATATTGGCGTCCCATCTGCTGCTGCTGCTGCTCACATTTCTGACACTGATGCTCTGCTCCTACGACGTGCAGCTCCAGCACTGGCAGTTCCACGACAACTATCGGCGCATGGAAGATCGCCTGGAGTACTTCAAGCTGCGCTCCTGGTGCCTGCTGCGCAACCAGACGCTGCCCATGCCCTTCGGCCTGCCCATACAGCGGATCTGCATCAAGCCACAGCACAAGCGGGACATCATCAGCATGCTGGTCTGTTCCTGCCCAGATCTCTGTACCTCTTGGCTTCATCTAATTCTCTTTTTGCAGTTTTTCAGCAATTTGCCTGTGACGCAGCTGCGTCGCTGTGTCCCTCTGCCCCTGGCCATCGTGGGCGTCGGCGCCAAACATCTACAATTGACGCTGCCCATCCTGCTGCGCACCTTCGTCCGAGTGGGCTGCCAGTTTCTGCTCTGCCTCTACCTCTACTCGCGCCAGCACCCGGCAATGCAAATTAACTTCTACGACAGCTATACGAAGGGCAATTTCGATATAAATGTGACCAACACAATTAGCCAGATCTATCGCAGCTATCAGCTTGATGAGATCGAGTGAGCTGCGCGACAATGTGTGGCCATCAATCAACTGAAGCCCTCAATAAATGAATGAATGCTTTCAATTACCTTCGCCTCAGTTCTCTAACAGCATGTGGCGCCTCAACTTGCTCTATGGCCTGCTTAGGCTGCAGTGTGTGGCTCTCGATGGTGTCGGGCTCTTGAAGCTAAGGTTCGATAGAGCTCGTCAGCGCTATCGCCAGAGGCGTGGCTTCTGGACCTCGTTTCTAGCACATTTCCCGTGCTTCCTGCTGATCTTCATTAACTTTGTGCAGTTCATCTTGCGCTTCGGGGAGAAGGCCGCTGATAAGGATGTGCCCAATGCACGCGTCGCGCTTAAGGCCATGGGCTTCTTCAGTCAGTTCACCCAGAACCTGGCCTATGTGTGGATACTAATCGTGTATTTGTATTGGCGAGTGCACCTCTGGCACATGATAGATCAAGCCCAACTGGCAACTAGGCATCTGAAGCGTCTGCTTCGAGAGCGCTTCGTGCTGGAGTGCTCCTGGCTGCTCCTGTTGCTGGGCATTTGCCAGCTATTCCTGTTCCTGCTGATCAGCTTGAAGTTGGTCCTGCTGGAATTGCTACACTATGGCAACTATGTGATGGGCGCACTCCACTTGGTCTTCATGCTGCTGCTCTCCCTGCAGCTCTTTCGGCACCTACTGCACACTGGCATGCTGCAGTCGCTGAATCAGCTGCTCAAGCAGCTGCAGCTGCCCAACGAGCTCAAGCTGCTGCGGCAAGTGCTGCACGTTTATCCTCTGCTGCAGCGCATACAACACTTGGCTGCCTTCTACTTCAGCTTGGTATTCTGTTGGCTCTTCCTCGAGCTTTCCCTCAAGTGTGGTGCCTATGTGAGCGAACTCAGCTCCGAGAAGAACCTGTTGTTGCAGCCTCGCGTACAAATCGAGCAGTATAAAGCAAATCGACTGAGCATGTCCTTTGCAGCCGTGGAGATGGCTTGACCATTTAGCATGCTGCTGCTGCTGCTCTGCGCTGCAAAGCTGCAGCAGCGAGAGCAGACGAAACTTATCAACAACATCTGGAGCATTAAGTTGCCCAGCAGCAAACAGGAAGCGCTTCCAGGAAGTGCCAGGCCAAAGAAGGACATCATCAGCTTCTTGGTAAGCAGAGATATCTTGAGATATCAAACTATTCAATATATATGCAACTCCTTTACAGCTCCGTACACGCCTGCCCTTGGTCGACTATCGTCCGCATTCTATCAGCTTTCTGGCCTGCAGACCAAAGACGAACGCCGCTGTGATTAGGTTTGCTGGCATTGCAGGCGGCTGCAAAATGCTGCTGCAGGTGGTGCTCTGCACCACCGTCGTTGACTATCTGCAGCGAATGGAGCTGGATAGACTGCAGAGCTGAGGGCTTAAGCCTCTAGCATTTCAGTCATCATTTGAGTTGAGCTACAATAAACTGTGAAAGATTTGCAATAATCGAATTAGAAAAGATTTAATTTCTTGTATTTCTTTACATTAAATATTATAATATAACAATTTATTGTGAATAGTAAACTATAAAGACTATAAATTAACTACTGAACTTGCAGTTTCCTGCAGTTTTAAATAAAAAGGAGGAAAAAATCGCATGACCAAATGAATTCTTCAAATGAAAGAGCGAACTGCAAGCTACCTGGCTCACACTCCCTCTCTCTCTGTCTCTCTCTCACTCTTCCTTTCTTCCTCTCCCTCTCTCTTTCTCTCTGTACACATTGCAAATCAATTTCAATAATAGCCATATGAAAGGCCATTTCGATATTAATGTTATGCAGACAATTAGCCAAGTCCATTGCTGGCATTCCTTGATGGCTTTGAGTGAGCCATCAATCAGCTGAGCGCAATAATTGAATTCGGCTGCCATTATGTAGTCCCGTTTCAGTTTAGCAACAGCATGTGGCGCTTCAACTTGCTTTTTATCCTGCTGAAGGCGCAGTGTCTGCTCCTGGATGGCGTTGGGCTCCTGAAGTTGAGCTTCGACAGAGCGCATCAGCGCTATCGCCTGAGACGTGGCTGCTGTTCCTCCTTTCTCACGCCTTTGCCGTGCATACTGCTGATTCTCCTCAACATTATACAGTTCCTCTTGCGCTGCGAGACGGAGCACAACAATGCGACCTACAATGAAATTGTGCCCGATACGCGGCCGGAGCTGGACGTGGTGGATTTCTTCATGCTCTTCGCACGAAATCTCGTCTATGTGTGGATGCTGATTATGTTTTTGTCCGGCAGGCTGCAGCTCTGGTATATGGTAGATCAAGCTCAGCTGGTCTATAAGCATCTGGAGTCTGTGCTGCGCGAGCGACTCCAGCTCAAGTGCTCCTGGCTGCTCTTATTTCTGGGCATTTTTCAGCTCCTGCTGCTGCTCGTGCTGAGCTTCAACCTGCTCTGCTTCAACTTCCCACAGGCATTTGACGAAAGTTTCGTCAACTATGGGATGTGCGCCATGAATCTGCTGCTGGTGCTCCTGCTGACCGTATACCTCTATCAGCTGCTGCTGCACACGGCGATGCTGCAGTCGCTGAACCAGTTACTCAAGCAGTTGCAGTTGCAGCAGCCCAATGAGCTCAACCTGCTGCGTCAAGTGCTCCATGTTTGTCCTCTGCTCAAGCGCATTCAGCACTTGGCTGCCTTCTACTTTCGATTGGTTTTCTGTTGGCTCTTCTACCTGCTTTGCCTCAAGTGTGGTGCTTATGTAAGTGAGTTCCGCTACGAGGAGGACGTGATCCTGTCGCGGCACAAGTCCATCGACGCTCTGGAGGAGGAAGCGGAGTGGCTGGGTGAAGAAACCATACCACAAACCCGGGACCAGGCACTGATTCTCGCAGCCTTCGAGCTCACTGGGATACTCACTATGACGCTGCCGCTGCTCTGCGCTGCAAAGCTGCAGCAGCGAGAGCAGAATAAGCTTATCAGCAACATCTGGAAGATTGAGCTGCCCAGCAGCAAGCAGCAGGTATCTCCCAGGTCATTCAGTGAGCGCAGAGACTGCAAGGACATCATCGGTTTCCTAGTGAGCATTGTTGTTGATAGCATTATTATTCTCTATGTCCATGCATCCCTCCCTTACAGCTCAGCACACGCCTGCCCTTGGTCGACTATCGTGCGCATTCCGTCAGCATTTTGGCCTGGAAGTCAAAGGCGAATACCGCTGTGATTACGTTTGCTGGCATCGCAAGCGGCTGCAAAATGCTGCTGCAGGTGGTGATCTGCACCACCGTCGTTGACTATCTGCAGCAAGTGGAGCTGGATCGCCTGCAGAGCCGCAGCTAGGTCAAAGGGTCAACCCGTTCAGCATTCAGCGGCGCCACAATAAACTGTGCAAATTGAACAATAATTAAATTAGCATATCAATTATTCAAATGACAGCCGCAAAAAGAGCTGCATGCTGTGTCTTTAGCCTGTACGCAGCACAATTACATAATGAACAGCAGCTTCATTTTAACGACCTGACCCGAGGGCCAGCCCGGATGGCCAGCAAAAAACTCTCTCCACATAAATTTACAAGAAAGGTAGACAACAACAACAACAACAAGCAACAAAAAATAAAGGACGAAGGCTTTCAACTTGAAACTTTTGCCATTATAAAGATAAAGTGAAAGAAGAAACAAGTTGTTGTTGTTGTCGCTGGGTTGTTGCCTGAAATTTACCTTTTTTTTTGCTGTTGCTGTTGTTGTTGTTGTTGCTGTTGATGCTGCTTACTTGCTGTGTGGTAATTTATGCACAAACCTGATTGAATTTGCGCTCGCAGTCGCAACGCAAGATTTCAGCACATTGCAAAGAGGGCAGTGCGAATCAAATGAAATTCAATAAATTAACATAAATCTGAGGCATTCGCTGGCGCATTTTACTTATATGCAAATATCGGCTGCACATCACATGAAAAAGGAAAAAAGTAAAGCACACTTCAAGCGGAAGTCGATCGATTTCAATAAACTTCATGCCACGAACTGGCAACAGACGAGCATATGCAACATCTGCCGCAACTGGCGCATCCAACCACAGGCCGGAAATTCAATCACAGAGCGCAACAGAAGGCAAGAAGTCAAAAGTGATGCACACCGAACAAGCTATACGCTGCCTGAAGTCGTGTGGGTGTGGGAAGAGCAAGTAAATAAGTATAAATCTAAGCAGTTATCAGTGTAATTTAATAGTTACTATGATAAGCTGAGTCAGCACTTGGCTTTGACTTTCGTTTTTGCTCGACCTCAGGAATTGCACTTATCGCGTGTCGATGGCCATTTGCAGCTGTTAATCTCTTTAAGGGCTAGCCTAATGGCTTTAAAGCGCTCCTTCAGCCATGTTGTCGCCATTTTGTCGGCCATTTTGTCGCGCTGTGTAGACGCCATGCAGCGGCCATGGCTGCCGTTGCTTCTTGAATGCCTGCCAAATGGCCGCCGCCGCCATCGAGTGCAGAGCGCGAAGGGCTTAAATTTTCTTCTTCTCCCTTTTGCCTTCTTTTGGGGTCAAATATTTGCTGGGGCGTATCGAATTGCGAGTTACGTTGACTCGCTTTACACGTGTCGCTCGCGTTGCTTGGTTATTGATTGTGCTTAGCTTGAGTTTGCCTTGATGGGCGTGGCAGCTGTCAATTTGCGCTCGTATGCATAATTAATTTGCCATGTACTTGTTTACCAACATGTTAAAGCCGGGCCGAGGCAGCCCGCTTGCAGCAATCACTGACAGCTGATGGCTGTCGGAATGCGTCGTGTTAGCGGTCTAATGAAATTTTAATTAGCCCAAGACAAGCGATAAAACAGTGGCCGCCAAAAGTGAAGATAGCTCTACATTCAGCCGAGTGCCGTGTGCAGCCAGGGCGGCAAATCAATGAACGAGATCGTACAAGGGTCGAGATGGCAATTACATGCATCAAAGATTCATATCGCTAAGCGCTGCGGGGCGCCGTTCGCCATCTTTTATAATGCCATAATAATGACTTTATCTTTGGAGCAGGCAATAAATCTTGCAGACCCAAAGGAGCACAGATAAAGTGGGCTGACGCAACGGTCCTAAATGAAATATTACACATACGCAGCGTGGCACACAGCAAACCTCGGCTATAGTGCGTGCATGCATGTGTGTGCGTGTGTATGTGTGGGTTACACTCTCATAAAAGTTAATTAATATGCCATGGTAAGCTGCTAAATACAGCGCAAAATATGCCAACAACTTGACGTCCATCCATCGCTGCACCTCCCCCCCTCCCGCAACGGTCAAACGTGACGTATGCGTAATGCGCATAGATATTCCACTGATTTGGAGCATCAGCGATTGCCACGGCACCGAAACAAATTTCCATGCAAATTTCAATGGACGCATTGTCGAATGTGGCCAACAAACACAACAACAAATACAACAACAACAGCAATGAAACCTAAAATATATGCAAAAAAGGTGAATCTGAGCATTCGCATCTATTTCTGTCTGCGCTGGACTTTACCTGCCATTGTTGCCCCCGCCTGCCCCGTCTAGCGCGCTTGGATTTCGGCCTGAATGAAAAATATGTTGGTTTTTAACAAATCCGAATTCAAATCTGCGCATAACAATGAACTTTTTCGTTTGGCCAAAAGTTTTGGCCAGGGTGTCCCTTGAAATATATATATATATATATATATATATATATGTATATGAAAAAAAAAACACAAATAAAAATAATAACGAAGGGATCTTATTTCAGCTCTGTTTTTGTAACTGTAACTGTAACTGATAAATGCGTATAGATATTGAAATCTATTTGTAAGATTTGAATAAAGGCGGGCAGAGCATTCCTGATGAAATTGTTTGCAAAACATTTCTGGATACACTTTTTGATTAAATTTGTTTCCCTTTTCCGTTTTCCATTTTTCGTGTTTCGTATTTCGCATTTTGTTCCATTGCCTGCAGCCAATACAAGTTTGAAAGGGAATTTTCTTTGATTTTTCGCTTTCGATTTTCCTGCTGTTTTTTTTCGATTTCAATTTTAAGCCACAAATCGAATTGAAACTCTGCGCGAGATGGTTAAAGCTGAAAACTTGATAATTAACATGAGGCGTGCATAAATCGTAATACAATTTCAGATCAGATAAGCCAACTGGCCAGCCAATTAGCCAAGCGCACTTGTTAATAATTTGTGCGCAGCAGTAAACGAGGCAAAAAAAAAAAAACAATAAATAAATAAAATCAAATTAACAAACAAAAAATCGAATGGCAAATATGTGCATAAATAAAGATAACGCATAACTTATAAATGAGCCACAAATTATGCACAAATAAAATACGCTGGGCATTTTAATGAGATTTTTGGAAATGGGAAATGATGGAAAACGTAAAACGGAAAACGGAAAATACAAAATGCAAAATGCAAAATAATAAATGCAAAGTGAAAATATTGTCAAGGAGCGCAGCTGTCAATTGAATTTATTGTATTTAATTGAGTGCCATTCGCGCGCACTAATTGCAACTGTTTGTCGTGCCTCAACGGCAGCTAATTGTTTAATGTGCTTAACACGCGAATGCCGCGTAAATCAAATCAAATGCGATTCATCGACAAATTGATGTGTATTTAAGAGTATTTAACGAGGAATTATAAAGTTTAAACAGAGCAAACAGCTTTACAGTCGAAAGTTGTTCATACATATTTATCAGATATATGCCAACTTTAATTTGCCACAAACTTAAGTAATCTCTTATAAAGTTGCTGTTGAAATCACGCAGGAAAAGTACATTGAAGTGTTGCCAACTCTTGAGTTCCGAAATAAGTTGGATTGTACAGAAAAGCAGGCTTAAATGTAGAAGGAAATGCTGGAATGGCGGGTTAGATAAAAAATGGAAGAAAACATACGAAAAGCAGCAAATATATTCAACAAATTATAATTGTAAAAATATATATTATCATCATAATAAAAAATTAAAAATTAAAAATTTTAAATTAAACTTAAACTTAATCATAATCATAATCATAATAAAATAAAATAAATCAAACATAATAATCTAAGTATTTCCTCTAAATATTTAGTTATTAGTCTTTCCTCCAAGTCTTTCCTCTAAGTATATGCTTTAAGTATTTGCTTTAAGTGTTTTCTCTAAGTCTTTCCTTTACGTATTTCTTCTAAGTATTTCCTCTTTAAAGCACGATCATTAAATCCTTACACACACACTTCATCCGCTTCACCTCATCTCACTTCACTTTACGGAAGAAGACTGAAAAAATGCTGCAGCTGCAGCCCTTTATATAGAGAGGCATTCAATCAAACGCAGAGTCGTACTCAACTGTTGAGCCCGACGACAGATAATGATCGTTCAAGTCGAGCCTCAACTGACCAATGGGAGCTCTCTCAGCTGCTGTGAGCATTTCAGCTTCGTTTTACTCTAATGTAAATAGCAAATGAATACTGAGGCATACATATAGACAACTTAAACGAGCTTCTGTAGTTCTTCGTCCCTTGCTTTTACTAAGCAGACAAACAGGGACTGAGAGAGACAGACAGACTGTGAGATATATAGAGCGATGGATAGAGAGTCGAACAGGGAGAGACAGGTATACAGACATATATACAAATAGATATATAGGCAAATAAACACGCATACATAGATCAGTCAAGGCTCCATCTGTATTTTCAAAATATTACTAGTTAATCAAACTATTTTTATGAGAAAAATCTCTACACACTATATATAAAGCATATGCTGTAACTCATTTTCAGTTTACATGATTTACTCTCACCACTAAATAATAATATTAATTTATGGCTTTAATTAAGCATAAAACTAAATGTGGTTTTGCCTTTGGTGTCTGTCACATCGTGTGGTCAGTGCAAAAATAGCAAACTTATTCAGGCTATTCATGTGTGAATTTTAATAATATTTTCAAAGATTTTTTTTTTTTTTTTTTTTTTTTTTTACAGCATATTATTTTATTTTGGTTTTTGCCTTAAAGGGAATGCAGAGATTTTAATTAATAAGTGACAATTGGGCCACGTGATAGCAAACTTGACCACAATACATATGTCTGATTAATTGAACAACAATGCGAGCAGACAGCGCGCAAACTGATTTTAATATTAATTATCAAATTGTGCGCATGCATTAAAATTATTTGTGCAATTTTTGTTACAGTTTTTCATTACATCTCTCCCTTTCTCTGTCTGTCTATCTCTCTCTCTCTCTCTCTTTTACAGCTGCAATTTACACACTCATTAAAAGCAGACAACACTTCAATGCATTTGCTTGTTATTTTGTAGTCCAGATACCCTGTAGCTCAGCTGGAAAGGGGGTTAAGCGGAGTTGAATACGAGTGGAATTGGATGTAGGTCGGGTATGTATAACTATTTCAA